CGATCCTCTCCGCAAACAGTACAAACGTCCGAACAATTAGCAATACACTCGGGGCAGTTAATTTTAGCACAAATAAAGTTGACTTCGTGGAGTTTTCCATTTTGCCCTTGTTGGTGTTGCATAGTTTCAAAGTCGAAAGCGATGATGCGGTAAGGTTTCGGCTTCCTTGTAGCAAGAGGTTTGATATAACATCCTCTTTTTGGATCATGAAAGCTGAAGCAGGTGTTACAGTAGCGTTCGGAACAAACATGACCACTTCTACCATTTCGGTTGTTATCTTTGACAAACCATACCACTCCACATTTTTCACATTTTTTAGAATTGTCGCAGAAGTTTGAGAATAGATGGTGGTTGTAGCAGTCCTCGTTTTTAAATTCTTTGTCACATCCAGAGCAGTGTTTGAAAAAGTTGTTCAGGGGCTGGCATGGGAACTTTGGACCGATCCTGGAGCAGTTTTGACATTTAACTTTGCATGAAGTGGCATGATCTTTTGGACGATTGTACGTTTTTTCACAAAAAAGGCAATAAGCTTCACCAAACAAATCAGATGCCCTTCGCACACCGTCGAAATGTTGATTGTGGTGATAAAGAATAATTGGGGTATCAAACTTTTCCTGTCCATATTTGAAGATAGGTTCTTCGGCAAATTCACCAAAGATATAAACTTTAAACAGGCCTATGTTCAATGTATTCCAATAATTGACCACTTTGGGAACCCAGTTCTGCGCATCATAGCTTGGCTGATCAAGAGGAGCTCCAACATCTCTCAATAGTTTTTTGGTATCTTGTTCGAGTTGATGAGTCATACCTCTTCTGCTATGCATATAATCATAGAACTTCCATTTTGGCCAGGAAAATATTGAGTAGACGTATGAAGCCATTAATGCATAAAACAAACATAGGTTGTCGGTATTGCGTATTTTGATGAGGTTTTTATCATTTATCCTACGAGTAGATTTCCCACCGCTTCCGCTGATGACGCGTATTCTAGGGATATTCTGCTTGTCAATGGTAGTAACGGAGACTGTAAATGGTTCGCCCCAAAGCATACCATTATCTTGCTTTTTGGATTGGGCGACTTTCAAGAATTGATTAAGTATGGCGTCGATGGTGTTGTTGGTGATGTCTCTAATGGGAATCCAAATGTCAGTTTCGAGCAGCTGACTGCTGACAATACATCCTAGTTGATCAGGTTCAAGTTGGTGTTCGCGGCTTGTAGATATTGTTTTGTCGATACAGGTTTGGAATATTTCCTGAAGTAGGCTTTCGGGGCTTGGAGGTAGTTTATTAATTAGAAATTTTGTAGTCAGTTTGGTCATGTTGAATTTCTTAGTGAGTTTAGTTTCCTCACCGAGTTGTTTAACATAATCACCTCCACCCTTTTGCAATAGGTTGTCAATGAGGAACATCCTCGATCTCTTTAGAGGTGGAGGAGACATTTAAGGTTAGTAAAGTAATATCAATATTTTTAAATTATTCAAAAAATGAGGAAATTTTTCAAAAACTTGGATTTATAAATGTCATTTTTATTTGACAGTTTTTCTATTTTCACTTTTCCACGCCTACTTTTTAATCATTTTTTTGAAACAATTTTCACATGACGTATTTTGTGACATATTTTCACTGTTTAACATTATTTTTACTTCCAACGCCTACTTTTTTTTAATAATTTACCCAATTTTTACTTTTCAATATCTATTTACTAAATTTCACCATTTTTCTTGCGCATGATTGATTTTAGCAAATTTCCACTTTTTATAATAATTATTGTATTTTTCAAGAATGGATTAAAATAAAGAGAAAGGGTTAGATCAAGATAAGACGGATTTAAATGTAATATAAATTTTAAAAAGTATGTAGAGCTGTTTAATGTTTGAGATTTGATATGAGAAGTTAAGTTTGATATGAGAGGTTTTGATGTAGGAAAAACCGATTAAACTGGTTTAAAATTACTTCTTAAACTCTTGAACTTTTGGGAAACATTATAAACTTATGGTTATGTAATCTTGTGAAAATCGTGTTTCAAAACGGATAAATCGATTCAAAACCACTTGTTGAACCCTTAAACCTTTGGAAGCCGTTTGTATATGTAATCTTGTGAAAAGTAAGGTGATTTCTTTAAAAAGTTCAATTTATTCTTAAACCGGTTTGATCAAAGTACCCTTAAACCGTTTGGTTTAAACCTTTTGGTTAAAGCGAACTTTTGTTTGACTTAAGTCTTGTTACAATATGAGGTGGGTTTAACTACTATTTTTTGAAAATTTTATAAATTTGACATTTTTTCCTTTCTAAATATAATTTTGCAATGTAATTTTTGCATGACAGATTTTTGACCTATTTAACAATAATTTTTGTAACAATTATTGCATGAATGAATTTTTATAATTATTATATATTTTCACTTTTCACCGCCTACTTTTTTAATAATTTTTATATTTTTCAAAATAAAGGGTAAAAATAAAAGAAGATATTTAGAAAATAGAGAAGAGGGTTGGAAAGATGTTTCTCTAAGAATTTTTTAAGAGTACATCCTTTGAACCGGTTCAAAAGAAATTCTGAACATCTTGAAGCTTTAGGAAATTTTTAAATAAAAATTGGTGAAGAATAGGGCGAATGATAGTTTTTCTTTAAAAAAGTTCAATTTTTGCCATTAAACCGGTTTGATCATATTACCCTTAAACCCTTTGATCCTTTGGGTGTCCATTGAATCTTTGGACTCTGACGACGGATTGGGTGTGTCTAAATACCGTTTAAATATGTGGGAGGGGCTAAATGGTTGGACCCCGCTGCCCCTGACGACTTGGAGGGGGGGTTAACTACTTACAAAAATTTATTTTTTTAAATTAATTTTTTCTTTTATTTTTTATTAATAATTTACAAAATTAAATCAACATTTTTTTTCTAAATTTTTTTATAATCGATCTGATCATTTTATAATTAATTTAAGATGTAACACCTTTTTCATCAGGTCGTCTCTTTTTAATAATTTTTAATTTTTTAACTGTGAATTGCCTAAACATAGTTTTTAATTGATCAAATATTTAATGTATTTTTATGTAAATTTTAAAGAAGAAATGTATTTTCCGGAAAGTATTTTATTAAAAAATACTTTCCGGGAGCGAATTATAAAAATCTGTGTTTTTCCGGAGAATATAAAAAATACAAAACACATGTTTTTATAAAATGCTTTAATGTTTCCGGAAAGTATTTGTTAATAAATAAATATTTTCCGGAAAACACATTAATTTTTTTAAAATCTACATAAAAAATTTCCGGAAAAATGCGTATACAATTTAAAATACGTTTAGATATCCGGAAAGGTATTTTCCAAAAACACAAATAATTGTAACATTATTTTTGTAAATAAATTTATTTAATTAAAAGATTACAAAAATACTTCTCGTGACATTTTTCTAATTTTTAAAGAGAATTAAAAACTAATAAAACAATTCGGCTTAACTTTTAAATAGCTTAAAAAATTTTTTTAAAGTTGTAAAAAAAGTTTTGGCCCAATTCTCTCTTCTCTTTTCAAAAAATTTATGTTCCTTTTTTTAATTTTTTATGTTTTTTACATCTCTTTTATTAAAATATTTTTTTATTAAATTTTTATTGCCTAAAAAAGGAAGAATCAATTTTAATTATTAATCAAATTTTTTATTTTAAAAATTCTAGACAAATCATGAGAGAATTAAATAAATATCTATTTTAAATTATACAGCCTTTAAATAAATGTCAAAAACACTAAAAACACAAAGAAAACAATTAAAATGTTTCCGGAAAATACATTTTGATCACCATGTTTTGGAGAAAAAACATTTCCGGAAAAGAAAACACATTTAAAGAAAACACATTCTACATTCCGGAAACAAATACATATATCTTTTTCGGAAAACTTTTTCGGTATTTTCCGGAAATGTGTTTTCTCGGAAAATACATTTAATATAAAGTTTTCCGGAAAACACATTTTTTCAGTAAGCTGTGTGTTTTCTCATAAACACTTTTACTTGAAAAGTTTTCCGGAAAATACTTTATATCTTTAAATATCTGTCAAAACACGTTACTACTTAATAGAAAATATAGTTCCGGAAAAACATGTACCTATTTATTTTTACTTGTAGAAAATAAAATATTAAACCATAAAAACATTTAGTACTATTTACGTAACCCAAAGGTGATCGCACTTCGTTAAATAAATGAAATATTATTTAGAACATTTTTATATTTTTTTTTGTTTGTTTAGTAATTTTTTTAATTAAGTACTAATTTAAGAAAAGTAAAATATATAAATGTTTTTTTTTGTTTTTATTTAAAAATGTTTATTTTTTACTAATTTAATGTTTACTTAAGGATATAAAAAATTTGTTTTTTTCTTATAAAACTTTAAACCTATTATAACTCAACATTTTTGTTTTCCAAGTCATCTTATTTAAAATTTTTATACATTAAAGAAAGTTTTCCGGAAAATATATATGTATTAATTAAAAATACATTCCGGAAATGTATTTTCTGAAATGTGTTTACAGAAAAGTTTTCCGGAATGTATATTAGTACCAATACATAGTAGAAAATACCGTTCCGGAAAATACATATGTATTTTCCTGAAAACATTTATTAATAAATACTTTCCGGAAACATTTTAGTATAAAGTCTTTATTTTCTAAAAACATGTATTTTTTGTTTTCCGGAAAAAGTTGTTGTGTTTTATTTTTATTTTGTGTCTTAATTTCTGCCTTATCAATAGCTACTAATTATTTACATTTACTTTCATTTCCAAATTGAACCACTCATTAAAAATATTTAATTTAAAAAAAGGGTGGGTATTTATAGCTTTTCCTTTTTTAGTCTTTTTAAGGACAAGTTAATTAAAAAATCTTAAGACTTTTTTTTATCATCTGATAATTTTGATAAAAAATTTTTTTGCTTATCTCTTCAAGGCTTTTTCTAATTTTTATTTTAAGACCTTTTTAATTTTATTTTTTTTCTTCAATGAATAATAAAGAATGCAACGTTTTATATTTACCAGAAAAACAACAAATACAATAGCACCATTTGTTGATATTGAGAAAGGGATTGGTGGAGGTGAAGATGAAAAAACAACAACAGAGAATGACAACAAAGGAGTTAAATCAAAATTTTATAATGAAAATTGTTTTAAATTTAAGAGTAAGGAGAACTTTTTTGTAGATTTTTTAGGGGAGAATAATTTTTTAAAAAATTTTTTGTATGACATTTTGTCCCAAAAAATTTTTTTGAAAAAATTCTTAAAAATTAAAAAAAAATATTTTTTTGGGACAAAATGTCATCTACACACAATTTTTAATTTTCAAAAATTTTCTAATTTATAGGAAAATCCCTTCGGATACTTCAAAATGTGGCAACTTTGTTGGAAGATTGGTTACTTCTTGCATTATTGGGAATTCTTGTAGCTTTGTGTTCTTTAATTATGGATATGGCTATTGAATACTTGCAAACATGTTTAGTAAATTTTAAAAAATTTTTTAGAAAATTTTTTTGTGATTTTCGAGAATATTTTTTATTGGGACAAAATGTCACTTAATGAAAAAAATTTTTAGTCTTTAAAAAATTTCAAAAAATTTTTCCATTAGGATGACATTTTATCCCAATCTAAAATTCAAAAAAATTTTTCCCAATTTCAGGGCACGTTTTCTTCATAGAAATTGTTCGAAAAAACACTCAGGGACATTTAAACCTCATTTCTACTTACTCTGTTTGGGCAGGTTATATGCTTATATTGGTTTTGGCTTCAGCTTTTTTTGTTCGTTTAATTTCTCCTAGTGCTATTGGAAGTGGAATACCTGAAATGAAAGTTGGGAAAATTTTTTTAATTTTTAATTTTTTATTTAGACAATACTTCGAGGTGTTATTCTCAAAGAATTTTTGACTTTGAAAACGCTTTTGTCTAAAATGGTTGGATTAACGCTTTCTTTGGGTAGCGGGTTGCCTATTGGAAAGGAGGTTAATTTTTAAAAAAATTTTTTGTTTATTCGAAACCTTTTTTGGTCATGGTTTAGTTTATGAGTCCAATGAAGCTAAAGGGTTTATTGGACTCATAAACCTCGACTAGATCCTTTTTAAATAAATTAACTAGTCTTTAATGAAGGGTATCATTCAAGGGGTAATTGCTTATTCAGCTCCTTCCAATTTTATAGTCAACCCAAATTTTTGAAGTAAACATCTAAATTTTGAGTTTATCTAAGTCTCGGGATATCTTATAATAAGGTCTTGAACATTTTTTCTTTAAGGGACCATTTGTTCATATCGCCTCAGTTGTCGCTAACCAATTAAGTCATTGTGTCCATTCAATTAAAGGTGCTTATTCGAACGAATCGAGAAGTTTTGAGATGCTTGCGGCTGCGTGTGCAGTGGGGGTTAGTTCAACATTTTCTGCTCCTGTTGGAGGTTTTTCAAAAAAAAATTTTGAAAGTTCTTTAAAATTTTTTTAGGTGTGTTATTCTCAATTGAAGTCACAGCAGCCTATTTTGCAGTAAGAAATTATTGGAGAGGCTTTTTTGCTGCAACCTGCTCGACTGTACTTTTTCGAATACTTAGAGTGCTTTTAGTTGAAACTGAAGTTACCGGTAAATTAAAAATTAATTTAAAAGTAAAAACACTTCATTTTAAGTTACTGCCTTCTATCAAACTCAATTTCCTAGAGATGCGTTTTTGCCGGAAGAATTGCCTATATTTTCTATTGTTGGGTTAGTTTTGTGTTTTTTTGTATTTTCCGGATGCAAATTATTTTAAATTAATGATGGAGATGTATTTTCCGGAAACGTATTGGAGGAATATACATAGTTTCCGGAAATTATAAAATATACTTATATTCCTTCCGGAAATGTTTTCCGGAACCTTTGTGTTTTTTTTTATTTTTACACTGATTATTTGTGTTTTCCGGAAATGTATTTTGGGGAATATTATTTCCGGAAATTAGAGAATATATATTCTTTCCGGAATGGGTTTCCGGAAACTTTTGTGTTTTTTGCACTAATTATTTGTGTTTTCCGGAAATGTATTTTTATGAATTTTCTTTCCGGAAACTTACCTATATACATTTTCTAGAATATTATCCGGAAAGCTTTGTATTTTGCTTTTGCGCGACTTATTTGTATTTTCCGGAAAATTCTTTTTTTTTACTCCCCGAGTTTTTCTCTAAACTTTTCCGGAAAACATTATTTTTTTTCTCTAATTTAATCTCTTCTTTTCTAGTGTTATTTGTGGTTTTGTTTCAGCAGCATTTATTTTTCTACAAAGGCGTTGTGTTATTTTTCTTAGATATAATTCAATTTCAAAATTTTTTCTTCATAAACAGTAAATTATTTTTATTTATTTTTTAATTAGTTTTTATTTTTTAAAAAAAAGTTGGTCAATATATCCAATACTTATTGCATTAATTATTGGGTCTATAACCTACCCTCAAGGATTTGGACAATTTTTGGGAGGAGAGGTTTTTTTAAAATAATTTTTTAAATTTTTTTAAAATTATTTTTTAAGAAAAAATTTATGTACGCAGCAAAAGTAAGCAGCAAAATTTTTTTTTAATTAAAAAAAATTTAAAAAGGATTTTTTTGCTGACTGCACTTTTTCACTTCCCAACAACAGTAATCGTGCTTGTCCGGAACAATTAATTTCTTCATGGTCGAGGGAAGACTATTACACTCATTTTACGACGTTGCCCATATTTATTGGAGTTTATGTAAATTTTTTGAAATTTTTTTTGAAATTATTAAATTTTTAAAGTTTATTTTAACAATTTTGGCAAGTACACTACCCATTCCTGCTGGAATTTTCGGTCCTTCTTTTGTCCTTGGTGCAGCTATTGGACGCTTTATTGGAGAAATTATGGTTCTTTTTTTTAATTTTTTTTAAATTTATTTAAAAAGGCTTCACTGTATCCAAGCGGTCTTCGAGGTCCGAACGACCTGCAAATATTCCCTGGTGTTTATGCAATAGTTGGGTCGGCAGCTTTAACTGGAGGAGTGACTGTAAGGAATACTTTTTTATATTTGAAAAAATTTTTTGTAGCACACAGTTTCCGTGGCAGTTATTGTGTTTGAACTGACTGGACAACTTTTACATATTTTGCCTGTTATGGTAAAGAAAAAATTTTTTATTTTGAAACTTTTATGAAGTTTTTTGTAAAAATTCTTTGAAAATTCTTAGAAATTTTTTTTGAAAAATTTCTCAAAATTTCTTTGAAATTTTTTAGATTGCTGTATTAATCGCCAACGCAATTTGCTCCAATTTACAACCTTCCATTTATGATTCTGCCATTAAATTGAAACAATTGCCATATTTACCTGATATTCCCCAAACCTCTTCCCGGTTTATTTTTTAATAAAATTATTTTAAAAAATTTTCTTTCTAGTTTTCATGGAATTTTAGTCGAACAATTTATGACTTGTGATATAAAATTTCTTTCAAATGAAACAACATATGCTGAAATGCAAGAAGTTTTGTTTGATAACCCGAGACTTAAAGCTTTTCCTATTGTAGAGAATGAAGGTATTTTTGATTTTTTTTTTGTATTTTCTGAAAATTCTTTTAGTCTATATATTTTCCGGAAACTTTTAATCTTTCAGAATTATCATTAAAAATATCCGGATTTTTTATACTTTTCGGAAATCGGAAACTTTTAACAAATAACATACAATTAAGCCTATTTTCCAGAAATAACCTATTTTAAATAACCTATTTTCGGAGACTTTTTTAATTTTCGGAGCTTCCGGATATTTTTGTATTTTCTGGATTAATATTTATTTTTCGGAACCTTTCTAATAATTTTCTTTTTGTTAGAAACACGAATATTAATTGGTTCTTGTAGTCGTTCCCGACTTATTAGAATATTAAATAATCATGTTGGCCCAATTACTAGAAAACAGGAAGCAATAAAAAGAATAAATACAATTGATAGAAGAAAGAATTCCCAAACAACAACAAAAAAAGAATCTTTAATTTTGTCGCCTTCTTCAAATATTCCTCTCTTAAAATTTTTAGAACCTCCAAAAGAACAAAAACATTCAATTATGGAATTTGATAAAATAACAAAAACAAAATCTGAAAGTTTAATTGAAGGTAAGGAAGAGGAGGAGGAAAATGTTAATAATAAAAATAATATTCTCCAACAAAAACAAAGTTTGCAGCAACTATATTTAAAATGTTTAAATAGACCGTCAATGTCTGTTAAACGTTCATTAACTATTCCTGCAAGTTTAAGTCATTCTTCTAGTTCTAGTGATGTTTATAGTACTATTGGAGGTTTCTTTTTGAAATTTTTAAAAATTTTTTGTGAAAATTTTTAAGATATGATTAGAACATTGTCAAGGTTTAGTCAAAGATTTAGACGTGGAGTTGACCAAAATGGTGAGATTGACTTGATGGGAGATGAGAGAACAATTTGGGAACAGGAACAATTGGCTAAACGAGTTGATTTTCGTTCTATTGGAATTGACCCGGTTTGAAATTAAAAAAATTTTGAGGAAATTTAAAAAAAAATTTTTTTCAAGGCCCCCTTCCAATTAGTAGAAGAAACTTCACTTTTCAAAGTCCACTCATTATTTTCAATGTTGGGATTAAATCGGGCTTATGTCACAAAATGTGGTCGTTTGGTTGGTGTTGTTGCTTTGAGGGATTTGAGACTGGCTGTAGAATTAATTCAATCAGGAGATTTAATAGCTCGGAAACCTTCATTAATTTCAAATGAAAGTAGTGAAGAAGGAGAGGAAAATTTAAGCAAAACATTTATTTCAAATTTAGAAGAGGTTTTTGTTTTAATTTTTTGTAGGGAAGGCGGGAGAGGGACGGGAGGATTTTTGAAAAAAATTTTGGAGGGAATTATGGGGTTTGTGGGAACTGTTGGTGTATTGGTATGGAGGGGGGGGGGGGGTTGAGTGAGTTAACAAATTTTAAATTTTTGATGGAATTTTTTTTAATTTTGGGAGGATTTCTTTGGTTTTTTGAGGAATTTATGGGGAAATTTTTGATCAAAAAATTTTTTATTTTAAGGAATGCCCAGACAAAAATGATTTTCAACCTAAAAATGAAATAACAAACAACGAAGGGTATTTTTTTATAAAAAATTTTTTAAAACATTTTGTAAATTTTTAGTATTAAATTGCAAACACAAAAAGAAGTTGTTGGTAGAACTACAAAAGAAATAAAGAATAATGAAAATAATGTTCCCATTTTTGTAATTTCAACAAGTGAAGATGAAAAATCAAATGAAGAATTAAAAGAAGAACAAGAAGCTTTTGTGGCTAGGCAAGTTTTTTATTTTTAATTATTTAAAATTTTGTATTCTTTGATGTAGTGGGAAAATGTTTTGTTTGGGTAATTAGAGGGTCGTGGGTTCGATTCCGATTGTTGAAATTTTTAGGTAAATAGAAGGAAAAATTATTGAAAATAATTTTTTCAATATTAAAAATTTTTTAGAAAATTTTAAAAATTTTTTAAACTAAAAATTCTCTCTCTTTATTAGTTCCTCCTCCCAAACTTCAACACCTTCATGTTCACCCTCCTCTTCCCATTCATGTTTACGCGGTGCCAACAAAAATAATAATAATCCTCCCAGCCCAGTACGCAAAGTTCGTATTATATCACCTCTAAATTCACCAACAGAAGAAGATTTTTGTGATAAAAATAAAAAATTTCCTCCTCCAGAAAATTCTCATTGAGATTTTTTTAAGTTTAGAAAATTTTTTGAAAATTTTAAAAATTTTCCACTTTCCGGAAATTTTTTTGGAAAATTTTTGAAAATTTTCTAATGACCTTAAAAATCATTTTTTTTTCTTTTTTTCATCCATTTTTTGTTTTTTTTTTATTCTTGTTATATTCAAAACGAGTTTATTATTATTTTTGCATTTTCTGTAGCTTTACTTTAAAAATTGTTCTTCTTTGACAATATTAAAAAAATTTTTTAATGCTCATTTTTTCATTTTTTGTTGCCTTTTTTAATTTTTTTTAAATTTTGTTGATTTTTTATATTTATACTTCTGTACACGTTGACGATTAAAAAATAAATTTTTTTTTTAATTTATTTTTATTTTTAAAAATTTTCAAAAATATTTTATATACCTAATTTCTAAAATTTAAATATATTTTTATAGTTAAAACAAGATTTTTTAATTGAGAAAATGAGGTCGTTTGTTGTTCATTTTGATGAATGTTCCTCCTCTCCTTTTGATGAGTGTTTCTCTCTCTTTGCAAGATTAATATCTTTAATGTTGGAAGTTGTGTTCAAAAATAAATTTGTTTAAAAGTTTTGATGAAAATCTTTGGATGGATGAATGTTTATTAAACAGGTTTATTTTATTAATTTTATTAATTTAAATAATTAATTTTTTAAGCTAGTTGGCTAGGAGAAAAAAATTTTCTAATTTTAGAGAAATTGTTTTTTTAAAAAATGGATGTATTGTTTGGACCCTCAATGAAAAGGTTATTGTTTTTTTAAAAAATGATTTTTTTATTCTGAAATAGATTAAGAAAAAATTTTTTTGAAAAATTGTTTTTCAGTCAAAAACAATATTCCTTTACATTTTTAAAATTTAAGTTTACTGAAATTGTAAATTTATTTAAAAAGTTTTCGGAAAAAAAATTCATTGTAGTTTCCCAGGCTTGTTTCCGGAAAAATCTTAAACTTAATTTAACCTAAAAATAAATTAAGAATTTTTAAAAATTCAGAAATTTTAGGTTAAAAAAATTTTTTTTATAAAATTATTTTTTTCAGTCTCTATTTGTTTGGAACTTGTAATGTTATTCATTCATTATTTTCAAGAATTGTTATAACCAAATTCTTTTTTGATTATCCTATTGTTATTTCATTGTTTAATGTAAGTTTAAATTTAATATTTAATTTATTTTAAATTAAATAAAATGTTTTTAAGATGGCATTAATTCTTTCATTAATTGAATTTGGAAGGTAATTTTAAATTACTAAAAATTTAATTAATTTTTTTTATTTTAAAGAATGACAAAATTAGTCAAAGTGCAGCCATACACGGTAAATCCTTTTTATATGTATGAAATAATTATATTTTCCGGAAACTAGCATAAAATTACAAATTGTAATTTGTTTTTCCGGAATTGTAATATAAACATTTCTAATGAAGCATAGATATATTCTTTTCCGGAAAATTATTTACTTCCGGAATTCTATTTCTTATATTTTCCGGAATTGTATTTATAATTTCCGGATTTTAAATTTGTCTTTACGGAATTGTAATATAAACACTTCTCTGAAGCATAGATATTCTTTCCGGTATTATATGTTTCAGGAATTTATTTTTTTCCGGAAAATTATTTACTTCCGGAATTGTATTTCTTATATTTTCCGGAATTGTATTAATCTTCTCCGGAAATTTTATTTGCCTCCGGAATTGTATTTATACTTTCCGGAATTTAATTTATATTTTTTCTGGAAATATACATATTATTATTTTATTTCTACAGTTTCATCGTGGAAAAGCTATGTTTGTGCCTTCCTTTTTCTATTGTCTTTCGCAGTTTGTTTTTTCTAAAATTTTTAATTTAATTTTAATATATTTTTACAGTTATATATCTCTCAACTGTCTTGATGGAATTTCTCTTCCATTTTTTCCATTTCTCGAAAAATTTATAGCAATAACTACAATTCCTTTTTATTTTTTTATTTTACGAAGACAACGACCTTCAATACAAACTTTGACAATTTTAATGTTTATTTGTTTTGGATCTGCTTTGGCTTGTAAATTTTGCCTTAATAAAACTTTAAAAAAATTATTTTTTAGCTGTATTCGAAATAAGTTATGATATTTGGGGGTTAGCCTACTCTCTTGGAGCTTTGGCTATGCAAACTTCAAGTTTAGTTTTAATTGAAAAAGTCCGGGCACAAATGGATATGTCTGTTGTGGAATTAATTTATTTAAATAGTTTCAATTGTCTTTGTCTATTTTTGGTGGCGGATATAGTCCAGGATGAATTGAGGGATGCTTATTCCTATTTACAGGTGAAAAATAATATTACAAATTGTAAGTGTTTTCCGGAAATGTCTATATTTTCCGGGAACAATATGATATTACAATTGTGTTTTCCGGAATTGTAATATACCTATAAACATTTTTCTATAACACGCTTGTTTTGGTTAGACATTCTCCGGAAATGTCTATGCGTCTATAGCTTCCGGAAGCTATATTTTCAGCAACAACTTATAATTACTAGAGCCCGGATTTTTAGGCAAATGCCTGTTTTTTTCCTAGATAGGCCTGATGCTGAAACGTTCAAATCCGGTGTTATTTTACTGAAATCTGCTTTCTAACTAATTTTATCATTGCCTAAAATTGCCTATTTTAGCTTTTTCTGACAAAATGCCCTATTTTGCCTTTTTTCAGCCTATTTTGCATATTTTTACTAAATTTTGCGAATTTTTGGGCATTTTTTGAGAAAATTGTCGACTAAAAAATTTTTTTCTGGTAAAATATAAAATTTTTCCAAAAAATTTTTGTCAAAAAATTTTTTTTGGGTAAAATTTTCATTTGAAAAATTTATCAAATTATTTTTGGAAACAAAATAATTAATATAAATTAATTTATATGTAATTCTGATCGTCAAAATTAATTTATTTAACAGTTTATTGCTTAAATTTATTTTTTTGATAAAATTCTGTCAATTTAAATCAGAAAATCTCGAAAAAATCCTGCCTATTTTGCCTTTTTTCGCATTTTTAGTGCCTATTTTGGCAGTTTTTTAGTGCCTATATAGGCGCCTATTTTTAACTTTATCGTGCCTAAAAATCCGGGCTCTAATAATTACAAATGTAATTGTATTCTCCGGAATTGTAATATATTTTTCTGGAACACTCCAAACATTCGAAAAACATTTTCCGGAAACAATATAATATGATATTATAATTTCCGGAATTGTTTTCCGGAATTGTAATATACATGAACATTTTTCTATAACACTTTAGTTTAAGTAAGACATTTTCCGGAAATGTCTTCTTTGTCTATAGCTTCCGGAAGCCATATTTTCCGGAACAACTTATATAATTACAAATTGTATTTATATTTTCCGGAATTGTAATACACATAAACATTTTCTTGAAGTAGTTTACCAGTAATTTAAAAATTTTCCGGAAACAAAATAGAATATGTATGTACAACCAAAATTCTCTAACATTCTTCTTCCATTACAGACAAGCACAACAACAACATTTTATGTTTCTCTACTTACAATGATAATTTCCGGATCTTTTGGGCATTGTTTATTATTATATTGTGTTGCAACTACAAACACAGTTAAAAATACATAAAATTACAAATATAGAATTGAAATTTTATTTTCAGTTAAATACAGCAGTTACCCAAAATTGTTCAGCATCAATACAAATATTTATTGCCTATTTACTCTCTATCGAAGTTTTTTATGATTCCGAGCCAAATTTTACAACATTTTTGGGTGTTGTAATAGCTATAGTTTCAACAATTTTTTATTTTCTTTCTTCAAAAGATAAAGAATTTAAACCTAATGCACAAATGTCAACAAAATATCATTCTCTTGTGCAACATGAATAAACAGAAAAAATTTAAAAAAAAATTTTTTTTAATTTAAAAAATAATTTTTTTGTATTTTTTTTTCTATAAAAGCATTTGTATTTTTGGTAATTTAATTTTAAATTAAAATGTTGGCAACAATTTAAGCTAATTAATTATTCTTTTTTTCTTAAATTTTTTTTCTTTTAATTTTCGAACATTTCTTTTTTTCTTCTCCCAATTTTCTTATTTATTTGCTTGGACTCTTTTATAATCAATATATACTTTATTGCCAAGGAAAAGCTTCCCTCTGTTGTTTATTTCCTTCAAACTCTCGTTTTTTTAACCCTTCTAGCCGAGAAAAAATGTCGATGGTTGGTAGCTATAGAATATATAGTTAGTAGCTGGCAGCGACCTCAGAGGTTTTCTTTTATATTTTTTTTAATTTTAAAAGAAAATTTATTTTTTTAGAGTTATTTTTTGTGCAAAACTTTAGCAAAAAATTTATTTATTTTTTAATGTTTTTATTTTTTAATTTGGCCTTTTTCATCAAATGAAGAAGAAATGTTGTTTGTAAATATTGGCAGCCTCCTCCAATTTGTTTTTAATAGAAGACTAAAATTGAAGTTTGTATTTTTGTTAATTCTCGTTCCTTGTATTTTTGGCAAACAAGAACAAAGGTTTGAATTTTAAATTAAAAATAAAGTTTTTTGGAGGAGGGGCAAAACACCGTCCGAACAAAATACCGTCCAGACATTAAAGTAGGAAATACAGCCCGATTTACGGAAAATAAATTAGGTTCATCTCAAATTTATCTTCTAGACCATAAGGCTGTTTGAATGATGCTAGGCTAATACAGCACTTACATATTTGCCTAAAATTTTATTTTAAAATTTGTTAAATGTGAGGATAGTCGGACGGTGTTTCGCCCTTCATCCAATTTTTAAAAAATATTTTTAGTGTGATAAAGAAAGCAGAACAACTTTCACGTGCTCTTAGAAGCATTTTTGAGGATGGAACAAAATATGAGGAAATTTCTAAAGTAATTTTTATTAAATATTTAATTTATTTGAGTAAATTTCAAGGCATATTCGGACCTTACAGACGCGGATGTTTTTAATCCGGAAGAGGAATTGAAGACAATAAAGGAGGAAATTGAACAATATTTAAAGGAACGGGCAGCAATCGCTTGGAATGCCAAAATTAGTTTGGAACAACGCCCATTAAATTTTGATGAAGGAAAAAATGGGGAAAATGAAACTAAATTGGAAGATTTGAATGACCCAAATAAACATTCTTTTGTTCGATATTTGAATGTGAAGAAGATGAATGATGGCTCGACGCTTTATAAAAATAATTTTGGAGGGTCTTATGAGGTTTGTAAAAATTTTTTTTATTTAAAACAACTTGACAATAGGAAAGGGCGAGTCGGCCAGGGACTAAAATTTTCGATTTTCGGCGGCCGCCCTTGTCAATAGAGTTGTCCAAAACATGAGAGGTTGATAGTTAAATTCCCTTTCATTTTTTTTCCACAGGCATTTATGTATTTTCCTCATTTTCTTCAACTTAAAGAGGGACTCAACTATCAACCTAGCGCAACCCTTACTCACCTAATTTCCTCATAAAAACATTTTTTCTCTTTTTTAAAGGTAAACGGTAGTCGTCAAGTTCGTCTCCGCCCCAATCCAAATTTTTACGGTTTACCAACAAGTTCAGAATCTTCAGCTGTTCATGTACCCACACCTATATATAATAGAGGTTTTTTTATTTTCAGAAATTTTTATAATTTTTCCCAAAAAGATCCAGAATTGCTTCAACGTATTCGTTGGTCAGATATAGACCAACAATATCGCCGTAATAGAGAGCAATTAAAAGATTTAAATTTTCAGGTTTAATTAAAAAAAAATTTTTCTTTAATTATTTTCCCTTTTTTCAGAAGTTCTGCTCAGATTCTGGATTTATGCGTTTCTTTCCCAGTGCCCCATGGCTGTGGGAGGATAGACAATCAGAATTGGACCTGTTTGATTGTAGAGTAAGTTTTTCTTTAAATTTAGTTTTAAGCCCCCCCCCCTCTCCAAACGGACGAAATGGAAAACTAGAGAAAAGACGCCGCAAGGCGAGAATTTGTTCACGTTTTAGCATTTCGACAGCTTTTTAGGGCTTCTCATTGACATATCGGCATTTTGCCATTTTTTGTTTTATATTTTTAAAATAATTTTTTTATAAAAGAACACAGAATGGTATGTTGAAGCAGCTACGATCCCAAGAAATTTAATTATTCTTCTGGACACTTCTGGTTCAATGCTTGGCCAACGTTTTGAAATTGCTAGACAAACAATTGAATCGATACTTAGTTTGGATTTTTTTGAATTTTAAACATTTTTTGTATTTTTAGGTACATTGTCAGACAGTGACTTTTTTAATATAATTCAGGTTTTTTAATCTTTTTTTAGAATTTTTCTGAAATTTTTTTCTTTTCTAGTTTTCAAAAACAACCACTTTAATGGAGCAATGTGGAGACCGTGAACTTGTCCAAGCCTCTTTACGCAACAAAAAAGTGCTTCTTTCCCGGCTTAACAATATAAGTTCTGAGGGGAAGGCAGACTACGAGAATGCTCTACACAAAGCTTTTGTTGCCTTAATGAATGTTAGTTTATCTTAAAAATTAAAAAAAGACTTGGTGATACCGAGTTTTACGTGTCCCTTCTTTTCTTCCTTAATATTCTCTCGATTTCCCTGTAGCATATTCAAATAAGGGATATTAATAAAAGACTTCCGTGGATGCAAGTCTGACCATTATGGACATTTTAAGGAAAAAAGAAAATGGGAGGAACAAAACTCGGCATTATCAAAAACTTTAACTTAAAATTTTAAATTTTTGTTTGCTTTTTTTGCTTATATTTTTGCTTTAAAATGAGTTTTTCATTTTTGCTTTTGTTTTTTCAAATAGTTGCCAGAAGAAGGCGTTAAATGGATGACTAAAGAAGAAGTAGCTAAAGAAGCAGCAATTCACAGGTCTGAAGGGACTGAGCCTGATCCAGACATAAATTATATTCAAATGGAGGAAAAATGTAAGTTTTAATAAGATGAAGCTTCAAAAGTAAATAATCGTTTTGTGCAGTGCTTGTTGCTCCTGAACGCTTCTTAGACGCGGTAAGAATATTAATGCTTTTTAGGTGCTTTATTTGTTCCCTTGGCTTTTTTGGAATTTTACCCTTGAATTTTTCCTTTTTGTAATTTTACCATTTTCCAAGTTTACCATTTTAAATCTGACCCTTTTTTAATTTTAATTTGACCATTTTTTGCTTTTTCCTAGCTTTTGAAGCTTTTTGCCCAAATTTTTATTTTTGACATTTCTTATTGTTATCTGTTTACTATAGATTAAAATTTTTATTTTTAGATTCACAAATTTATGGGAAATCAACACCAAATGGGTTGTCAAGATGTTATTATTGTTTGTTTAATTTTCTATTTTTTTAAAGAAATAATTTTTTGTAGCTAATAACTGATGGAGCGCCAGGATTTTTTAAAGAAATATTTGAGCTTTATAACAAGGATAAAAGGGTTTTTTTTAATTTAAAAATTTTTTTAAAAATATTTTTTTAAGATTCGTTTCTTCTCTTTTGTAGTTGGTGAAGAAGCAAAAGATTTTGAACAAGTTAGGTGGATGGCTTGCTCAAATCGGGGGTTTATGGCTCATATTGTGTTTGTTTTTGAATTATTTTTTAGAAAATTTTTTCTTTTTTTCAAGTTCTATGGCAGATGTTCAAGAGGTTTTTTGTGATAAATTTTTTAACAAAATTTATTTTCTCGTTTAGAAAGTCCAACAATATGTTCGCGTTTTGTCAAAAACTGTAGCTCGTCAAAGAGCTGCGTTTAGTGAAAATACACCCCTTTGGAGTGGGGCTACAAGGGAAAGAATGGTTATTTTTTTATTGTTTAACTAACAAGGGAACCTCCCGAACTGTAACCAAAAAGTTTTGAATAAGAGTCATACCGTCATTTATTGCCAATTTTTTGGCCTTTTTGGCTTCGGAGCCATTTTTCGAATGGGTACGGGTCTTCAAGTTTTGACATATTTTGGAGTGGCTGAGTCCTCTCCATTTTTCATATTAGAGAGGATAATGCTCCTTTCTTCCCTCTTTTCTTCTCTTTTCTATCTTCCTTCTTTTTCAGTGTGGAAAAATGGTTCCTTGTAAGAATTGGTCTCGAAATTAATTTTTTAAAAATTTTTTTCTAGAGTGAACAATTAGCAGTTTCTGTATCTTTCCCAGTTATTTTACCTAATGGACAATTTATGGGTGTGTCTTCGGTTTCTGTACCTTTATTAGAATTAACTCAATTGGCACATCCTATTCGTATTGGTGGAAAAAGTCATTTTATTTTGTTGGATTCAAATGGTTATTTACTTTTTCATCCACAATTGAGACCTTTGGAATCCGCTACTGGTGAACTTAAATCTGGATTTAACAGCGTAGAATTTGCTGATGCTGAAATACAAAAACCTTTTTCGGTTTTCTTTTTAAATTTTTGGAAAATTTTTAAAAAAATTTTTGAAGGCTAATCGTGTCTCTATTGATTGTTCTACTGGAGCTGTTGAGCCTAGAAAACTTGAAACTATTTTTGCTTTTGATGAAATGGTATTTTTTACTTACGTTTATAAATTAATGATAGGCCTTTGTGTCTATGTGAGACTATCCTTGAAAGTCAGCAAAGTAATCTGGAGGGTAGGGTTACTCAAAACCCCAGACTTTCTTCTATCCGAAACCCGACCCGAAGAACGTTTTGAGAACCCCTACTGAAAAAAAAAGAATAAAAAAAAGAATCCCCGTTCTGACTCTTTTCTCATGTCAGCTCGGCCATCTCAGGTACAAGAGAGAACATTCCTATTTTTTCAAAGAAATGTCATCAAACGAATTTTTTTCGGAACATTTTTTTGTGACTTTTAGTTTTTTTTTTAATTTATTTTTTTAAATTAATTTTTAATTATTTTTAACATTCCTTTTAATTTTTTAGAAACACATATACCCTCAAAACAAGTAATCCTTTTACTAAAAATGTTTTAAATTGCTTCTCTTTTTCAGTCATTACCACGTTGTTTGTATTTCTGGAACTCCTTATACTCTTTTATTGGCCCTTCCAAAGGATGACGTTCAAAGATTGCGGAGAACAATACCTTTAAATTTGTCTTTGTTTAAATTGAGTTGGTTAAAAGGGAATGATTGGCGGTTACAAAAAAATTGGAAATATTGTTTACTTAATGATAGTGATTGGGCTATTAGGTTTTTCTTAAAAATTAAATTAAGGACATAACCGAAAAGAAAGTTGCCATAATTTTTAGTGCTAGGGAACACGCCGAAGTACCAAGATTCTAAAAATTGCCCAGATATGAAACTGAAAAGAATATTTTACATTTACGGCAGGGGTGTACCTTTTCGTCTTTTGCCAAATTTTCGCCTTTTTTGCTGTTTTGTCTTCCGCTTTTTAAATTGAAAGGTTTCCCTATCAACGTTTAAGGTTGTTTCAACAACCCACATTTTAGTATTTCGGTGTATCTTTTGGGAGTTTGGTATTTTGGCGTTTGGTATTGTTTCATCATACTATTAATTAAAAGAAAAATTTTTTCAGTGAAGAAGATGCCTTTACTGAATATATTAAACAAATGCAAGAAAGTGGAAAATTTCCAGGTTTTTTTTAAATTTTCATTGAAACTTTAATTTTTCCAGAATTATGTAAACCTCGTCAAAAATTAGTTGAAAGAGCCTTGCTTGATTTACAAGCATCTAATGGATTTTCTCAACTTTGGAATAGGGAATGGGAAAGAAATAAAAAGTATTTTTTTAATTTGATTAATTTCTTCTTATTTTTTAAGGAATGGAATCCATTTGGCCTTCTTTGTGGGGACTTCAGGCGTTGTTCGCTTTAAAAATGAAAGTTTGGATCGTTTTCTGTATGATTTTGTGGAAAGTGAAAATTCAGTGTAAGGAATTTAATTTAATATAGGAACCGACATTCACATGTAGGGGAGTTGTGATAATTCACTACAGGCTGTGACACTGGGTCTCACGTAGAAAATTCATTATAACATCTCCGGGCAACATTAGAGATGGGTTGCACACTGGTTGAACCCTTGTAAGAATTTTTTATTTTGTGGTTTATTTCTTTGATTTTTGACTTGGCCCGTGTGCGGGTTCGATCTCCCACAGTTCCCTTCGTTTATTTAAATTAATTTTTTAAAATCAGAAAATAATTTTAATTTTTCTAGACCCTCACTTTACCGTCACTTTTTACTTGATTTAAATCCAAACGCTGCAGAATCTGATTTTTTCCGAAGAGCAACAAGGCAACCTGAAGGACAAATAATATTTGATTTGAATAGAAAAAGTTTATTTTTAATTAGATTAATTTTTAAAAAATTTAAAAATTTTTTAGCTCGTCTTAGGCATAATAAAAATGGAAGAAAAACAGCTTATGGTCATGCTGAAAAAGATGCTATATTAGCTTTGGCATATAAAGCAATTAAAGTAGATGGGGCATTAGCTGGAGTTGTTGGAATTGAGGTTTCGTTTTAATAAAGTTTTTTTTTGGGACTACCCCGGAAGGTTAACTGATCCTGGTGGTCAACTCCAAATATTTGGGCGGATAAAGAAGAATTTTAAGGAAAGGGGGTATAGGTGGATTTGGGAGGATTAGAAAGGTTTTGCTATGATTCTAATCCTCGTGTAAGATGTTTAAGGGACAGAAGACAGAAATTCTCTCTTGCAATTGCCAGATAAGGAAAAAGGATAAGGTCAATGTATTTTTTTCTTGAGTTCCCTCTGTCCTCCCGAATATCTGGAGAGTTGACCTCCAGGATGTTGACTTCTGAGAGTTGACCGACTTGCTTGGGCCCGCTTTTAAAGATAAAAAAATATTTTTTCAAGTTTTTATATGATTCTTTACTCTCTCAAATGAGACATATTGGATGTTTATCAGATAATAAAAAGGGCGAAGAAGAAGAAGAAAATTCTCGTTGTTATTTATTAGACGAAAATGGCTTTGTTATTTTCTCAAGTTCAAAAAACACAAAATATTCTAATTTTGTTGAAACAAATATTTTAATACCAGAAAAATTGAAAATGATGGGGGCAAATAATTTAAATATAAATTTTAATAATCAAAAAAGAAGACAAAAAGGAGGAGGAAATTCTTCATTATTTGGACAAAGAGGAATTTGGGCACAACAAAAAATATTAAAACAACAAAAATTGGAACTTGAACAAAATTTGGAATTGGGAAAATTTTTTGGACAATTAAATAGAGTTGCTGAATGGACAATGGAATTGTTGATACGGAGAGGGTTTTATAAAAGGTTTTTTAAATTATTTTTTGTGGAGCATGACATTTGATCCCAAAATTTGTTTTCTCTGGATTTTTGTTTTTTGTTGCCCTCTGCTTGTATTTTCTGATTTAGTGTTCAAAAAGTAAAATTAGAAAATAATTTACTAAAAAAATAAATGAGATAAAGTGTCACCTTCAGAGAAGGGGTTGAAAAATTGAAGATGACATTTGGTCCCAACAATTATTTTTTCGTCATTTTTAATTTTTTGTTGCCCTTTTTTGTGTTCCCTTGTTTGTTTGTATTTTCTAATTTTGAGTTCAAAAACTAATTAATTTACTAAAAAATAACATCTTGGGATCAAATGTCACCTTTCTTCCAAAATTGTTCAAATTAAAATAAATTTTTTTTAATTTTCCCAGGGATTACTTTACCGATGCTCAAGCAATTTGTGATCCTCCAAATGATGACTTTCAATCACAACAATATTCAATTAATAATCCAACAATAACGCCTACAACAACCACAACAAATACTATAAGTATTACTTCTGCTGCTTCTAGTCATTCTTTTAAAATATTTCCAGCATTTTTGGTTTGTTTTTCTTAAAAATTTTTTTTTAATTTTAAAAATTTTTTCAGTCATTTTTAACTTCATTAATTCAATTTATTAAACAATTTGTCTCAATTATTGCAATTTTGCTCATTCCAAATGAATTGCTATCAGCTTCTTTTATTCCAATTAATAGTTTTGTTTTTATTTTTTTTATTTTTAAAAAATTTTTTATTTAAGCCTTCTCTAGTCTTTTAAAAATAACTGATGGACGCTTTCAATGTAGAATGCATTCATCTTTTTATTTGGGGCAAACAAATGTTAGTAGTGATGGGGTAAATGGTGCTTTGTTGGAAAGTGATTCTTATGGTTATTTTTTTGGTTTTTTATAAATATTTCTAGTAATTTGACTGTCTTTAGAATTAAGATACTCCTTTACAGTTAGTCTAACATAAAAATAGAAAAATAGCGATGACATTTGGTCCCTTTATTTTTCTGAATTTAAATTTCAACAAAATCAGCTCTCCTCTCTCTCTCTCTACTCAGTGAACGTGGGAGCTGTTTAAGCGTGTTCCAACTTTAGGTTGACATATGTAGAAACCGGATTGGGAGGGGGAGTCTTACGAGAATCGAACGGGGAGGAGGATCGTATAAAAATCGAGATTGATATCTCAAAAAATTTCGATTCTCGGTAACCTAGATTTTTGTTCAAGATCCCGTTTTGTCTCTAATTATAAAGTAGAAAAATTTTTTTTGTTAAAATAATTTTTTAGAAAGACCATGTTCACAAAATGCCGCCCAATGTGCTGTTCGTGTATTTGCTTCATGGGTTCCCCATACTAATTTACTTTTGTATTTTTTACTTCTAAAAATTTCAAAACTTTTCCCACTTTTTAAGAGTAATAATTCGACAAGATTCTCATTCTCAATGTTTTTCTCACGATTCATTTAGTCATTGTCCATTATCTCAACCTCCATCAATTCCTTTTGGATTTTCACAAAATCTTCCAATTTCTACTCAAGATTCTTCAGAACAACAACAACAACCATCAAATAATCAAAATGTCACAACCACAAGAAAGGAATAAACCAATTCAATGTCTTAGAGATGATTTTTTGGAGGTTTATTTTAAATTTAATTTAGCGTAAATGCTCTAATATAATCCTTGGGATTCTGTTAGGTGTCCATCTCTAATAGAAGCCCTTCCAAGGAGATCCTTTGAAAAACAGAACCCACCTCTCTATTAGAAGCCCATTCGAGGGGACATTGAAAAATATAATCCCACTCTCTAATAGAAGTCCTCTTTCTAATACAAGTCACTCCGAGCAGACCCATTGAACCTCTTATCCTTAATAGGAACCCGCTCTCTAATAGAAGCCCTCATTTTATTAGAAGCCCATATCAAAGAGACAGTGAAAATAGAAGGCCAGGGTATTAATTAAAGCATTAACGGTAATTAAAAAATTATTTTTTTCTTTAAAAAAGGACGATGCTGACGAAGAAACATGTTCTGGAACAAATATGATTAGAAGAAAAAATTGGTTTATTACTTTGTTTAGCTCAATATTAGTTATTTTTGTAACTTTATTAATTTTTAGATGAAAGGTTTTTTTAACTTTTTTTATTAGGATTAATGAATCTCATTCCTTTACTATTTACAATAAATGTTTTAATAGAAGCCCTAGGAGTTAATTTTTCATGGGTCTCGTTGAGCTATTAGTCAATAGGCTTTTATTCCTATACATGGGACATAGGCTTTTATTCCTGAAGTTCTCTCTAATATCCGTATGGACTTTTATTGGAGATGGGCTTCTATTGGAACTTTTATGGTAAATTTTGTATATATTTAATATTTGTTTTTATATGTTTTGAAACAATTTTATTTTTTTTTAAATATTTTTTGATAAATTTTTAAATAATATTTTGGAACGTCCTCCTCACTAAATTGGTTGCCAAGCCATTTTGTAACTATAAATTTCTCTTTTTTAAATGTTCATCGATTATTTTTTTATTAGATTTTGATTTTAATTTTTATTTTCAGCTGATAATTTCCAAAAAATTTAAAAAATGGGCGCTGTTTTTGCTATGCCTGCGTGCGCTGCCTCTGTACAGTTTTTTAAAAATTTTTTAAAATTTTTTAGGAGGCTAGGAAAAAGATTCTCTGAAAATTTTTTCTTTAAAATTTTGTATAAATTGATGTATTTTTAGATGGCCTGCTGTTTTGGAAGTGCTGCTTGTTCCCTTTGCTGCAATGTTTGTCCATCAACTCGAAATTCAACAACAACCCGAATTATGTATTCCTTAATGCTTTTGGTTGGAACTTTGACTTCTTGTTTTTTACTTTCCCATTGGCTTCAAAATGCTTTGGCTAAGGTTTTTTTAAATTATAAATTTTTTTAAATTTATTTTCTAAAAAGGATGGTTGGCTTTGTACTATAACACACACAGGAGAATTGTGTGAAGCAATTATTGGATATCAGGCTGTTTATCGGTTTTTTTAAATTATTTTTTGAAAGATTTTTAAGAATAATTTAAGGGGTAGATGTCCGCGAACCAGTTTCGCGGACTCATAATGTTCAGTTAATCCCTAATTTATAAAATAGAAAAATTAGGATGCTCTGACCGTTATGAGACCATTTTGATTAAAAATCCGCATAAATGTCCACAAAAATACCAAATTCCTTTTTTCAGTGTTTGTCTAGGAATGGCTGCTTTCTTTTTCATTTTTATGATTTTGATGCTTGGAGTAAGATCCAGTCGCGATGCTCGTGCTCAAATACAAAATGGATTTTGGTTTTTTAAATATTTGTTGCTTGGACTTTTGGTCTTTGGCTTCTTTCAAATTACTGACAAAACACTGGCTACACGTATATTTTTTATTTTTTTCTGGGTGGGGTCCCCTCCTTGTAGACTTAGAATATTTTCGGGGTTGTTGTCAGATCGAAGCTTATTGTTAGCTGTGATCAATGGAACTAGACCAGGGACCCGAGAAGGCCAGGGATCTGGTCACCCGAGAACCGAAACTCGGACTTCGTTACGGAATTGGGAACACGATCCTAAGAGAATTTTGACAAACTGACCCGTTTCTTTTTCTCACTCGGCCTGGCCCTACTCTGAGCCAGACCTTAATTTTTCTTAAATCCATTGTCAAGACAATAAATTTTTTAACAATTTTAAATTTAGCAATGATGTGGATTGGAATGATTGGAGCTTTTGTTTTTATTCTTATTCAACTTGTATTTTTTTCCTCTTTTTCTCTAAAATTTCTTCTCTTTTTTAAAGGTTTTAATTGTCGATTTTGCCCATGGAATAGCAGAAAATTGGGTTAGAAATTATGAAGATAGTGAATCTAAATGGTGTTTTGCTGGCCTAATTTTCTTTACTTTTGGATGTTATGCACTTTCTGTTTTTGGAGTTGTAATGCTGTTTATTGTCTACACATCAGTATTTTTTTATAATTTTTTAAAATTTTTCTAAAAATTTTTTTCAAAGGGAGCTTCTTGTCTTCTTGGAAAATTCCTCATTTCCTTCAATTTAATACTCTGTTTCGCCCTTTCTGTGATTTCTCTACTTCCAAAGGTTCAGGAACATATGCCTAAATCTGGACTTCTTCAATCTGGGTTTATTACGCTTTACGTTGTTTATTTGACTTGGAGTGCTTTGACTAATAATCCAGGTTTTTTAAAAGTAGAAATTAAATAGGATGTGATATATGTTCCCGTTGGTGTTATGGTTAGTGGTCTGGGTTTTGTGTGGTGAGGGTTGTTGGGTTCGGGTCCTTTCGGTGATAAATGATTTTTTGAGTGAAATTAATAATTTTTAAAATTCTTTAAGAAGCTTTTTTCGACGAAAAAAATTTTTTTTATAATTTTAGAAGCATGAAAAACAACTTTATTTTTAAGATTATTATTTTTTCCATCCATTTAAGGGTTAATTTCCCCCAAAAATATTTTTAAAAATAATTTCCATTTTTTTCTAGATCATCAATGCAATCCTTCATTAATTGATATTGGAAGTTCTTCAGGAGGAAATTCAACACATTATCAACCTACTTCAATTCCACTTCCAGTTAATTCTATAGTTTCTTTGGTTATTTGGTTTTGCTGTTTATTGTATGCTTCAATTCGTACTTCAGCTTATACAGCAATTGGAAAAATTGGGACAGATGGGGAAAATCGTGGTGGTGAAGGTCAGGACATCCCTTTAAGTAAGATTAAATTTAAGGGAAAGAAAAAAGGCTAGGAATTGATAAAAATTTTAAAAATTTCTGTTGATTAATTCTTAAAAATTTTTAAAGGCGAAGCTTCAGTCTCAATGGATGATGGTGGACATGGAACTCGAGTTTATGACAATGAAAAGGAACGTGTTGCTTATTCTTATTCATTCTTCCATTTTATTTTTGCTTTGGCATCTCTTTATGTTATGATGACTCTTACTTCGTGGTACACGTTAGTAATTTTTTTATTTTTAAGGGAAAATCCTGGTGGATTAAACCAAAAAAGGGTGGATAAAGGCGGATTTGGGAATATTTGGAGCTAAGAATTGACCCTCCTTTTTGTTGGGAGCTGACCTTTTGGGTGTAGTTCCGAAAATTCTTTTTTAAATTTCTAGGCCAACGAATTTAAATTTGAAAGAAATAAACAACAATATGGCATCTGTTTGGGTCCGTATTGTTTCTTCTTGGCTTTGTGTTGGGATATATATTTGGACTTTAATTGCTCCAGCTTTGTTCCCTGATCGAGATTTTAATTTTTAAAGAAAAAAATAATCCAACGAAACATTGATAAAACTCTATTTACTTAGATTGTAAAAATGAATCCATCTGTACTTCTGACGGTTTCCGAACCATTTCTAAGCTTATACGGCACTGAAAACTTTAAAAAATAATTTTTCAAAAAATTTTTATACTGCGGATTTATAATTTTAAGAAATCACAATTGTTGTTCGAAATTGTCGTATCCGCAATCGTCGTCCGCAATTATTTCATCCGCAATCGTCGTACAGCCAATTTTTAGTCGTTTCAGGTCACACTTGATGACTTCTATATTTATCTATTTGGACTTTAATTGCTTTGATCTTGGTCGATTTTATGCCGTATTTGTAAACGGGTACACGACATTTAGGCGCGGCCAAAAGGCGACATTTTTCGGCGCAGCCTGTTTTCGGCGTTTACGGAAAAATTTAAATATACAAATAATAACTCATTTGCATGAGTTCGACGAGCAGTCTAATGATACCGAAACCAGCTTGATTTGTAATTATGCACAAACTCCAACAGAATATCCGCTGGAAAACTGTTTGTGCTACGGAGGGTAGGCCGGGCATGGTCTTCGCTGCGGTCGTGATCGCATCGTCGCGGCGACCGTAGCGAAGCGGCGGCCGTCGTTCCGCTCGACATGCCCAGCTTCCTCCGCAGCGGCAAACTTCTTTCCGCGGAGGTTGATGTGTTTGTGTTTTTGCTCCAAACGCCGAAAACATGCTGCGCCGAAAAATGGCGCCTATTTGTCCCGCTCTGATGTAAACCTATTGTCAGACTCAATGGCTATTCTCAACCGTCTTTATATTAAAGAACAAATTGCCCTTTATTTATCGCTCATACATTACACCAAAAATAAATTTTCGTCAGATTGAAAAAAATTAAAAATCATCTTTAAATGGAACACACAGATTCTTAAAAAATTACTCAAAATCCCATCTTTTCTTAATTGTTATCTCCTTGTCCAGGGAATGACTGATACGTTGTACCACTGACACCTGGATTCATTTGAGTGTCAGATGTAGAATGTTGTTGAGGAAAGGCACCACCAAAACCAGAACTTTGTTGTGAAGCATCAAGTTCACGTTCGATATCACCAAATATATTTTGAAAAGCTTGCCGTTCACCGAGATCTTCTGTCGGTTGTTGTTGATTAGTTGTTTGATCCAAAGAAGTTCGGGAAAGCAAGCTCTCGTTGAGTTTGTCCGATTTGTCCAAAGCCTTGTCAACCAGATTAGTATATTTCTCCAACAGATGTTCATAACGCTTCCTCTCCTCATCATAACGATTCTTCCACTCTTCATGAAATTTCTTCTCACGTTCTAAATCTTCTTTCTTTTGTTGTAATTGAAGATTAAGGCTTTCAATCTTTAAAAGAAAAAATAGAAAAAGTTTTGAAAATAAAAAACCTCGGCGTCTTTAAGGCGCAAATCATTTTCCACTTCATAAGGCGGAGAGGAAAGTGCAGGTCGTTTTCGTGGACGACTTGTAGAAGCCGCGCTTGAAGGGCATAGAACGCCTAAATAGAAAATTTTTTTAAAAATTTATAAAATCAGCGCGTGTCAATGAGCATAAAAAGCTAAAAACAGAAATTAAATAACCTGATGGACCAGGTGGAATTCCCATCCATTTACAAACAAAACTCAAAAAGTCTTCAAAAGCTTAAATATTTTAAATTTAATTAAGAATTCAAAAAAAAAACTAACAACAGTCTATAAATCCATTCTCGTCCTGGTCAATTAGTTTAAAAGCATCCTTAACAAGACAAACAAAGTCTTGCCCTCCCGAATAAAATTTATCTCTCAAAGCACACATTACAGACAAAAACCCATCAAATTCTTGAATAAACATTTCTTTTAATTTGTAAAAAATCATTACCAAATCGGATAGTACCGCTTCTTGTTTGATCACGTTTGCTGAATGCATCAGTCACCTCATACAGGAGATGTACAAGTTTTTCAAAATTAAAAAACGTAATTGTTCCTGGGTTGTTCGGGCTTTGAAAGGTTTGCATAAAACGTTCGTACAGCGGATCAGAGAGAACGAAACCTGTATTTTAAAATTTGAATTTTTTGAGACAAAATATCGTCTTTGTATCCCCCTTAATCAAATCATTAATGACAAAAATGGCACGACCTTTCATTTAACAATTCAATAGAAAAATTCAAAAAAAAAGGAAATTTCACAGAAAAGGAGAATCAAAACTTAAATTAGAATCTAAAATTATACCAAATTGGCTAATAGTTGACTTAAGCTGCTCTACATTAATCGTCTCATTCATTGTCGGGTATGGCATAGCTTCTTGCTAGAAAATTTAAAGAATTTATCTCTAAAATATCAATTTTAATAAGGAAAACAAAAACGTGCTTCAGAAAATTATGACCCAGTTTGGATCCAAGTTATGTCACTATTGATTTTTTGGTTTCTTCTTAAAAAAGGAAAAGAGTTAAAAGGGGCGGGGCGAAACCACACAGGTATTAGAAAAGATCTTAAAAGAAATTTAGTAAAATCTTGCTACAAGGAGAAGTATTAAATAAACATTTTAAAAGGAGAAAAGTAATGTTAGGTTTGGCGTAATGTTATTTTTCTCCTTACTCATGGGGATAATTGAGTCCCGCCGGATGAGTTCCTAAGACATCAATAACTTTTTGGGGTTTCAACCATTTCGAATAGCTCTTTTATCTTTCGAAAGCTCTGGATGTGACGATTATTTTATCTAACAGGATAGTTTTAATCGGATCATCGAACAAAAGGTTACAACCAGATAAATGCGCTTAATCGTGATTTATGATCTTTATTAGGTCGTGACCTCAAGTGCTTTTGCATTTATTCGATTAAGAATCGAAAAAGGTAATTGGGCGTGTCCTTACTCAAATATGGCTCAGGGATTCAAACGCCAGGACTCAACTGGAACATTTCGCCTTACAGAAATTAGTGATTGCAAAATCAATAGAGCAAGATGAGTACTTTCAAATATCTTTCCGCATTTTCATTTTTTTCTCCTAAAGCACACAGTTCTATCATCGGTTCTTCGAGACAAGCCGAAGAACTACATATTTCTTTTTAGTTCGAAAACTTGATTTTGGAATATTAGAAAATCGGTCGGTTTTCGATCGGTTCTTCTACAAATCTGAAAAATTTCGACTGCTGCGCTTCGAATCAACTTTGACTTCTTTTTTGTTTGGGTTTTGATACCAGAAGATATTTGATAACCGAATATTTCTACGCAAGCCTAATTCATTCGAAAGAAATGCGGGAGAGAATAAAGAAAACTGATAGGCTACCTGTTCATGAATAGTGTATTAATAGATCGGTATTTTCGAGAGTTTGATTATCGAACAATGCAGTGACGAGCTTATCTTATACCTAGGAATTCTAAGCCTGGAATTGGAGTTGGAAATTTTGGAAATTTCTTAGAAAAACGAGGAAAGGAGACTTGGAAAAGTGAATTTCCTCTAGGAAAAAGTAGATTAGGTACTAAAAATTCCTTCGGTTGGTTATCTCCAACCATTTTATTTTTATCCTCCTTCCTTTTCCTTTCCCAAAAAATACACATGAGACAAAGTAAGTTTTAATAAAATTTTAAAGAATCAAAATCCTTAATCAGAAAAAGGTACTCAGAGTAACATACTGTTAAGGATTAAATTTGTCTAAAAGGACACCAATTATTGGTTAACCGATCGTTTTATATCCTATTAGAAAGGTGTTTTTTAGATTAGAATATTAAGGATTTTAATTCTTTAAAATTTTATTAAATTTATTTTGTCTCATGTGTATATTTGGAGAAAGGAGTAGAAAAATAAAATGGTGGGAGATAACAAATACGTACTAAGAATTCTTTTCCATATCCATGTTTGGACCCCTGGAAGGAAACAACCACTTGATCATAAATAGTCTTATTGGAAAATTACACCACAACATGCATAGGTAAATTATTTTATGGAGAGGAACGTTCCGTTTTAGAAAAAATTCTTTACGCCGAAAGATGTTCGGGTTCTCGTCCGTCCTCAACTGAAACAGTAGTCCTTCTCCTTTAGTTCAATCAGAAATATTTTTTTACCAAAAAAATTTTTTTTGGTATTTTCTGTTTGTTTTGCTCTATTTTTCTCCTTTTCTTTTCATATATTTATCGTGGAATTTTACTTCCTCCAATGGCTGTTTGCTACTTTTAACTAAAGAACTAACAAAAATACCGTACTCTAAATTTTAATTTTCACCGTAATTTTTTGTAAACAAATGTAGCTAGTGCAAAAAAATTTATTTTTTCTTCTCATATTTTTCCGTATTTAATATTTTTATTAAAACTGCCCCAGAATCATCAGTACTTTTATCCGCCCAAATTTTTGGAGTTGACTTTTAGTGTAATTTGACCTTTGGGAGTTGACCTGGGTGTTGACATTCTGGGATGACACCCCCTAATTTTCCTATTTTCTCCTTTAACATCAAAGAATATAAGACGAGGTGTCTATAACCTAAACAAGTCAATGACGAGAGGCAAAAGCTTCAGAAATGTATCACTACTTTCATAGGTTCATTATCTCCACAAAAATTCCCCTATAGTCAGGAATAGAGAAAACAAATCAGAATTGTGGCGAGTTAACCGAACCCGGAACAACTCGAAACCCAAAGCGACTTTTTTTTATAGATTAACTCTCTCTCAATTCCTCACGGCTCCAGTTATACCCCCTAAAAATTACTTTCATAGGTTCATTATATATAAGACAAATCTGCTGCTAGGTTCGGTTCGAGATCTACTGCTAGGTTCGAGACTTTTATCCAAATATTCTTATCTGACAATTCCAGGTGAAACAAAAGAGGTGAGTGAAAGATGATAGGCGTGAAAGAAAGAAAGAAAAAAAATAATAAGACGGAAAAGCGCTATTACTAAATTAAGTTTTGGAATGCTCTTTAGTGTGTTGCGTGGTTGAGTGGGTTGGTGTTAGGTTCATATTCTTGCTTTCCTTAATTTACTGCTAGGTTCGAGTCTGACTTATGAAAAAACAATTTGTTTCTTTTTTAATGTATAATACAAATTATTATAAACAAACTTTTTTATTCAAAAAGTTTGTTAAATTTTTTTAATAGATCCAAAAAGTTTAAAAAAATTCCAAAAAAGTCCAAAAACTCGATCCATTTAAATCATAAAAGGCTCCATCTATTTTTGGGACCAAATATTTTGATTTGACCTTTTGGGAGTTGACTTTAGGGTCACCAACAGGGTGTTGACCTTCTGGGCGGACCCATTTTTTTCTTTTAAAGTAAATAAATTACCTTATATTTTAACAAAATTTTTCCCATAAAAGAATAAACAATTGAAGAACTTGTTGTTAATTTTATAGCAAATTTACTCCATTCTCCTCTTTTTTTTTCTACTGTTTTATTTGCTGTATTATTAGTTAAAGTTGCGTATTTAACTGATTTAAATATATCAGCAAGCATTTCAAATGGTAATGATGATTGAATATTTGTTTTTGATTTTTTAGACATTTTTCTTAATAAAAAATTACAAATTTTTGGGTAATACTTAAGCTTTTTTGGTATCTCTTTAGATTGATGATTTTTTTGCGGATTTTTAGACTGGTATTCTTTTCAAATTTTTTTTTAAATGTGCGAAACAAAGGACTTTTTAAATATTTATATTAAATTGTTTCTGATTTACTTTACAAAATTCTTTTTGTCATTTTCAGTGTTGAGTATTAGGCATTTTGTCATTTTCAAAGACTGGCTCAGAAACTAGCCCTGAGCCATACCAGTCTTTTCAAATCATTTTTGAAAATTTGTAAAACAAATATTTGGCGTAGAAAATAATGTAACAACAAACTCTTTTAATTTAAAAAATCCGCAAAAAACGAATTTGGTCTCAATGCTTTCTTTTATCGAGATTAGTATTTAAAATGTAACTTACTATGTTGTAAAATATTTTATTATTATTGTAGTGATGGAGAAATTTTTGGAAATATTTAGTAATTTGTATTTAATGCCACAGAATTTTAAAAATTTTAGGATTTTTTATTTATTATTTTGTCCAAGACGCATACAAAAATGAAAGGAACGAGTTGAGATGACCTAGTGTACGTAAATATATCGATTTTTGGAGGAATGCTTAGTGTCGGCTGCGCTTGGATTCGTCCCTTTTTGTTTCGTCCCCCTGAACAAAACTTTTGTTTCGTCCCACTAAGTTAATAATTGACAAAAAGCTCTAATAAACATAGGATTTTCCACGTTGTTAAAAATCCAATGCTCTAGATAATTGATTATAAAATTTGAAAAATTAAAAAATGGATGGTAAAAAAATTGGTGATTGATGATCAAAAACTTGAAGATCTTTTGATGATACATTTTAAGCCTGAACAGCTTCATTTAAACATGTGCAACTTTAATCAAAGTTAATCAAGGTAAGATAGAATTTATCAATTTTAGTTACCATAATCGACAAATTTATACAGTAGCCATTGCGCTCTCAGAATTGAGCACTCAACCGCCTATACAAATTCCGATTAATTAAAAGACCGCTGCAATAAAACACCGAAATAGCCGAAAGCAGTTAAAAGACCTATTAATTAAAAGACCGCTGCAATAAAGAACTAAATGGCCGAAAGTAGTTAAAAGACCGAGTAATTAAAAGGCCGATTCAATAAATGACCGAAACAGCCGAAAGTAGTTAAAAGACCGAATAATTAAAAGATCGCTGCAATAAAAGACCAGAACGGGCGAAAGTAGTTAAAAGACCGAATAATTATAAAAGACCAGTGCAATAATCAATTATTGATTGATATTGCCTTTATCGATTATAGTGATTTTTGAAGAATATAAATTTTGTAAAATTTTACAAAAACAAATTATCGATTAGTATCGATTTTTTAAGATTAAAATTTTAAAGTATTACTATCACACTCAATGATCGCACTCAACCGTCTTTTATTTTTGGGATAAAATGTCATTTATTTGGCGTTCACTGCATTATGCCACAAATGTGCGAAATTTTAAATTTCCAAATTCTTCAGACTCAAATAAACAAGACTCTAGCGTCCCTTTAAAAATAATAGGATAAATTGTCATTTATTTGGCACAAGAAACATTACACCAAAATTTCGCAAACTTTCAAACTATCAAAATTTCACATTCCCCACATTATTTCTCGTTTCTTTTTCAATTTTTCCCTTAAATAAAACTCTTTTTTATCTTTATTATTAAAACAATTAAACAGTAATATAATTAATTAATGTTTCTGAGCAATTTCACTAAAAAATTGTAATATATCCTCAATTCCAACTTCAAGTTCAATTTTTGAGCCTAAGTAGCATTTAGAGATTAATTGTTGATAATGTTTAACTTGATTAAGAAATTCTTCTTGCATTTGTCTCCAAACAACTTGCAATAAAGAGGAATCATTACTACTCAAATGTTTCTCAATTTTTTTATATAAATTTTCCAATCCTTTTTTAACTTCTTTTGCTGGATAAGCTGTTGTTACTCGTTTTAATTCTATTCTAGAAAATTGTTGTTCATAACTAATTTCTTGTGGAGATATTCCATTTTCCATTAAACGTTCAATTCTTTCAAAGAAATTCTGAAAAATTTTTTTAAATTAAAAAAATGATTTTTAGTCTGTCAGGCTCAACTGTCTGGTGCTCAAACGTCCTTAAATTTATGGGATAAAGTGTCATTTATTCGGCGTAAGACACATAACACCAAAATTGGCAAATTTTTAATTACGAACAAAAGTTAAATTCCCCACGTTTCTCTAACCAAACATTTCTTCGCTCTCCTCTTATAAAAAATATTTTTCTACTTAAAAAATTAAAAGAATTTACATGAATTTTTTCTAAAGGTCTTCCCAGCATTTCTCTAACATAAATTGTAACATTTTCTTGATATTTTTGTCTAACTTCTTTTCGACGAGCATCCAAACAAGGAATTTTTAATTCCGAAAGTATTGCTTAAAAATTTAAAGTTTATAAGAGAGATTAGAGGGGAGCAGGCTCTGCGAATTAAAAAAATCCTGGGGGACCTGGACAAAGCTCTAGGTAAACCGCTAAACCTGGTAAACTGGACATAGTTCTAGGTTCGAGGAGAAAAATCTAAAAAGGCTGGACCAGGATTATGGACATTTACAAAAAAAAACCCAGGGCTTCCGAAAATAATAAGAAATAGCCCTATAAAAACCCCTCATCCACTTTAGCTAAAAGAATGTTCAACCTCCTCCCCCCCTCCCTAAATAAAAAATTCAACAAACAATAAAAAGCATGAAAATTTTCCATTCTAACAACAGCAGCTGGGCATTTTGAATTTGGCGATTCAGCGGCATTATCAATCCCAATAATTATTGCTATAGTTAATTTTTCTAGCCATTTATCCAAATCAACTTTCCTTTCAGATTCCGCAAAAATTTTTATTGAAGATTTTGCCAAGGAGCCAAAACGTCCAATTGTATCCAAAATCCCAATTCTTTGTCGTTTTGTTATTGAAATTTTTGAAAATGAATTTTCTATTTGATTCTGAAAATTTTGAAACAATTATTAGGAAAAAATTAAAAAAATAAACCATTTGTTCGTCAGAAAGCCTTTTTAAGGCGACTAGAAAAGAGCCATAAATTATTGAAAAATAGGAAGAAGGATCACAAAAGTTATTCATTTTTCGTGTTAGTACAACATAAATTGAGATTATACTTTAAAAATAAAATTTAAAAATATTTTTTTAATATTAAAAAATAATTTATAAATTTAAAAACTAATTTTTACTTAAAATAAATAAATAGGCAGATGCTAGGTATCGAACCCGGACCATTTCTGTGTCTGAACCTAACCCCCTAACCACTCGGCCACTTCAACACTGATTGACATTTTCAATTTTACTAATAAAAGGAAATCCGCATTTTAATAAAAATAGATAAATTTATGAAGGGAAGCCTAGTCCTTAATCTATAATAAAAAAAAATTAAAAAAAACCACAAACGTTATATGATGATCATTATAAATAGAAACTAGTCCATAAAAATAAGTAGGTAAAGGTTCAAATATTCTTCCAATTGCAAATTTTATCTTTAAAAAATTTTTTTAATTTCAAATTAAAAAAAACCTGATCATTTAATTTATTTTCCATTGTTTTATTTGTTGATTCGCCTAGAAAATATATTTTTTATTATAAATTTATTTTAAAAACCATTTTTATTATTAAGTTCACTGTCCAATTGAGATATTACATCCGTATTTAAATGAAAAAAACGAATACAAAATTTTTGTTCACTTTCTACAACAACACGGCATTCAGCTACAGCAGTTTCTATTAACTATAAAAAATTATTTAAAAAATATTAAAAAAAAATTTTATAATTAGGAACCTTAGTTCAAGGTAAAAGATATCTAAAAAGGGCTGTTGACAGCTTTTTTGATTTTTAATTAATTTAAAAAGTTTTATATCAATCGAAAGCTCTGAATGTGAGGATTATTTTACCTAGCAGGATTGCTTTGATCAGAACATCTTTTAAAAATAGCCGAATAAATATAGAAAATTACGATTGAGCGCATTTACACGGCAGTAACTTTAGGTAGGATATTCAGATCAAATCAATCCTGTTAAATAAAATAATTCTCACATCCAGAGCTTTCAATTGATGCTATATTTATTCAAATCGGTTAAGAATGAAAAAAGTTATGGCCAAAATATGCCTCGAGACTGACACGGAAATTCCGATCTTTCCAATTTATTCCCTTGGATTTAAACGAAAAATAATGAAAAGGTAGGGGAATTAGAAATAAAAAGATGCCCAAACCCTCTTAAATAAAATTTTAAAAGAAAAACCTCCTCACATTTGTATAAACTTCAATATTCTGTTCATTAATTAAATTATTAGAAGAATTTTTCCAATTATTATTTGTTAAGGAAGAAGCTTCTCTTGTTGCCAATTCAGAAAAAAATCTATCAAATTCTTTTTTATATAATTTTTGTGCTTCAATATTATAACGATCCAAAACATTTTTATAAATATTTGGGCGTGTTTGTTTTAACCAAGAAATTAAATCTGAGAAGGGTAAAAGTGCTCTATGCCTTTGTGAATGTTTTTGCATTATTATTTCACCAATATGTTGATTTTCTAACATTGAATCCTACAAAGATTGATTTTTAAAAATTATTTTAGGCCTGCAAATAGATACTCGAAGAGCTGTCCCGTAACCACGAGCAACGAAAAAATCCTTCCGAATTTTTTAAAAAATTTTACGGGTTTCGCAGAGATTGTGGGACCTGTAAACCACGGATTGTGGACAACAAAAAAAGATTTTGGTCGATACTTCGAAAAAAACTTTAAAAAATAATCAAAAAAACCTCCTAACCATATTTCCAAAAATTGTACTGATATGTGCATAAAATCTGTCAACAAATTCTGATGTAATTTTGTTTAGCATTTCAATTCTAGAATGATAAGCTTGCATTGAATTTAATTCAGACTTTTTTGATATAAAATGATCAATAATTCTAGCAGCACGGCAACACAAATTTATACTTAAAAAGGGAGAAAATTAAGAAATATAAAGTAAATATATAATTGTGGGTTATCCTAAACCAGTTTTTGCGGACATATGTAGAATCATAATTTAAAAATAATTTTCTTTTTGTATCTGACCATTGTGAGTTCTCATAAAGACGTCCGCAAAAAATTTATTGGGATACCCTACAAGTACCAAAAAAAAATAAAAAAATCAAACCTTATAGGATCTGAAAGATTTGCATTTTTTAAAGCTTCAATATGTTGATCTTGTACCATTTCTAATTGATAAACGAAATCTTCTAGTTCAGTAGCCAATTTTTTATTATTTTGTTGTTCAATATGTCGAAGACTGTCCTTTTCTTCAATTAATTCTACACTGTCTCTAACAAACTGAAAATTAAAAAAATAAATTTTAAAAAAACAAAAACATTTAAAAAATATTTTTTAAATAAAAATACTTTAAATTCAATTAAAAAGGTTTAAACCGCAAAAGAAAAATAATTAGAAAACAACAGGACTCGAACCCATGACCCCAAACATAGCCAACCACTGACACTACCAACTTGACCACAACAGAACTCATACATAACCCAAAAAATAAGTAACATGTGTCGAATATAAAAATCCTAAATTTTATTAAATCAAACCGATAACAACGTGTCATATTCATCCAATTGTTTTTCTACACATTCTGCCAATTCAATAGCTGTATCAATAAGTCCAATAAGTTCAGCAACATTCTGTTCATTTTCCATAATGCTCGATAAATTTGCACTGTCAAGTTGGGAAAGTTGGTCATTTAAAGAAGTCGAAAATTGTCTAGCTTGGCCTATTTGTAAGTTGGCTTTTTCGAGTAAATGACGAAAATCGTTTTCTTCTTTTAATGAAATTGGCTATAAAAGGGATATTTTTTGATGAAAAACTCCTTATAAACCTGATAATTTGTATCCAATTCAGCAGCAGTTTTTGAGTCCCCATCAAAATTTTCTTCATTAACGCTTCCATTTTTTGAAGGTAAAGTATCAACAGGTAAAGAAACGTTAACAAATTCTGGTTTTTGAATGGGCAAATTGGCATTTGAAAACTAAAAAAAATACTTTATTTTTCATTCGCAAAAACAAAAAAACCTTAAATAATTGTCTGATAAAAAACTCTTTTTCTTCTGCAGTATTTGAATATAGTTGATATAATTGTCCTTTAATAGTCAAATTAAAGTCTGGAAGAGGCTAAAAATAGTTTAAATAAAATAGTAGAAAGGAAAGAATTTTTGCGGATTTTTGGGAAATGTTCGCAACTCTTTCCGCAAATTAGGCAAATGAATAAGTTTAAAGAAACCTTTCTAGGATTTATTCCATCGACAGATCGAATGTCTCTAAGAGCATAATGTTCCTTTTTTGAAAAAGAATTTTCCTTTTCTGATTTAACCAGCCAAATGCGTGCAGAAACGGGTTGTGTTGTTGTAACTTAAAGTAAAAAATTGTCAAATTTAAAAAGTGTGATGGGCAAAACTCAGTCTTCCAAAAACCCCAGTCCAGACAAAATTCGCCCGGTAAGACTTACCAGAATAAAGTAAACGAAAAAACTGTTCCAACATAGGATCGGTCGTCCTAATAACCGGAAATATTTAAGACGGAATCTTGTCTGAACGGTATTTTGTCTGGTTGTTTGCCCCAAAAGTAATAAAAATAAACTAACCAACTAAACACAAATACAATTCCCTTCCCTTTTTCAAAGTTTTTTTAACATTTGCAACAGCCAATAATCTTTCTCCGTCTTCCTGAAATAAAGCCTTTTGTAAATTTGATCTAATTGAAACCATAATTTGTTGAAAAATAAAACATTTAAGTATTCTAAAATAGAAGAAAATTAAAAAAAAATTCAAAAAAATTTTTAATCCAAAAAAACAAAAATGAGCCCATTTTTTATTTTTTAAAAGTTGCTAAAAATTAGCAAAAAATATTTATTTTGGCAAAACGTTTATTTCCTTTTTCTTTTCCCGTCTCTCATTTTTACACACTATTTTCACTCAGGAGAGTTTCTGTCAACATATTTTGCCAATTCCATATTCTGCCAATAAGGGTAAAAATCGACATTTTGTCAACAAATTCATAGACAAAATGAGAATTTTAGCCTTATTGGCAAAATGTCCATCTCGCAAAATATAAGTTGTCCAGCGAGTTAATTTCGAGATTTCAAGTCGTTTTTTTTCCTCGAGACCGAGGTTTCCACATCACTTAACTGTTAATTTTTTGCGTGGCTAGAAGAAGGGCGATCGGTTTTTACTAAACAAAATTAGGTAATAGTCTCGTTTCCCAGCCCCATTTTTTCCTCCCAATTTTCTACCCTATGTTTGTACGGAATGGTCAAATTTTCCCCTTTCTTTCATCAAATTTGCCTTTCCATATTTTGCCTAAAAACAATCAAAAAGATTAATTTTTTATTCATTTCTTTCACAAGGATAAAAAAGTGAGACATGATGCCAAAAATTATAAAAAACATTTTCAATATTGCCAAATCGTTTTTTTGTGGTCAGATGCGTACCTTCAAAGAAGGTACCACATAAATAACCTTAGAGTAAAGATTTTTTTAAAAAACTTGAAAAAAAGAACCTTGTCTTGCTCTACAATTTCTGGTTGTACACCGCCAACATCCATATCTTTCGTCATTCTTAACACTTATTGTTGTTCGACCCCCACATTTGTAGCAAGTTCTCTTTCCATGAAGAAGTCCAAGCTTCTCAAGCCATGCATCGAAATCATTATCACTCAAACGTAATTTTTCATATAAATCAATAGGTTTGAAATTCTTTAGTTCTTCCATTTTTATTAATTGGGAAAATGATTCTTCTCATTACTCTAATATTTTTTTAAATATCACAAATTAATCTTTTTGATTGTTTTTAGGCAAAATATGGAAAGGCAAATTTGATGAAAGAAAGGGGAAAATTTGACCATTCCGTACAAACATAGGGTAGAAAATTGGGAGGAAAAAATGGGGCTGGGAAACGAGACTATTACCCAAAATTAGTTTTTTTGTTCTGACTCATGTTTTTTATATTTTTTAGATTTTTGATTACTCAAAAAATTAAAAAGAAAAGATGCAAAATTTACTACCAGGCAAATTTGGGCAAGCAGCGTCTTCAGCTTCAGATTCAATGAAACAACAACATGATCCAAATTCCGGGTATATTTTTAAATTTACCGTAAATGCTCTAATGAAAGCCTTGGGCTTTTCTATTTTTAATAATCCCTTTAAATGGTCTTTAGATATGGGCGTTTATTAGAGAGTGGGACTGTATTAGAGCATTTACGATATTTGAAAATATTTTTGTATTTTTTCAAAGATTTCCTTGGTGGGTACGATTCCTTGCAAAAGCACTTGGAATTATTGGAGGATTTGTCGCCATGTTTTTTGCTGTGTTGGGACTTTTGACTTTAAGTCCTCGATGTGCTATTGCTTCTCTTTTACAGCTGTATTTTTTTCTATATTTTTTTTTTAATTTTTTTCTAATTTTTTAGAGCTGCCGGATTTTTGACTGTTGCTTTGGAAGCTCCTTTTTGTTGTGCTTTTGTTGATTTTATTGAACGAATTGCTCAGTTTTCCGAGTCAAGAGCCTACTGGCAAAAAGCTGCGCTTTACTGCATTATGGGAGCTGTAAGATTTTTTTAAAGATTTAAAATTTTTCCAATTTTACCAGATTCCTTGTCTTATTTGTTTCGAGTTGGGAACAGTTTTGGGCACTGCAATGATTATTGCTGCAGGTTTCGCCTATGGATTTATGGCGCTTGGGAAGAAGTAAGGAAGATTTATTTATTAGAAACTTAAAAAAAATTTTCTAGAGCTGATCGTGACACAATGATGGGAAATATTGGTGGAGGTGGACAGGATCCTGCATGGAGTTCACAAGTCAATCAACCATTCCCACAACCTGCCGGATTTAATCAGCCATAACTTGATGAGATGAAGAGAGGAGCTCACCTCAAGGACACTGATATATAAATGTATTTTTCACTACATATAAAAGGAGGAAAGGTTTTTTTCAAAATTAGAGTATTTAATGTATGGGAGTAGGGAAGGGAATATCACCCTCGAAATGTTTTTTGAAGAAAACTCTTTCCTTCTTGACAAACTCAATGTATTCTTTCTTCTAAAAGATCCCTAGTTTTCCATTTTATTCATTTTCACACAAATTTTCATTTTATCCAATCCCTCTACCTATCATTACCAGGGATGTCACTCGGAATTTCCGCCTAGAAACCTGATCCTAGAAATTTTCCAGAACACGCCTCACTTTTTTCCTTCTTAAACAGCTAACGTACACGACCCGAACCCCGGACTTTTTTTAAACCAGTGACATCCCTGGCCCTACACGTCCTTTGGAAAAATCTCATCTCCAAACCTAGTATGTTTTCAAAACATTTTTGTCTATTTTCTTCCTCCTGCTCGATTATTCACTATTTTTATTAGTCTTTATTTTTGGCTATGTCTAAACTTGAAAAATATATATTGACATTTTTGACACTATACTTATTTTTTACCTAAATTTAAAAAAATAAATTGTCTGTGGTTGTGTTTTTTGAGGTATTTTTTTATTAAAATATTGAATATTTGTTGAATAAATGTGCACATATTTTTAAAATTAAAGAGAAGAAAAAAAGAGATTCGATTAAAAAAAGAATGTAAGAGCTGAAAAAATAGTCAAAAATTTTAAAAATATTTTCCAGACCTTACAAAAATAAATGGAGTATTGTAAAGCTTAAAAATGAGAATTAATAAAAATATTAATACTGAAGGGGTCGAAATGGTAAACTTAGAAATTTGAAAAATACAAAAATTTTGGTTATTTTTGTTCTAAAAAGTATAGTAGATTAGAACAGAACTAACATAAACTTGGACATATTTACATTGTTAGTAAACCCTTTAAATAAAAATCCAGTTATTTGCGGACAAAACTTGCGGATTTTCTGCTTTTTCAATTTTGTTCTAAACTACTTTAACATTTAGAAAGCGCTGTGGGTTTTAACGAGATTTGATTAAATGGTAAAAGAAAGGGAGAAAAGGATATGCTTAAAAAGTTGCTATAAAGGATATTTTAATCATGCCTTTTTGCAGAAAGTTTGTTAATCAACAAGCAATAACGGGTAAATGGAGAGCCCAATTTGTTAAGTTCTTCCATTGTTACACCCCAAAGTTCGACTGGAGGTTGGAGAACTCCAAATTTCTTAAATTTAAATATTAGGGTTTTCTAAATAAAAGTTAGTCCCGGCCCATCGAGAACTTTTTCGGGAAAGAGGATGTCCGTGAACAAGTGGATTTACTGACGGGGTTGTCGAGGAATGGACTGCAAGGAACGGGAATGTCGAGGGAACGTGGATTCCTAGGACCGAAGACGGAGAATGAACCAAAAATCATTATCTTCGGCCGGGGAATTGGGGACCAACCCTAGTTTCTATATAATAATAAATTTAAAAAACCATTTCATTAAGATCATGACGAAAAAGTAGTCGATTATTCACATTTAAACAGGTAATTGCTTCTTCATTGTCTATTGTAAGCACTTTATAGCGAAAAGTTGCGTCTCTTTCAATTCTCTAAAAATTAAAGAATCTAATTTCCAATAAATTAAAAAAACCTGTAAAATATTTTGCGATTCCTTATCTTTCCCAATAACCAAAACATCATTTGTTGCAACCGAAAGACGAGATTTTAGTGGCAAATTGCTTCCAATATTTATTGGGATAACAGAAAAGTCAGCAAAAGTTTTGGCGACGTGCTGAAAATTTTAATAGGTTATTCAATTTAAAAATCAGTTTTAAAAATCCAAAAAAAATTTTTTAGATTTTAAAGGATGGAAAAAAGACAGCCAAAAACAAAGCTTTCACAAGTAAAAATCGTATGACACTCAAACGATCTCGAACCATAGACCCCTATCGATCAAAATCTAAACCGCTAACCAATACACCACAAAACACTAATAACTTATTTGATAAATATTAACTATAATATTTCAATTTTCCTTTAAAAAATCACTTACCAACGCCCCCTCAGTATTCGTTCCATTTTTTCTAATCCCAACAAATATTTCCTTTCCAGTAAATAAAACATCAGAACCTTCAAGATAAACCTGTTTTCCATGCAAATGTGTTGGTGTATCCATAACTTGCCATGCCAAAACATTTAAATGGGCAATAAATTCGTTTGCTCTAGTTGTCGAATTTTTCTTATTTTGGCTTTTTGGTCTAGTTAATAAAGCTGTCCCGTTAATTAAAATAGCTATATCATCAGCAAACAAATTTTGAACAGGACAGTCTTCTTCCGGAGGTAATTCGATTACTTCAACGCCTGACTAAAAATTTTTTAATTTTAAAAAGATTTTTTTAAAAAACCTCTCTCAAAGTGTCGCTAAGATCTTGATGTTGTTTTGCTGCTAAAGCCAAATCAATTTTATTTTTCATCTTCTTATCTTCAAATTTTAGTGATGTTGGAAATCGTAGCATTATTGCGTGGGTATACTTCATGGCTAATTTAAAAGAAAGAAAAAAAGTGATTTAGACAAACTGAGGGTGGGAAAATCAGAAAAAATTTTTTTAAAAATTTTAAAATTGAAAAAATTATTTAAATTTTTGCATTTTTATTTACTAAATTGGCATTTTATTTATTTAATTTTAATAAATGACATTTCGGTTAAGGACGATTCAGTATCGCCGATTCAGTATAGCCGATTCAGTATCCGACGATTCAGTATATGGCCATAACTTTCCTGAAATTCGACCGATTTGAATAATTTTCATATCATTCGAAAGGTCTCGTGATTCGGCATCTTTTTCTTAATTAGTCCGATAAGATCTGATGATCACAAAAAAAGTTACAGCGTGAAAACCGATTTTTTACGCCTGTGACGTCGTTTATCAGTGATAACTTTTTGTAGAGTGATCAGATCAGGTCAGTCCAATTATGAAAAAGATGCAGCACCCCAAGGCCTATCAAATCATATATAATAATTCCCACAATATTTATCAAGCAAAAAGTTATGCACAAAAAGAACGAATACTGAATCGGCCAATACTGAATCGGCGATACTGAATTGGCGATACTGAATCGGCGATACTGAATCGTCCCCTACCCATGACATTTGGTCCTGTTTTTACGGTAACGGACGCTTCAGTATCTGCGAGTTCGCCGATTCAGTTTCCAGGCCATATTTTGGGCCATAACTTTTTTGATTTTGCTCCGATTCGAGTAATTTTCATATCATTCGAAAGGTCTCGAGATGCGGTATCTTTTTCATAATTGGACTGATCAGATCCGAATATCCTACAAAAAGTTAGAGCCTAATAACTATCGAAAATCACGATTGCCCGCACTTATTCAGCTGTAACTTTTTGTAGAATCGTCTGATCAAATCAATCCCCTTAGATAAAATACTCCTCACATTCAGAGCTTTCGATTGATATAAAAATTATTTAAATCGGTCTAGAATCAAAAAAGTTATGACCCAAAATATACCCTCTATACTGAATCACCCGATACTCAAGCGTCCTCTACCCCCATTTCCATTTTTGCTTAATTTAATGTTTGCAAGCACACGTGGAACTACAAAATCTTTTAGCGGTAATTGCGGTTTGTTATATTCACAATCAATTCTAATTTGAATGATAAAATTTTCTCTTTTAGATTACGAAAAATGAATATTTTTAGACTTGCGGGCGATTCAGCCCATTTATTGGCTATTTTAATTTTATTATGGAAAATTTGGAAAACAAAATCTTGTGCAGGTTTTTTTTAATTTTTTAATCGAGAATTTTATTTTAAAATTAATTAAAGGAATTTCTGGACGTTCACAAGTTCTTTTCTTTGTTGTCTTCGTTTCGCGTTATTTGGATCTTTTTACAAATTTTGTTTCAATCTACAATACTGCTATGAAGGTTTTTTTGGATTTTTTGTTTAAATTTTAAGCTAACCTCTAGGATACGGATTTATTTTTTGGGCGTTGGAAGGGCCCGAATTGACCATGTTGCGAATATTTCTTTGAAATACATTTTTACTACCACTAGGGTGTTGCTGAAATTTTTTCCTTCGCAGTTTTGATTTCTAAGGTATCACAGAAAAATTGGCAAAGGTCTTTTGCACAACTAAAAAAGGTATTTAATGGGAAAGTAGGGAAAAAGACAACAAAAAATAACTTCTCCCCCAAGCGGACTCGGACCCTCAAATTAAACCTTCAAAATCCAGAACGCTAACCACTAGGACACACATCAACAACATCTATTTTCAATAAATTTGAATAAAACTCCCCCAAAAAAACCTTAAATAATTTTTTTAGATTTTCTTTGTCGCTTCGTCAGTGGCTACTATTTATCTCATGTTTTTCAGATTTAGAGCTACCTATGATCGGTTTTATTTAAAAATTCTTTCTCTTTCCTCTAAACTTTATTTTTTAGAAACCACGACACTTTTCGAATTGAAATTTTATTGGTTCCAAGCGTGGTACTTGCTTTGCTGATTAACCACGAATTTACGCTTTTTGAGGTTTTTTTTTAATTTTTTTTGAAATTTTTTAAAAATTTTAAATTTAAGGTTCTTTGGACTTTCAGTATTTATTTGGAGGCTGTGGCTATAATGCCCCAACTTTTTATGCTTTCAAAGACAGGATCAGCTGAAACAATTACTGCACATTATCTTTTTGCTTTGGGTAGAAAATTCTTTAAAAATTCAAAAAAAATTTTTTCAGGAAGTTATCGAGGCCTTTATATTCTCAATTGGGTGTACAGATATTATATGGGTATTTTTAAAAATTAAAAAAATTCAAAAAATTTTTTCTTTCAGAGAATCATTTGGACGTAATCGCTTTGGTTGCTGGAGTGGCCCAGACCGTTCTTTATGCCGACTTTTTCTATCTTTATGTGACTAGAGTTGTTCAACAAGAGTATGTTTTTTTTATTTTTAATAGAGTTCGAACCTGGGCAGGATATTTTAATAAATCCGGTTTTACGTGGTTCCCAAGTTTAGGCGTTTAGCCCGGAAACCCCGGTCAGTCTTAAACAGAAAACCCGGATACCGGTCCTGGCAAATTGAAAAGTTCAAACTCTAATAAATCTAAAATACTTTTTAAAAACTTTTCTAGGCAAAAAATGCAACTTCCTGCTTAGAGGCATTGAAAATTGAAGAAAAAATTTTTTTGCATAAATTCTAAAAAAGAAACAATTTTCTGTTTGGTCTTTGGATTGTGTTATAATGATATATTCTTTTTCTTGTCTTTTCGGTTTTCTTTTTTTTGTTAAGAACCCCACACCTTTCTATTTACCTAATTCCTCTTTTTAAATTATTTAAAAAATTTCCCCTCCCTTCCCCCCAAATTCCCCACTCCAAAAGGTTTTGTTAATTTATATTTATCTAATTTATTTTGGTATAGGATAAAAAATATTTAAATTTATTTTTTCTGGATTTATTTTTAAAAATCTTATAGCTTTAGTCTAGGGATCAATCACAGAGTTTATGTGTCCAACTTGTCCCTCAAATTTATTATTGAATTTTGCGGACTTTTTCTATTTTATTATAAAAATAGAAAAAGGTTAGAAAAAAATTCTAAAAAAATTTTTTTCCGAAAAGATAAAAAGTCGACAGACACGACTTTAAATAAGATAAGGAATATATTTTGATTCTTAAAAATTCTCCCTTATCATTTTTATTAATTTTAAAAATTAATTATTACCTCTCCAAAATGAAGTGTTTGTTCCCCTTCCTTTGGATTTTATTAACAATTTTTGTTTGTTGCACTAATGGCATTTCAAATGAGAATAGTGAACTTGTTTTGGTTCAAGCTGTAAGTTAATTTGGAAAATACTTGTAAGGATTGGATGCGGACTTTTTTTGCGGATTTTTTGTGGACTAGGTAAAAATCCGCAGAAAAATCCGCAGAAAAGTTTGTTGCACTAATGGCATTTCAAATGAGAATAGTGAACTTGTTTTGGTTCAAGCTGTAAGTTAATTTTTGAAAATACTTGAAAGGATTGGATGCGGACTTTTTTTGCGGATTTTTTGTGGACTAGGTAAAAATCCGCAGAAAAATCCGCAGAAAAGTTTGTTGCACTAATGGCATTTCAAATGAGAATAGTGAACTTGTTTTGGTTCAAGCTGTAAGTTAATTTGGAAAATACTTGTAAGGATTGGATGCGGACTTTTTTTGCGGATTTTTTGTGGACTAGGTAAAAATCCGCAGAAAAATCCGCAGAAAAGTTTGTTGCACTAATGGCATTTCAAATGAGAATAGTGAACTTGTTTTGGTTCAAGCTGTAAGTTAATTTGGAAAATACTTGTAAGGATTGGATGCGGACTTTTTTTGCGGATTTTTTGTGGACTAGGTAAAAATCCGCAGAAAAATCCGCAGAAAAGTTTGTTGCACTAATGGCATTTCAAATGAGAATAGTGAACTTGTTTTGGTTCAAGCTGTAAGTTAATTTGGAAAATACTTGTAAGGATTGGATGCGGACTTTTTTTGCGGATTTTTTGTGGACTAGGTAAAAATCCGCAGAAAAATCCGCAGAAAAGTTTGTTGCACTAATGGCATTTCAAATGAGAATAGTGAACTTGTTTTGGTTCAAGCTGTAAGTTAATTTTTGAAAATACTTGAAAGGATTGGATGCGGACTTTTTTTGCGGATTTTTTGTGGACTAGGTAAAAATCCGCAGAAAAATCCGCAGAAAAGTTTGTTGCACTAATGGCATTTCAAATGAGAATAGTGAACTTGTTTTGGTTCAAGCTGTAAGTTAATTTGGAAAATACTTGTAAGGATTGGATGCGGACTTTTTTTGCGGATTTTTTGTGGACTAGGTAAAAATCCGCAGAAAAATCCGCAGAAAAGTTTGTTGCACTAATGGCATTTCAAATGAGAATAGTGAACTTGTTTTGGTTCAAGCTGTAAGTTAATTTGGAAAATACTTGTAAGGATTGGATGCGGACTTTTTTTGCGGATTTTTTGTGGACTAGGTAAAAATCCGCAGAAAAGTTGCGCCGAAAAATGTTGAGAGACAATGTAAAAATGAGAGACTTTCTCTGACCTACAGAGAAAATTTTAAAATTTTGGCTCCTTTCTGGTTTTTTAAAAATAATTTTTTTTATTTATTTTTTAGTTGTGGAGGCACGGTGATCGTTCACCCACAAAAACCTTCAAAACGGATAAATATCAAGAGAAGGATTGGCCTCAAGGATGGGGGCAATTAACACCTGTAAGTCTCCTTTAAATTTTAAAAAATTCAAAAAAAATTTTTAAAGACAGGAATGGCTCAACATGTAGAGTTGGGAAGACGACTAAGACAGCGATATATAGAGGAATTGAAATTTGTTGGTCCTCGATATAATAGTCACGAAATTTATGTTAGAAGTACTGACTGGAATAGAACATTAACTAGTGCTATATCGGTTAGTTAAAAGAATTTTTTAGAAAATTTTTTTAAATTTGCGGACTTTAAAATAAACTTGCGGACAAAAAATTTCATCCGCAAAAATTTTTTTATCCGCAAAAAAAATTTTTTTTAGAATTTTATTGGCTTCTACGGCCCCGGAAATGATGATGAATACCCAAAGGATTTGGGCGCCAACAAATGGCCAGGATGGTATTTCCCTATAGCTATACATTCATTCCCTGGAAACGAAGATTTTATGGCTCCTGGAGAATCTGAATGTAAACGATTTGAACAAATAAAAGAGCGGATAACTTTAACAGAAGAATACAACTCGACTTTGATTAAATACAAATGGCTACTCGATTTTTTGAGTGAAAAGACGGGACAGAATCTTGACCCTTTCGATATGTGGATGATTAACGATGCTTTTTATATTGAGGTTTTTTTAAATTAAAAACGAATTATTTTTTAATTTTTTTATAGAAATTAAAAGGAAAAAAATTGGTAGACTGGGCAGAGGGGAACCAGACACTTTTGGATGCAATTGCTGAACTTGACAATTTACAGGAAAGATGGATGGTTGGGTTAGGTAATTATTTATATTTAAATTTTGTGGAGAAATTTGTTGAATTCCAGTTTAGAAAAATTTTACGGATTTTTGCGGACTGTCAAGATAAACTTGCGGACAGAAAATTTGTCCGCAAAAAAATTTCGGATTTTTGCGGACAAAATTTTTTTGATTTTTTGTCCGCAAATATTTTCTCCTCCACATTCTTTGATTAACTAAACCATATACCTTTTTCCAAATTTATTTTAAAGATTTAAAACCTCTCGGTGATGCCAACTTTCGCGAAGAACTTCCAAAAATTTTGGGCGGGCCAATCTTATGGAAATTTATAACAAATATGCAAGAGAAGTTGGCTTGTTTTAAGCGAATGAATTCTGTAAAGGAAATTGACAGAGAAATTGAAGGAAGAAAATCGCCAATAGGGACGCCCTTGTGTAAATGGATGAACAAAATGCGCTATTTTGCTTATTCTGCGGTTTGTTTTTTAAATTGAAGAAACAGAAAATTTTTTTATTTTTTAGCACGACAGCACAATTATTGCTATTTTTGCAGCTTTGGGTTTAAACAAAACGAATTATGACGAGGATGGTTACCCGAAGTACTCTACCTGTTTAACTTTTGAATTATGGAGGGAGAAGAATACTGGTCATTTTGATGTTAAGGTTTTTATTTTTTATTTAAAATGGGGAAGTCTTGGGCTTGTCGGGATTTGCGGACAGACCTGTCGACCAGGAATGGGCCGGGTTGAGATCCCAGGGGGCAGGAAATTAAAATAAAGGAGGGGAGAAAATGTTTTACTGTGCTTTGAGTGGGATTGGTGCTAGTCAACTTTTCGTTCACACAAAACTTGTGGACAAATTTTGAGCTGCTTGAGGGAGGGCAAAATTTTGTTTAATCGAGAAGAAATTTAAAAAGCCAAAAAACCTTGGTTTTATTTCCTGTCCGCAAATCTTACAATAAATTTTTTTCAAATTTTTTCACCACAGGTGCTTTTATGGAGACCTTACACTAACGAGACTTCCCCTAAAGAAATAACGACAGATATAGAAGGCTGTCAAAGCAATTCAACCCTAGAACAATTTGTTGAAAGATCAAAGCCTTATCAAATGCTGCCTTCACCCAAAGACGTAAAAATATTTTCTAAAAAAATTTTTTATTTTTCAAATTTTCAAGTATTGTTCACAACTTCTACAACCCCTAAATAATGCTGCACGTATGTTAATTCAGTGGAAATTGAAAATGTAAGATTTTTTTTAAAGGAAATTAAATTTATTTAGATTTTTAGGCTCCTTCTAATGGGAATTCCTTCAATTGTTGCTAATGTTGTATAGAGAATTTTTTTTGTTTTTGGAAATTATTTTTAAAAGGTTTTTTAATTAAAATTTATTTTTTAAATAAGTTTAGGATTTTTTAGTTTTATTAACGAGGGCAAAATTAAAAATCAAAAAATAATATTATTAATAAAGAAGCAAAAAAATAATTGATTAAAATTAGGTTATTTCTAAATTTTTCTCAATTTTATTTTTTAATTTTTACTTCAAATTTTCTTCAATTATTCTCTATTTTTGAGCAGTAACACGTAGAACTCCATTGTGAGTCAGATGTGACTTTAAAATTAATTTTAAAAATTAATTTTTAATTTAAAAAAGTCCGCAAGTTTAATCCGCAAATTTTTCTAAAAAATTCCTAAAATATTTTATAATCCTTTCTCATCCTATTTACATCTACAAATTATTTTTTATTCTTGGCTGGAGCATTAAAACCCTTAAAAACCTGCAGACACTTAAAACATTATTTACTCAACCCAAAATGTCACCACCCAAAATATCAACCCCTTTAATTTACCTTAATAGTTTGAATATTCACGTTGTCAGGCAATTTGTAGCTACGATTAATTTCACGACTGACTGACCCATGTTGATCACTACGCGATTCGTGTTTGCAATGAATGTTTAAATGATCCCCAACAACCTTGACCTTTTTAAAAAAAAATTTTTTATTTTTAAAAATTTTAAACTTCAATCTCGTTTGGAGTAAAATAGGCAACATCTAAACCAACTTCCCAACGATTAGGTAAATCATGAATTCGAACAACCCCGTCGTTGTGTTGTAAAGGCCAGTCCCATTGTTGGGCTGTCCATTCATGGGTAATTTCGATTGGTTGGGCCATTCGAGAAAATTTTTTGAGGGAAAATTAGAAGGCTAAAAATAAATATTTTTAAAATAAAAGCAAGTTTTTGTTACACTAAAATCTTTGTAAATAAATATCTTTTCTCGATCGAAGCTTCAAGTATCCTCCCCTGATCATCTTTTAAAAGAGGGAGGACATATGCTTCTCTTCTTCTCTTTTATCAACAACAAATCTTCTCTTAAAGACCAAGGAATGAAAAAAAAGTATTTTTAAATGTGTGGTAAACAGATTTTGAAAGAAAAAAAGCTTTTAGACATTAAAGATGAAAAAATGAGTTAAAAACAAATAAATCTTTCAAAAATATTTTCATCCCTTTGATTTTTTAATTGGTGATATTTTGGGTTTACTCTGTAGGAAGTAAATTTTTTTGGTCTAGTGGATAACGTCTTTGACTACAAAACCTATTTAAAGAGAATGGGTAGAGGTTCGATTCCGGCTAAGAGTAAACATTTTTTATTTTATAAAAATTACAATTTTAAATAAAATTTTTCAATTTCTTCACATTTTAACAATAAAAATGAAGAAAATAAAAAAGATATCCAAGTGCTGTTGGGAAAGGAAAAAAATAAATTGAGAGAAAAGAAAAAATCACACAAAAAATTAATAAAAAAAATATTTTTTCTTTTTTTAATCCAATAATTTTTTTAATCTCTTTTAAAAATCAATTTAATTTTAATTTAAAATATCAACGAGCAAAAGCAAAATTTCTTAAACTTTTCTTTGCAAAAGCAAATCTGGCAAAATTGTTTTCTCCTCCAAATTGGCTTGAACGTTTACTTTAAAGAAGAAAAAATTTTTCGATCAAAACAAAAATCTCTTTTCTTTACTTGATATCATTATTTTCATCAAAATTTTCAACAGCTCTTTTAGCAAAAGCAAATGTTCTACTTCCAAAAGGATTATCACCAAATGAACGCTTTGCAAAAGCAAAATTTCTCATTCCTCTTTTGGCAAAAGCAAACTGCCTAGGGGAAAATCGTTTTTCTAGTAATTGTTCCAAGTCTTCGTTGGCTAGATTTGCCTTGAAAAATTTAAAAAATTGTTTTTAATTTATTAAAATTCCATTTTAAAATTTAAAACTGCGGACTATTATTTGCGGACAATTTAAAATCCGCAAATTTTGTCCGCAAATTTTTGCGGACAATTTTTCAAAATTTTTTCTCATCTTTTTACCCTCCCTACCGTCTCGTTAAATAAAAAAAGAAATTCAAATAAAAATATTTTTGTAAATAAGTGTATAAATAATCCCCTTTTTATTATCCTTTAGGGCAAAAGAAAAGCAAAAAACGTCATTCCCTCCATTTTTGGACAAACTTTTAAAAATATAAAAATTGTTAAAAATTGTCTAGGGAATTATAGCAACTACTCAATTATTATTTATTTTTTTCTTTAAACATTTTAAACTCCAAAAATATGTAGGTGGAATTGAAATAAACAAAAAAATGAAGGAAATTTTGATTAAATAAAAATAAAATAATTTTTCTTTTAAAATTACAAGTACCAGTACTAAAAAAAATTAAGTAAAGTCTAATTTCTATATTAAAAAATATCTGAAAAAAAATTAATGGAGTTATTGCCCACAAACACTCAAAAAGTCAACGACGGGGTTCGAACCTACCACTGTCAAAACACATTACCCCACAGGCACAACCACTACCAACTTAGCCACCGACTAACTTATCTCTCTTTCAATATTAATTACCTATATATTCAAATTAAACTTTAATTACCAACCTTTTGGTCATTGTTTTGTTCTCCTTTAACAAAATTTAAAGCCAACAAAGAGCAAATTAAAATTAAAACAGCGGCAAGAGAAGACATTGAAATTTTAGTTGTTTGCATTTTTGGAGGCGGATTTAAAAATATAATTTATTTTTATATTCCTTTAAAAATTAAAAAAAAATTTTGAATAAAAATTAATCCAATTAAATTGATTATGCTTGAATTAATTTTTAAAAAATATTTTTTTAAAAAAAGAACTTTTAAATAATCTATTAAAAATTAATTAAGGCGGAAAAACGTCGTTTAAAAAATAATATATTTTTTTAATCGTGGTAGGGCAACCCACCGTCCGACCAAATACCGTCCACCCACTAAAGCAAAAATTACCGTCCATTATTTCGATTAGAACAAAAAGTGTTAAAATAAAATTTTTAGACATGGAAGTGTAGAACTAACCAAGTATACAACCAAAGTATTAACCAAATAAAGATATTAAGATAACATAAATCCGAAATAAATCCAATTTTAGCGTCAAGACGGAATTTTGTCGGACGGTATTTTGCCCTTCAACTCTTTTATATAAATAATTATTATCGTTTAACTTAAGCAGGTGCTAAAAATAATTAATTGCGCAAGCAAAAAATTTAAAAAAACGAAAGAAAATTAATTCAGATTTAAGTTAAATAGAGTACTTTTAATTAGAAATTTTTTTAAATAATTTACAGATAATCCCAATTAGTTCCGGCAGAATTTAAATTTAAAAAAATTAAAAATATTTAAAAAATATTTTTAAAGATATGTATTCTTGGTATCATTAAATAAAAGAAAATATTTTTTATTAAATTCGAAAAGAAATTTAAAAAATTTAGACAAAATAATTAATATTTTTATTTAAAAAGGGACAATTACCCCCTCCAAATAGAAAATTTTTAAAAAAAAATATTTAAAATTTCTAGAAAATTTTAAATTTTTAAATTTTTTTTTCATGTAAATATTAAAAATAAAAAGAAAAAAAAGTCGGGAGTGGCCGTGAAGGACTGAAGTGGATATACTATTTTAGAAGAAAGGCGTTGGGGAATGGCACGCCCATTAAATAAAAACCCATATTTTTTTATTAAATTAATTTAAGGATATTTAATTGAAACAATAATTTAAAAAATATTTTTGTGATTTTCTTTGAATTAAATTTAATTTTAAAATTAAATTTATTTTATATTTATTTTATTAAATTAAAAATTAAATTGATTAAAGGAGTCAAAAAATAAATTTTTATAATTTCCATATAGAGGAAAATTAAATAATAAAAATTCCGCGAAAGTGTATTGGGGGGAATTTATAGAGTAAAAAACTTTTTAAAAATTAAAATTCCACTAATTCTGGGACCTGTGGAAATTACCTGGAATTAAAAGTGATTTTCTTTGAATAAATTAAAAAGTACATCAAGTATGGTAGACGTAAATGGACGTAAAATAATTACCCTGAGTAATTATTTGTATTAATCTCTCACTGGTGAGGGTACTTGTTAGGGAGGGGGCTATACCGTAACGAGCCGTGTACTGATTCCCTAAATCTAAAATTCCCGACGTCCTTTTCTGGATCGGGATTCCAATTTGCTGTAATCAGGAAGCTTTTTATGTCGGCTCCTTCCTTATACGTGGACCTATGGAATTAAAATAAAAATTTTTAAAAAATTCTTTTAACTGCGCAAGCCAAATAATTTCATAAATCTAATAAATATTCATTGTTTTTAGCAAAATAATAAAAACCAAAAATAAATATAGGTATTTTTATTAAATTTATTTTTATATTTATTTTTTTACCCACACCCATAAAAATAAAAATAAATCTTAAAAATAATGTCAAAATTAATTTGCAAAAATTAAATCAAAAATAAAAGGAGTGCCGAGAATTCCTCATAAAAATAAAATTAATTTAAAAAAATAATATTTTTATTTAAAAAAAAGGAGAGAAGGATACCTAGAAGTACATTAAAGTAGACGTAAATGAACGTCAAACTTAATTCTAAAAAATTTTAAAAGGAAAAATATTTTTTTGTAAAAGTATTTTTTGAAGGATGAGTAAATGCAAATAATATTTTTTTAAAAATAAATGTAAATAGAAGGGATATATTTTATTTAAATTAATATTGACTTGGACGGAAGTAATAAAGTATATTAAAGATGATATGCAAAAAAAACAAAATAATAAAAAATATTTATATCAAAAATAATATTTTTGACATTTTCTAGTTAAAAGACTTCCGTGTCTTTATAAAAAACAGAAAAAAATTTTTTTGGAATTTTTTGAAGAAAAAAATAATAAAGAATAATTAATTATTACTGGTGGTGACCTTATCCTCTTTCTCCCCGTATATCACAAAAATTTCGAATCTTTAAAAAAAACGCTGAAACATGTCAAAAGAGATTCGAATTAAGTTTTCAACTGGTATATAGAACAGGTATACCCATAAAGCAATGACAGGAATTATCTAACAACTTAAAATAACAGCAATAGGTATCCCTTCAATATACACCTAAATTTTTCAAAAAATTTTTCGAAAAAATTTTTTCTGACAAATTATAATGCTTATCTTGCCAAATTTGGTTTCAAACAAATATTTCAAGTCTTAAATTATTTTATAAAAAAGAAATTTTCAAAATAGGTCACGAATAAACAAAAATATAGACAAAACAAATCTAGTAGTTTTAATTAAGTTTAATTAACTTTAATTACAATTTAATTAATTTTTAAGCATTTTCACCCATTAAAAGACAATAAAAACACAAAAATCTTTTTTTAGATATTTTAAATTAAAAAACAATCCATTTTTATTATTTTTAGCCTAATTTGGAAACAAATAAAAATTAAAATAAAATACGTGGGAAGTAATAAAATAAAGTGGAAAAAAATATATTAAATGATTGAAAATTGGATTATTTGATGGCAAACAGGAAATTGGAATTTTTCTCCTTTATTTTCAAGAAATAAATAAATGAAATTGATACTAAGTAAACAAAAAATAATTTTCCAATTAAATTTTAAAAATAAATCTTAGGGAAAGTGTCCTTTATTTGGGGGTCTAGACCTCAACTGAGTCTCGGCCTCATAACTTTGGAATAAATGAAGTTTTTAATTTCTTCTAAATTTTATTAAATAGAGAATTAAATTAGCTTTAAAACAAAATTAAATTGATAAATTTATATTAAAAACAAAAAAAAGTTGGAAGCAAAAAATTTAAAAAAATCAATAAAAAATTTTTAATTTTCGACCTTCTTTTGGCCATAAAATTTTTGTATAAATTTTTAAAAATTTAGCTTTTAGGCTTTTCTTGAAGCCAATTTTATGCTCTATCGAATGATACCAAGAATACCTAAAGATGGTTCATCCTTCGTCGATATATACGAAAAAGTATCACTGCACATGATAAAATAATTTTAATAATATTCTCCTTTATTTTCTCATTAAAATCTGTTAAAATTCAAGTAATTTATTTTTTCAAAATTTTTACTTATTTTTAAACTTATTTTTATTTTTCTTCTTTTATTTCTTCCTTTACCTCCTCAATTTTTGGAATTTCCCTTTCTTTATTGTTCAATAATTGTGCACTAATTAATTCGGAAGACTCCAAGGCTGACCGTTTTTGATTCCATTCTCTTTCAACATTTAAATCTTCAATTCTACGCCATTCTTCTAATGAATCTATTCGATTATGAAATTCTTGTTCGAGAGCTGTCTAATTTTTAAAAGAAATTTTTAAAAAATTTTTTTGAAATTTTTACTTGTTTTTCGCGCATTTCTTTTTCCAATTCAGAAAATTTTCCTTTCCATTCAGTATGGACCTAGAATTAATTTCAATATGATTATATTGCTCGAAGAAATTTTAAAGAAAATTCTGAAGTTAATTCCCCCTGGTACTATCTATAAAATCAACAAAGTTGCCTCGGGTCCCTTCAAGTTCCTTCGGGTCCCTTCACGTTCCCTCAATCCCTCAGGATTCCTCGGGTCTCTTCAATATCGAAAGTTAACTCTTAAAGATATTAGCCACCTAAATCCAACAATCTCGACAACTAATTCGAAAAAAAATCCCCCAATCCCTTACTTTTGCATGCTCCAACCGCCGTCTTCTATCAATTTCAGCAGCCGCCCTTTGCAATTCAGCCCTCCTATCCAACCAATTAGCCACTCCCGTCAAGATTCGGTTATTTTCTTTTGCCGCTCGGGAAGCATCTTCAGCCTCATTTAAAGCCCCGTTTAATTCCAATTCGAGTCCTCGTTGAAGTGATTGGACCTTTTTTGTTATTTTTTGGAATTAAAAGGAAATTACTCACCCAAAGATGCCGTGGATCCATTCTTTAATTTTTAATGATTTTTTAAAGATAAAAATAAAATTGAAAGAACAAATTCTTCTTTTACTTAGATCAATAAAAAATGAAAAATCGATTTGGGGATATAGTGGGGATAAATAAAAAACTAAATGTTCCTGATCACATGCTTTTTTTGTTTTTAAAAAAAGTTTCTTGTTTCTCTGTTCTTTTTGATTTTTTTAAAAGTTCAATTTTTCTTTTAATTGGGAAATATTTGGAAAAATTAAAAAAAATTTTTTAATAAATTAAATATTTTTTATAATAGCGGACACAAGGATTGTGACAAGCGTAAGTGAAATGAAACTTGTCTATTTTCTCAGTTAATAATTAATTTTCAGGAAAATTTTTTGTCTGATTAAATACTTGATTTAATTTTCAATTTATTAAGCACAAAATTTATCGGACCCTTTTTTCGGTTTTTTGTTATCCAGCCCAAAACTGAAAGTATAACCAAAATCAAACAAGTCACTCACAATCAAACAAGTTCGCCTTCTAAACTCAAAATTCTTCAAAACTTGCAACTCGTTTATAAAACATCTTTCATATAAAAACAAAATGTTTTAATAAATCATCGCAACATTTTTAAAACAACAAACAAGGTCATTTCCGGAAACGTCAAACAAACATTCCCTAGCGTCAACAAAAACAATTATTAAATTTTTTATCTTTGATGTCATAAAATGAAAAAAAAATTTTTTAATTAAAATTTTACATTTGATTTAACAGATTTTGAGAAAAGGAAGATTTAAAAACGAGAAAAAATAAATTATTATCTCAACCGTTGACAACTACGTAGAAAACTTTTTGTCAAGTATTTGGGAGGAGTTTTATATTTAAATAAAATAAATATTCTCTCCTTATTTTAAAAGTAAAATAAAAATTTTACTTTTAATTTAATTCTTATAAGATTTTATAATTTAAAAAATTTAAAAAATGTTCCTAACATTTAAATCTTTACTATTCCTCGTTATTTGTGAGGTTCTAATTAGTATTGTATGCTCTACTAATAAGTTGGTTATTTTTAATGTTTGGAGAAACAAAACAAACAATTTAAATGTTTTCCGGAAAGTCTTATAAAAGTATAGACAATAGAAAAATAAGAGATTTTCTCCAACGTTTTCCGGAAAATGTTTCTAATATATTATCTAAATAATTAGAGACAACAGGAAAAAAGGAGATTTTCTCTAATATTTTCCGGAAGAACTGTTAGAGAATGTTTTCCGGAAGATGTTTATATTTTTTAAAGATTAAAAACAACGGGAAAATAGCAGACTTTCTCTAACCTTTTCCATAAATTTAAATATTTTCCGGAAAGCTTATTTATATAAGCAACATTAATAAGTCTTCCAAACATTTTTTAAACCTCCTTTTATAGTGAACAACAACATTCACTCTTGGAAACAAAAACACAAAACAACAATTTGCCCCGAGAAATGGACAAACGTCATTTATTCAGTCTTTACTCAATTTTAAATAATAAAAGAAGCGATTCCAACTTTCTCGGAGGTTTTGACGCTCTTTCAGTAAATACTCGATCGCTTGAAGGAATTCGAAATAATTGTTATTTCTCTCCCATTCAATGCTATTATATGGAGGAAAGAAAACGTCGGAGTGTTAAATAATTTGATGATTTTTAAAGGAAGAAAACTAAATTTTTTAAAGCTTTTTTTTTATAAAAAAACATTCCAGTATCTCATTCTCTTTAAATATTTTCCTCAATTTTATTTTTAAAAAATTTTTGATGGGAATAAAACCAAGCTTCATTTTAATAAATTTTAATTATTTTTTAATTATTTGTAAAGAACATAAATTTTAATAATAAAAACTTTAAAATATATTATAGACAACAGGAAAAGAGGAGAGTCTCTCTAACATTTCCGGAAATGTTTGTATACTCGATTCTTCCGGAAAATGTCTAATTTACATACTATAGGCAACGGGAAAAGACCTTCTCTGACCTTTTCCGGAAATGTTTTTATACTCTAATTGTTCCTGAAACTGTTTAAAACATATTTTCCGGAAGCAAGAATCTCTCCTTTAAGCATACTATTTTCTCTCTAATTTTTCTCTCATCTCCCACCAAAAAGCACTCCTTGCAATACTCCCACCATTCCAACGCCAAAGGGGCCATAGGGACATAAAATTTAAAATTTTTCAAAAATATTCCTTTAAAAATTAAAAAAACCATTTCCTCCTTGTGGAGTAGATCCTCTTCTCGGAGCTGTCCAGTCAATAAACATTGGATATTGACGTTTAAACCTTTTATTGGAAAATAATTAAATTCCCCTCCCCACAAATTCACCTTATCTCTGCCGAATTAATTTCAATAAAAATTAATAAAATAAAAAATAAAAAGAATAAATTAAATAAAATTTTCATTATTTTTTTGATTTTGTGTTTCGGTAAAAATGCGTAACAATTTTTTAATTTTTTTGATAAAAAAATATTTTTAAATTCAACAAAAATTTTTTAAATTTAATTAGGACAACTCAAAACCTGAATTTAAACAAATTTAAAAGAAAACAATTCGGGGAACAAACACAGAAAATTGATTTTAAATAATTTTATATGATTGATGTCTAAATTTTAAATAAAATGTTTTAATTTTATTTGAAATTTTGAAAAATTTTTTAAAACAGAAAAATGTATTTTTTAATTGAAAAATGAATTATTTTTTAATTAATTTCTTTATTTTCTCCTCATTTTTATTTAAATTTCTGGACGGAGAAAAAAATTTAATTAAAAGGTAAAGAATTAAAATACCATAAAGTCTAATTAAAGCCCTGGGCTTCTATTTTTCAACATTCTTCTTGGCAGGGCTTGTATCAAAATGTGGTTCTATTAGAGAGTGAGATGGGGTTTAAATAAGGCCCCCTTAAATTTAAGGTAATTTAAAAATTTGAATTTTAAATTTAAAAGGTCTTTTGATGATTATGACGGCGGCGATTCTCCTCCTTTATTTATTGACTGGACCCAGCCGAGAATAAATCCACAACCAAATTCCTTCTACTATAAAAACAAACCATAGTAAGCACAAACAAAAAAATTAAAAATACGTTCCGGAAAACTTTATTTTAAAAGTTCTGCCGTTGAAAATGGAGAAAGAATATATCCAAACAAGAATGGCAAGGGAAGAGGAGATTATGGGCCGTTTGGAGTTGGTTTGGTTGGATTGATTAAAGGAGAAGGGAAAGAAGAAAGTGAATCATCTCCATTAAGTTGGTTACGAGGGTTATTATTTGGGGGATAATTTCAAAAAAACCTCTTTTTACTAAATGAAACGATTTACCCAGCCTTAAGAGGAGAGGGATCTAATTGACCGTTCTATTCTTTTTTGTATAGTCTTACATTTAAAAGAAATCTAAAAAAATAATTTTTTATTAAATAAAAGGCACAAAATAATCTCACTCTATAGTTGCCACCTTAATTAATAATTGCCACACTAATTTAATTAAATATTAATTTTAATATAGAGTGAAATATACATAAATTAAACAAAGACAAAAAAGTGAATAAATTTTAAAGAGAAAGTTTTTTGATTTTTCTTTTATAAAAATATTCTTTCATTAATTAAAACAAACAAAATAAAAATTAAAATAGTTAAGAATGAGCACCGTGAAAAGCGATTATTGCCACCATTACAAAGATTGGTTGAGCACAGGCACAATCTTTGCAAACTTTTCCTTACTTCCATAGAACCGGGAAGAAAATTTCTTAAAAAATTTTCAAAAAAAATTTTTTAATTTTTCTACCTATAAATTTCAGGCTTTTCAATACATCCATCTCTTCCTTCTATGGGGAAGTCTTTAAAAATATTTTTAATTCAAAAGATTTATTTAAAATACCATAGTTAACTCTCTGGTCACAACCACTTCCAACCCAATATTTCCTTTAAAAATAAAATCTTTTGTCAAAAAAATTCCTTTAAAATTTCACCTATACGTTATTTGCATTGAAATTGTAACGCAAGTGTCTTGATGAGGTTCGCATTCTAACGGTTCCATTTCGCATACAGGCAAAGGCAAACCTTGACGTACCCGAAATTGGTCTAACACTGTTGTATCTATTTTTGGTATTTAAAAATATTTTTGAAAATATTTAAACACAAATAGTGTGAGGGAACGGCTCTTTGACTTAAGAATTCAGCCTAAAAAATTCAGCCCCTGAGTAAAACCCCAAAACTTTCTCTAAAAGACCCTCTCCAATCTTCTAATTTTTTGATTAAAAATAAATTTTTTCTCGCTAACCACTTTCCACTTTAACACAACTCATACAATAAAGTCTTGCAATTGTTGCTAAAGCTGCGGCAGTGACAATATGTTGACCGGCTGTCAATAACCAAAATAAAGGTAGAAAGACAAAAATGGGCCTTTGAATAATTTCTGTGATTCTCCATAAAAGGGACATCACAGAGAATTTCAAAATATATTTCTAAAAAAATTTTTGGGATAAAGTGTCACTCCATTATAAAAATTTCTTGTTTAACTTAAAAATGTTTGAATCTTCTTTTAAAAACAAATTTTTAAAAAGGGCCAAATGTTTAAAAATGGGAAGAAGCAGCAAAGTCCATAAGCATCGATGCCTTTGAAAATGGGCCAGATAATGACAAGCAAATAGCGGAAGGAATAAAAAGTAATAGGAGAGAGATAGAGGAGGGGAAGGAAATGACGCCGTTAAAAAAAAGTTGGGGGGCTCTATTTCCATTCCCTCGGGGCGCGCATTTCTCTCTCCCTCCTCTATATATTTAAATGCTTAAATGTGATGTTAAAAAGGGGAAATTTGTTGGCATTTTAGGAAGAGACGTTTTAAAGGATTGGAAGGAGAAAGAGAGAAAAAGTTAAAATGAAATAAAAAATAGAAAAATAGCCAAAATGAGTGAAGGCAAGAACATAAGGATGATGAAGCTAAAGGGAGAGTTGAGAGCTTTATTTTTTTGTTAGTTGCCTTCCGACGCTTTTTTTAAACTCTCAGGATGTATAAAAGAATATTATTGAAAGTCAATCACTTGTTCGCGCCACTAAATCCTCTTCCCTTTTCTATTTTTTCTTACCGGGTGGCAATAAAAATAAGACGGAAAATAAAGGGAAGAGAACTGAAAAATGAGGGGATTTTACATGTAAAAAGAAAATTTTAAATTTAAGGCCCCTTGGAAGGTAAGGCCCCCTTAAGGTCCCTTGGAAGTCTTAAAAGCAAGTAAATTAATTAAACTTCAAGGGGTGGAGAAAAACTATAAAAAATGTTTCCTGGAAATCTCGCCTTAATCCACCCAATTTGAATAGAAAAAAGCTTCAGGCATGTAAAGTTCCTCTCTTAAATTTAAACAAAGTTTAAATTAAATTCCATCTCTAAATTTGTGCTTTTGCCCACTTTAAAATGCTCAGAGCCGGAGGCACCCTAGCAAGGTGTTTTGTCTGGTCGACTCATATTTCTCTATTTTTTCAGTGTTTTTTCAATTGTTTACATAGTGTATTTAATGAATTCTATGGAAATATGGGAAAAATGTAAATAAATGATTTATTATTAAAGTGCCAAGGATAGAAAAAAAAAGAAAATAAAGGTAATAAAATTACCCAGTTATTTGATTATATAGGCGTTGACCGGAAGGAAATAGAGCGTTCCCCTGACCACAAAACAATTTTACTTATTTAAATAAAATGACTGGCGTTTGAAGGAAAAATTTTATTTCAATGGAAGACCACAAAAAACTAATAAAAATTTGCCTTTTTTAAAGCCAAAATTTAGTCAATACCTCAAGTAATTGTTATTTTTTCAAAAAGGTCGAGGATTATAGCAATAAAGTAGACCAAAATTGAAAGAAAATTGTTAAAAATAGGAGAAGAAATTCACGTAAAATTGTTGACAAAAAGGGGAAGGAGTTTAGAAAAAATAAAAGCAGCATCAAACAGCAGGGGATTTCAAATAAACGAAAAAGGGGAAAAGGAAAGGAGAAATGACCATTTTTAAATTAAATTTAGAAAATTGCGTTGTTTTACCCATACAATGAGATTATATCAATTTTATTTAAAAAGACAAAAAAATTATTTTTCATAAATTAGCAAAAGAAATTTTTGGAAAATTCTCTTCTTATGCCGAAACATCAAAATTCAGAAATTGAGTCAACACAATGTTAGTGTTTGGAAGGACCTAATTGAGGAAAAATTTTCTTTCGATATTTCACCCAATTTAAGCAATAAAATACCTTCATAAACATTTCCAATGATTTTTCAATTTCCTCTGAACAAGGTCGATCGTTTGGATCAGCAGACCAACACCTAATGAACAGTGTAATTTTTATCACAAAAATTAAAAAAAACCTTTCAATTAATTCCATAAGTGGTTTAGGCAATTTATCAACTTTTGGTGGCCTGAGTCCACCATTTAAAACCATCCACAAAATTGTAACGTGATTAGGTTCATTAATGTCGTCGAAAGGGTATTTACGTGTTGCCATCTCCCACATAGAAATTCCAAGAGAATAAATGTCAGATTTATGTGTATAGCTTAAAAAGAATCTTTTCAAAAAAACTAGAAAAGAAAAACCTTTCTCCTTGAAAAACCTCTGGTGCCATCCAAGCAGCAGAGCCTTTGTTGTCACATAAATTAACATTTTTATTAGCAACAGTTCCAAAATCACATAATTTTAATGTTTTGTAGTTTTTTGAGAGAAGCATGCTTTAAAAGAAATATTTAAAAAATAAAATAAAAGGAAAGTTACTTTGCTGGTTTTATATCACAATGAATAAAGTTGTTTGAATGTAAATATGATAATGCTAAAATTTAATTGGAAATTAAAATTGAAACTTAAAAAGGGTTAAAAACCTCTAGATACTTGCAATGACCAATTCAGAACATGTAAAGTCTGCAAATAAAATTTTGAATTAAAAAGAAAACATTGTTTACTGTCACCGCGACTTTGAACGGTCATAACTTGGCCTAGTCACTTAACAAAAAACGAATATAACTTCGCAACAGGAAGTCGGGGGTCCTCTATCAAATGATAGTAGAACAATATCAAAGTCACGGTGGCAGTAAACAATGTGCCCTTATAAAATTATTTTAAAAAATACTTGAAAAGTGAGATCCTTATGCAAATGCAACACTAAAAATATTTAAATTTATACAAAAAAATAATAAAAATATACATTCATCCAGTGATCCGCCTTCCATTAATTCAATCACAATACCAGAAGATTCGCCACGAAAGAGTGCATAAAGGTTGACTATGTTTGGGTGACAAAAACTATGCAGATGTTTAGCCTCTACCAACGAATGAGAAAGATCATTTGAATTATTTGCAATTTTAACTGCAACTTGACGACCCTTAAATGGTTAAACTTAACCAGTCCTTGATATGTAAAAGTTAACAAACCCTAAAAGTGCACTTATAAACTGTCCCATAAGAACCATGACCAAGTATTTGAATCTGACGAACATCAGGGAGGTTAATTTCGCTGTAATCAACTTCTTCCCAGCCATTTTCTTCTTGATAAACTTCAAGTAGAGCATTGCTAGATACTAAATCAATATTTACATACAAAGGCTCCATTTTACCCTAAAGCAAAAGACATGATTAAAATCAAATGTTTTTAAAAATCTTTGGAATACATCCTTTATATAACAAAAGATAAACGATATAACAATTTAATTAACAAGAGGACATCATTTATCATAAAGAATAGATAGCTTCAACAAATATTTAACGCTTTCGACGACCACCTCCTTTACGAGCTTCCTTCGGTTTTGGTGGCAGAATGACTCCATCGTACTAAAATTAAAAGACATTCAAGAAAGGAAACGAATCAAATTTCAAACCTTCTGTTGGAACCATTTAACGGATTCCTCCTTGGTAACGCGGTGAGAAGATCCAATACGTCCAATAGCACGACGGCGTTTAGCAACACGAGTTCCAGCACGTCCCAAGACAACGTAGAAATCCATTCCATAGATTCCAATTGATGGATCGTATTTTATGCCCAAGTCGATATGTTCCTGAATTCCAAACCCAAAGTTGCCAGTGTCCGAAAAATTTTCTCTATAAAGTTCAAATTCCTTGACCTAAACTTTTTTCAGTTATAAAAGCAAAAATTGTTAAATAACCTTCAAACCACGATCAATAATCTCCTCAGCTTTTGAGCCACGAACCGTGCAGTGAACAGCGATCTTTTCGTTTCGACGAATGCCAAAAGCTCGAACGGTATAACGGGCCTTGGAAAGAACGGGTGTTTGTCCAGTCAATTGCTCAAGAACCTAAACGAGAAGTAAAAATTTCTTAAAGAAAACTTTAAAAAACCTTAGCTGCACGAGTAAGTCTATCTCCCGACTCGCCAACACAAATGTTTAAGCAAAGTTTTTGAATTTTCAATTCACGCATAGTATTATGCAACTTCTTCTCCCGGTTTTCAACAATTTGCTCAGCTTTAGTCATTGCAACAATAAATCTGATCTGAAACGAGAAATTAAAACAGTACAAAAATAGAAAAAAGAACAAAACTGGACGAAAGATACTGCGGCTTTTATATATTGCAAAGTATGCGTCCACTTTGAAAGTTAGCAATTTGAAATTTAAAAAATGTGATAGAACACGTGAAAGAAGAGAGTATAAAGAAAGAGAGAAAAAAATAGTAAAAAGAGCAAGAAATAGACTGAGACTCTAATTCCTTGTTCAATATTCTGCAATCCCTATTTTGCCAATTTCGCTAAAAACTGCCGTTTTGCCACGCAAACCCTATTGGCAAAACGTGGTTTTTACCATCATTGACAGAATATGTTTTGACTGAATATGCGAGAGCTTTGTTTCTCATAAATTATTGATTTTGCCGGACTTTCAGTCTGTGTTTTTTTTGTAACGTCACTATTTTAAGCTAAAATTTGATAAATTTTTCTATTTTTAGATAAGAAATCTCTTTAGTATTTACATAAATCTGCTGAACGATGGGAGACATGAATGGCGAAAATGGTGAAGATAAAGGATCAAATCGCAAAGATAACGGCAAGGATCGTGATGTTTGCCGTGATTATTTGAACAATATTTGCAACAGAGTTATTTTCACATTTCTAATTCACATATTTTTTTAATTTTCAGGGAAGCCGTTGCAAGTTTTACCATCCAGAAGAACATGATAACAAGGCACAAAATGCTGCTGATGAACCTTATCAGTTTTGTATTGACTTTCAGGTATACTTATTAACTTAAATTAAAGTTTAAACGTTTTTAACATTTCGAATTTCTTGCTTGAGCGTATGGGCAAACGCATGTATTTGCGCGCTCAAATGTTCTATCGTTCTGTTCAATCAAGTTTTTAAAAATTTTTTTTGAAACAGAATTTGCGATTAATGATTATTTTCAGAACCAAGGCTGCAGTCGCGATAATTGTCGCTATGTTCATGCGTTTCGCGAAGATGTTGAGCGCTACAAGCGCACTGGCGATGTGACGCTTGGTCTTGCGCGTGCTTTAGCTGGTTTATTTATATAATTTTTTTAAATTACTTCTGATGGGTAAGTTTGATTTTTCTTAGGGCGAAGGGCCTCACCTTTTTCAGGGCGAATGTTAATTCTAGGAAATTTTAACTTCATTTACATATCAGGGCTGAGCGCTTATGCTTTTTTATATTTGCTGATGGTCTCATAGCGCCTTACTTTTTCTAAATTTTATTTGTCGTCAGCCCTGATTCCACGTTCACTTTATTACTTGCGATACTAATTTTCACCCATTTTTAGTGCAATAATTTAATTTCAGCATTGATGCGTGGTGATACAATCAACTCAATTCCCCTTTGCAAGGAATTCCAAAATGGGCATTGCGCGCGAGGTGTTTTGTTGAAAATCCAAAAAAATTTTTTGATATAATTAAGGCCCCCAATGCCGTTATTGGCATATAAACAAAGATGAAGAGCGACGCAAACGCTTTCATGGACGACATGTTGGCGCGGCTTCTCCATTCGGCGCTTATACTGGGCATGCAGCAGGTTCTTTATTGGAATGAAAATTTATATTTTGGGATTAATTTACGATATTTTTTTACCTAAACTTTCTTGAGATATTTTTCTAAGGTACACTATAACTAAAGGAACCTCGCAAACTCACCAAAAATTTCTTAATTATTTTTGCACAATTGTTGTAGAGCAGGTTCGATAACTTGTTGCCAATTTTTGGTTTTTAGGCCTGACCCTCCTAATTGAAAAGGGTACTTGTGGGTTATCTCATACCAGTTTTTGCGGACAAATTAATGCGGACATTTTTGTAAAGAATGGTCAGTCTTTCTTTCTTCCTCGGTTTCACTCAATTTTCTCTGTGGCAATATTCAATGAGTGAAACAACGAGGAAAAGATTAATTTTTCTTTCAAATGTCACCTAACCTCGTGCGGAGTCGAATCATACGAAATCGTCCGTAAGGACATCTCTGAATTACAGGGTAAAAAATGTCTAAAAACGTACTCAGCTCTGCATTTTAGAACCCATGCCGATGTTGGGTGGGTGTACAATTAATTTTACTTACAATAGGGTTTGTAACACACATTAAAACTGACCATTTTTGCATCCCTTGGAATTAAAGGGTGATGGGGTACGAAGTTCAATGTTTTGAGAAAAATTGACCGGTCATTTGTTCTAAAACGCAGACCCGGGTATTTATTGCCATTTAAATAACTGAACTAAATTGAAATAAAATTATGCATTAATTCAAATATTAATTTGTATTTTGGTGAGATTGGGAAGGAAAATTAATCTTTTTTTTGTTTATGTGTTTTATTGAATGAGAGAGGGAAAAAATTGATGCTCTGTTTCTCATGAATATTGCCACAGAGAAAATTGAGTGAAACCGAGGAAGAAATAAAGACTGACCATCTTTACAAAAATGTTCGCATTAATTTGTCCGCAAAAACTGGTATGAGATAACCCACAAGTACCTTGAAAAGTTACAGGCTTCAAAGTCTGTTCATTTTTGCATTATCAATAATTGATATGAATGATTTTTAAGCGGCGCATTTGTCGAGGCGAATGCGCTTTTAAAATTTTTTAAATTAAACAAAAAATATTCTTTTATTTAGGCGTTCGACGCCGTGCTGATGATTATGGTTCATCATATGATGATTACATGCCTCCAGAGAAGAGAATTGCACCTTTTGTTCAGCCTCTACCAGTTCCTATGATTCCGGGAGGTCCAACTCGTCTGATGGTTGATTTAGAACGTCGAAATGCTGAACTGATTGCTGAGGTTCCTTTTCTAATTCTGAAACATTTATTCTTGTTTCTTTTTAAAGGTTGATAGTCTGAAACGTGAATTACAACGTGAGAAGGAACGCTACGATGATTTGATGTCTCTTTTCCGTGCTACGCAAGCTAATCAAACAGCTTCGATTCAAACACGTCCTTCTGGAGCTTCTCAACCAGGTATTCCAAGTATGGGAGGACAACAGCAACAGCCTGGTGCAATGCAACAATGGGGAACAGGAGGTGGAGGAAAGGCTACTCCAAATTATATGGGACCATTTGACTGGACTGCTAATTGAGTATTAAATTTAATTATTTTTGGATGAACGATTTTTAAAAATTATTTTTGGATCAGTAATTTTTTCGGACAATTTGTGTCAGTTTTTTAAGTTAATATTTTTTTTTCTAAATTTATCACGAATACAAGCTAGGATTTTTTTGGGTCTAAAAATATCTAAATTTTGAAATTTAATTTTTTCTAAAATATACGTTATAATTAAAATCCTAGTATTAATTTTTTAATCATATGGTTTTGAGCATTTCCTCTTTTGAAAGTTTTTTGTCTTTTTTTTTAATTTGGAAAATTAAACGATTTTGATTGATTAATTTTGATGACTCAATCTAGGGAGTAGAAAAAAAGCTTTTGCGATTGATTTAGGTAATTAAACTTGTTGACTTTTTTGTGACTTTTTGCGTCTGTCACAAAGTTGATGGTGACTGCTGTTATTTTTTTCTTAAGTTTTAAGATTTTAAGTTAAAACCCTTTAATAAGATCGTTCTCTTTTTTCCTCTTCCCACATTTCCTCAATTTTTTCCTTAAATTTAACCATCACATCTAAAATTCCCCTTAAAAATGCGGAACAAATATACTCAAATTTGGTCCATTTTATTCGCATTTTTCCTTTGTTTTGATCATTTTTCTGTTGTTTGTAAACGTTCTGGAATATTTGGAAGGTTCGTCATTTGAATATTTTCTTATTTTAACCTTCATTGTTCAGTAGAGGAGGTTCTTCTCGAAATGGGCATGGTTATTCGTCAGGAATTGGGCGAAGCCGCTATCCTTCCTCACATACTAATTATGGGGGTTCTGGCCGGAGAAGTATAACAGATAGATTACTTGGCAGAAACAAAGGAGGGGGATATGGAGGTCATAGGAACCGTGGAGTTATGGCTGGAGCTGCTGGGGGTGGATTACTTGGCCATGGCACAAGGAAGAGTGGAGGATTCTTGGGTGGAGGCGGAAATAAGTTAATAAGGACATCTATCGTTTGTTCTAAAAATTTTTTAAAAGATATCGAAGTAGCGGCATAGGGTCCCGATCCCGTGCTGGAACCTTCAAAAACATGTTAGTTGGTGCAGCCGGTGGATTTCTTGCTTACAAAGCAGGAAAAGCAATCATTAAAAATGTGGCACGCCCTATGATGTGGAATAATCGGCCTTATTATTGGGGTGAGCATACGATTCAATTACTTTTGTAAAAAATTTTGATTCATTTTCAGGCTCTCAATACCATCCCTCGTATCAGGGTGGAGGGTATGGAGGCGGATATGGAGGCGGTGGGGGTGGATATGGGGCTGCTCCTTCCAAAACAATGTGCAGAATGGCAATTGAGCCTGATGATCCAGTTTTGGGACAAGTTTATATGTCAGACAATACAAGACCAAAGGAAATTGTTTGGACCTGTGAGATTCATGAGGTAAAATTGTGGGAAGTATTATCTTTCAAATTCATTTTTTGTAGGAATGTTGTGGATATGAATGCTGTCCTCGATATTAGAATTTTTTGATGTAAAATCGAATGGAAAAATATTTTTATTATTTGTAAGGTTGTACCACAAAGACCAAAAACTTGAAGATAAACACCACACTAAACACCCCGCTTAAAGGATTTTTAGTAGACATTTTTTATGCAACTTTAATAAGGTCATGTTTTTACTCGCTGAGGCGTCATTATCTTTAAGGTTATTTTTTGTGGTATCAATTTTTTTATTAACACTTTTGTACTGTTGGCACTGATAACAATTTTAAATGGAATAAGGCGGTCGTTGTCCAACATAAAATTATTTAGAAAGCAAATTGTAAACGATTTTGGTCGACAAATTTAGTATATATTTTTTAACCTTTTCTCCCTTATCTTTTTTTAATTATGTGTATATTTTTATTTGATTAGAATAAATTGATTTGATGAAGAATTATTTTGTATCAAAAATACTTTTTTAAATTAGTATAGTACTTGATATCTTTTTAAATTAAAAAAATAAATAAAAATGCCCCTTTATTCGACTGGAAGTACCCAAGCTTGGTATTCACCTAAACAGGTTATTCTTTACTTTTTTAATTTTTTAAAATATTTCCAAATAATTATAGGCCTTGTGTATCGCTCTAACTTTTGCAATTGTTGATTTACTAGTTAACATTTTTGGATTGGCCTGGAATGGAAAATTTTTCACCTTTGATAATTTACAACATTGGTTCGATTTTAGCCATTACACGTTTACTAACAACCCGATTGGTATGGTTTTTTTAAAAAAATTTTAAAATTAAAAAAAACACTTTATCCACTCTATTTTGTTCCACCTATTCTTTAATAAATCCACTCTATTAAATCCACTCTATTAATAAATCCACTTTATCCACTCTATTTTGTTCCACCTATTCTTTAATAAATGTATGGCTGCTTTATGAAATTCTATTATTTTTTCTTTCACTTCCTCTTCTTTTGATATTTTAAGTGCTTGAACAATGTTGTCGAACTCATATTTTCTATTGATTAGATTATTTCCTATACGTGTAGACAGAATCAAAGAGCCTTCTAAGAAATCTTGGTTTAAAAAAAAAGTAAAATTTTTACCCAATAGCTTTGCATTTTTTTCTGATATATTTTGTATTAATATGCCGTACTCCGCGTTTTGTAGATTGTTGAAGGTTCCTTTATATCTATGTTGCACAAACCGTTTTTTTATTATTGTTGTTATCCCTATGTATTTCCAACCCATTATCGATATTTCATCTCTAACGAGGTAAACCTAAATTATATTTTACGGATTTTAACAAAAAGTGTGGAAATTTACCAAATGTTGTCCAGGATCAACAGAAAAATCAAATTGTTGTACATCAGAATATTCGTTGATTTCGTTAAAATACTTCGACCAATTGTTTGAACAATAAAAACTTGAAATATTACAATTTGAAGTATTGTAGTGGGAAGAACGGACGGTCCAAGAGAAGGAAAATCCACAAAAGAAGCAAGTTTTTAAAAAGAGGGGAGCTAAAAATGGAATGGGGCATTTCAAATAATGCAGACAATGATAAACCTGTATTCGCATTTTCTGTAATTGTTGGTTGAAGGATTTGATGTGGAGTCGATGTTGAAGGGGTTGAATATTGTTGTAGTTGCTGATTCGATGCCGCGATTCTTTCCTCTAACAAAGCACAATAAAAATTTAAATCATTTTCAGCTTCCTCTTCTTCCTAAAAACAATTTTTTTCAAAAGTGACTAAAATCCCGATTCTTACCGTTCCAGTTGAAGTAAATCCATCTTCTGAGTCAATTCCTTGTAAACGTTGTTGTGCCGATACTCTGTAAAGTTCACTCATTCTTTTTTCAGCTTCAGGTTCAATCCATTGTTTATAATGCAAAACGGCTTTTTTTGTAATTTCTTCCAATTTATCCATTAAATTATCTGCCTTTTGTTCTTGTTTTTCTTCATCAAAATAATTATTTTCAATCATTAAATCTATTCGAGAAAGTAAAGAATATGCTTGATCAAGAAAAGCACCATAAGGAAAATATAAAACACCTTTTTAAGAAATTATATTTATTTTATTGTAATAAAAATTATAGTAAACCTTCATCCATAAAAGCACGCATTCCATCAACAGGATTTAATGCATGAACATGTAATCTATTAAGTAATTTAACTGGTTGATCCATTCTTGGCTCTCGAGTAACACGTTGTTGACAATCAGTTAATAAATGTTGGGCTCTTTGAATTAATCGAGAATGTGCTGCATTTAATAGTTGTCCGGCAATTTCGTTCCAATGAGGGTGAACACGTCGAAGTATTCCAATCTATTTAAATTATGTTTTAGGAAAATAAATAATTTTTTCTAAACCTCTTTAAATGAAAATAATCCAAGTATTTGTTGTAAAACAGGAACAGGCATTCTAAAAGTGTTTACCATACCACGAACCATTTGAAGATTTTGAGCGGCAGCAGCAGTTATGAGAGGCAGCAGCACACTTCGACTTAGACAACAATAAATTAATATATATAACTTAAAATATATAAATTAAAATACCTATCAACAGCTTGGCCTAATTTGACATTGTTCTCGTTCATATTCACTACCTGGACATTGCCCGCCCCCATAGCATTTTCGCACTCTTCTTCTAAATCCTCGTCTAGACCTAAAAAGAAATTTAACATTAAAACTTAAATGTATGTAAAAAAACTAAACCTTTTTTCCATCTTGAAGCAGTAGCGTTTGCCGTTCTGTTCCTTCTCTTTGCCGTTTTTCTTCTTCTCGCTTCGTGCCCACTCGAGCACGTTACTTTATTATATGAAGTCGCATTCATATTTTCTCTAAAAATTTTTAAATTTAAATTTCGAAATAAACGAAAGAAAAAAAGAGAAACAAAAAAGACAAAATATAGTGAAAACAAAGAAAAAAAGAGAAATACAGTAAACAAAGAAATTCGCGTCGAAACAAAAAAGTTTTCCGGAAAATATAATAAAAACAGAACTTTCCGGAAAATATAATAAAAACAACTTTCCGGAAAATATAATAAAAACAACTTTCCGGAAAATATGATAAAAACAACTTCCCGGAAAATATATTTAATTTCGAAATAAACGAAAGAGGCCGAATTTTTTCATTTTGATGCCGAATTTTTTTAAATGTTTTTTGACTAAAATATTAATCAGAATTTCTTCTATAAAATCAACGGATAAAAGAATTTTTTGTCGGATTTTCCCCGAGATATGAATTTTCAAAAAAACCGACTAAACCTAAAAATTTTCCGGAAAATATAATAAAAATAGAACTTTCCGGAAAATATAATAAAAACAACTTTCCGGAAAATATAACAACTTTCCGGAAAATATATTTAATTTCGAAATAAACGAGAGCAATATTGAACGTGAATTAATTAGACTTTCTGGCTGTTGCAATTCTTCGAATTTGTATTCTTCTGGGTGGTGCTGCAGGAGTTTATTGTAACCCTAAAGGGGGTGCTGAAGCTTGTGCTACTCTTTCCAATGTAATTTTTTATTTTGAAAAATTTTTTGGGGCAGGAAAGACTTTGTTTTCGAGAAGGTTCAGCTTACACTTCACCCCTCCTCCTTCGAAATAGGTGTCGGTGACGCCTATAGTTTATTAAGAGAACCAGAAATCTAATAAATTAGCAGGGTTGTTGGTTAGGATCCGATCGAGGATTTTTCCCTTGATTCATTCCGAGTATCCTAAGATTTCCCACGACCTGACAATAGTTTTATTATGGAATTCCTTGCCCTAGTAAAGGAAAAATAAAGTCATTCAAAATATACTATATTTATCCTTTCTCAGTTCACCTTTGCATTAGTCCTTGTTATTGTTGCCTTTTCTCCAATAAAATTGCTTGCTTTTTATGAACATGAGGACCTCAAATTTGCTGTTGGAGATTGGATTCTTATGGTATTATTTTCTCATTTCTTTTAAATAAAAGTAAATTTTAATAAAAAAGATTTGGTGCATTCTAGCAGCTTTATTTGTTCAAGCAATTTGGGTTAGCGTGTTTGCTCGTGTTCGAGAAGTTATTTTTGTTGGACGTCAAAGGCTATTTTCTAATGAAGACGAACAATATTTTTCTGAATTGCAAAGAAAGGAAAGTGAAGTTGCTGACCAAAAACGAGAAACTTTTGTGATGCTTTTCCGACTTCTTGGATATATGGCAAAGGAATGGCCATTTTACAGTGTTGCTTTTATCTTTTTGTTTTTCTATTCGCTTTCTCGAGTTTTTGTGCCTTACTTTACTGGACAAGTGGTTTGTTTTAAAGATTATTTTGAAGGGTTTAGGGTTAGGTTTGCCAACGTGTAGAAGCAAGAGCAGCCAGATTTCCCCCTGTTGAACTCGACATTTCTGCTTTTGACTAATTAACTTTTAAAAATAAACTTTAAAAACGTTAGCATCTCAATTAAGGTTGGAGCTGTCTTTGGTGCTGAAGCTTCTTATGAACACCTTTTTAATTATGTCATTATTATGGGTAAATTTAGCAGTGCAAAATTTTATTTAAATTTAAAATAATTTAGCCTCGCTTTCATTATCGAGTTCTGTCTTTGCCGGTCTACGTGGAGGGTTTTTCACTTATTCTCAGGTTTTATTTTAATATTTATTTTTATATAAATTTGTCTTACAATTTACAGGCTCGAATTGATAGAAGAATTCGCGGAGATCTTTTTAGTTCTTTTGTTAAACAAGAGGTTTTTTTCTAACCCAAATTTAATTGAGATCGACTGGGGGCGCGCTTAATACTAAACTTGCAAAACTGTCGAAATACCAAAAATTAGAATTGTTCCAATCACGTGGAAGACTGACATTCATCCATATTACAAGGTTCTATTGTATCCTTTGGGCGTTTAGTATTACAGCTTCACACTGTTAGGCATCTTGTCGATCTTTCTAAATAATTTCCAAATATTTTTTTTTTGCAGATTGGATTTTTTGATGCCAACAAAACTGGTATTTTTTAACTATTCGTTTAAAAATTATTTTCTTCTTAGGAGAAATTTGTTCTCGAATAAATGCCGATTGTCAAACAATGTCAAACACATTAGCACTTTACATGAACGTTTTTTGTCGAAATATGACAATGCTTGTTGGCTCGCTTATTTTTATGTTTTTGCTTTCTTGGCGTCTTACAGTTGTCACATTTACTGCTGTTCCAATTATTTTTTTAATCTCAAAAGTTTTCGGAGTTTACTATGATGTAAGGGGGAGTTAACATTTAAAAAAATTTTTATTTTTTAGCAAATAGCCGAAGAAAGTCAAAATAGTGTGGCAAAAGCAAATGATGTTGCAGAGGAAGTATTGAGTGCAATACGTACAGTAAAGAGTTTTGCTTGTGAACGTTTTGAATCTCTCCGTTTTCTTTCTTATTTGAACGTCACTCTAAGCATTGGTGCCCGTAAAGCAACTGCTCATGTTGGATTTCTTCTTACTACAGAGGTTTTTTTAGAAATTTAAAATAATTTTTTAAATTTTCTTTTAAAGTTTTTACAAATGGGAATTCTTACTATGGTGCTTTTTTATGGCGGTCATTTGGTAATTCAAGGAAAAATTGATTCTGGACTTTTGGTTTCATTTATGCTCTATCAATTCCAGTTGGGGGAAAATTTACGAGTAATTTTCCAACTTTTTTTTTGGAAATTTTATTAAATTTGCAGGAATTGGGCGAAGTTTGGAATGGATTGATGCAAGCAGTTGGCGCCTCGAGAAAAGGTTTTTTTGTTTATATTTTTAAAAATTTATGTTTTTTTCTATCAGTTTTTGAATTAATTGACCGTCAACCTGAAGTCCTCAATGACGGACACGTTGCCCTTGATGATAGAATTGCTCGGATGGAAGGACGAATTGAATTTAGAAATGTTCATTTTCATTACCCGACACGGCCTAATGTTCCTGTACTTAAAGTTGTTTACTTCATTTTGTAAAATTCTTATAAAAAATTTTTAGGGTCTTTCTTTCACGGTTGAACCAGGACAAATAGTGGCACTAGTAGGACCTAGTGGAGGTGGAAAAAGTTCGTGTATCGCTTTGCTTGAACATTTCTATGAACCTGAATCTGGTGAGGTTCTTCTCGATGGTGTGCCAGTGCGAGATTATGACCATAAATTTTTGCATACAAAAGTATCACTTGTTGGACAGGTTTTCTTGGAATAAATTTTTAAATAAATTCATACATTATTAGGAGCCGGTTCTCTATGCGCGTTCTGGTAAATTAATAAAATAAAAATAATTTATTCATTTTTTTAAAGTTCGCGAAAATATTGCGTATGGAAGCAAAGCAACTTATGAAGAAGTACAACGAGCATCAAAACATGCAAATGCCCATGGATTTATTACGGAAGCACAAGAAGGTTTGGAGGGGTAAAAATTAAATTAAAACGTTGATAAAAAGGTTATGAGACTGATGTTGGCGAAAAAGGAGGACAAATGTCTGGAGGACAAAAGCAGAGAATTGCCATTGCTCGTGCACTTGTAAGGGAACCAGTTGTTTTGCTACTCGATGAAGCGACGTCAGCACTTGACTCAGAATCTGAACATTTGGTACAGGAGGCTATTCAACGAAATCTTAGGTTAAATTTGCCTTAATTTTTTCTTAAAAATCCTTGGAAATCTTTAGAGGCCGAACCGTGCTTTTAATCGCACATCGTCTAAGCACAGTAGAGAATGCTGACAAAATTGTTGTGATTAGCGGGTATATTTTAAAAAACCTTTATAAAATATAAAAGTTCCGTTTTTTTAGAGGTCGGGTGGTCCAGGAAGGGGTACACAAAGCCCTAATAGCTGAAGATGGTCTATACAAACAATTGGTGCAGAGACAAATGCTTGGTTTGTTTAATTTAACATTAAAATTAATAAGGTTTTTTGAGGTGGTGAGCTGAGTGAGGACTTTACAGCTCCAAAACACACTCATGGTGGAAGAACTCCCCGTGCCCGGTCTGCTAGAAGAGTTCCACGTTCAACATCTCCAAGTCAACAAAGTACAGTACAATCTTTTCTTGGTTCAAGTATGGCTAGCTCTTATCTTTAAATTTTGTCTTACTATTGAATGATGGCTCAGGTTTACTATTGAAATAATTTTTTAGTAATTTTTAAAGTATTTTTTAATTTTGTTATTTTTGGTTAAAAACATTAAATTTTTTCAAAATTCAAAAATTTTCAATTCATTCTTCAATTTTCACTGTGTAAAATCTGTTGAGTAAAAACTTTTATTGCAAATCATGAATATTTTTTAAACTTTTTTAGTAAACTTTTAAAGATAAATTTGTTTATATCAGGACTAGGTGAGAGTAGAAAAGAGTTGATCAGGACAAGCCTCGTTAAAAAATACATGTGAACATTTATACAAATTGTGAAAATTATCATTCAATTTTGTTTGGAACAACTTTCTAATTGTGCTTTTGAACGTGCAAAATTGAAAAATATATTTAATCCAGAAATGGTTAATTTATTATTTGATGAAACAAAGTCGTTCCAATTTCACATTCAAACAGCTACTATCTACCCCAACAATTTTACCTTCAAAGAATTTTTGGAATTCTCCTTGGGTAATTGTGCAATCTACAACAATTTTCTCATTGCTTTCGAAAACAATTCTGATCAACACACACCTCCACAACCTCCTATTAATATCAACATAACTAATCCACCACCACCACCCATCAACATCAATATTCATTCACCAACAGCATCATTGATGATAATGAATTTGTTGCTTAAAAAGATTTAATAGGGCATTAAGAGGAAAAAGAGAATTGGAAAGGAAACCATTTTTAAATTTTTATTTTAGCGCACCGCAGATGAAAATTTTGATAATTTTGGAAAGCCGTGGTAAAGTATTTTTAATTTAACGAAAAAATTCCCGAGTTCCGTCAAGTATTAAAGTTTAGTCTAAAATTTACTTGAATGTGAACGAGAAGAATTTGCTGCATTAATTGGATTTGTTGTTGTTGTTGTTGTATTGTTGGAAGAAGTAGGCGAATTGATGTTGATAGTTGGGTTGAAGTTGTTGTAATTTATTATGGGAGGTGTGGGAATAATACTCAACAACAACAACGTCAACCCCCTCCACCACCTCCCATAATAAATTACAACAACTTCAACCCAACTATCAACATCAATTCGCCTACTTCTTCCAACAATACAACAACAACAACAACAAATCCAATTAATGCAGCAAATTCTTCTCGTTCACATTCAAGTAAATTTTAGACTAAACTTTAATACTTGACGGAACTCGGGAATTTTTTCGTTAAATTAAAAATACTTTACCACGGCCTAAGGCTGTGCAGTAAGCGGCGTGGTGTAATAAATAACACATCCGTCCGGTCTACTGAAGATGCTGGCTCACTCCCAGCAAGTTTATTCAGCGGCTGGGCCCCCCCCCCTACCCTCCCCCTGGCTACGGGCCTATGATCAACTCTTTTCTACTCTTTCACCTAGTTACCAAAATTCAACAAAAAAATTTTAAACCAACAACAAAATTTTCAATTTCCTCCAATTTTCATTGTGAAAATCCTCTCTGATCACTCCATTGCCCTCTTGGTTGAGCCATCTGAGGCATAAATGTTGCAGGCATATAAGGATGAAAATGATATTGATACTGATTAAATGGTGGAGTATTGTAGATAGGGCCATAAGAACCCTTAAATTATTTTTTAATTTTCAATTTTTAAAAAATTCTAGTTACTTGTTGCTGCCATTGTCCATTTGGAGGCCTTGGGTGTTCATTGTGTTCTGACAAGCGTTGACGGCCACCACCTTTTTTCCCTCCATGTCTATGTTGACGAGAATTGTGCTAAAAGTTGAAAGATTAGAATTTTTGAATTTCCAGGAAATACCTGAAATTGACCACCATTTCGAAATCCTCGACCATCGGAATTTCTGCTGCGGTTTTGCCATCTTGGTCGATCTTAAAAATATCTCAAATTAAGAGGGAAAATTTTAGATTTAATAAACCTTTAACTACAACCGTCCTTTCACGTTCAGCATTAAGCAAAGCCTGTTCTACTTCACCCACCATAGGAAATTCAAACTCTCCAAATTCATTTTCTCGTCGTAAGAAGACCACAAAACAAGGATGTCCAACAACCTGCCAAGGAAAAACATAATTTAAAAATATTAAGGATTCCTTACATAACGATTGCGCAAATTTTCCAAAATAGTTTGTTGTGGACTAACCGGATAATATCTTTAAAAAAAAGTATTTCAGTGTATAGTCATTTTAATTAATACCTTAATTCTGCTTCACTTTGACAATCATTTTCACTTGTAACTTCGTCTTCCTCCTTTCCGAGAGGTAATGCAACCTCAGAGTAAACGGTCAGCTGATCTCTCACACATTCCTTGTCTAAATCATTTGCAGGGTCGATAATTGAATTTGATGCGCTTTAAATTTAATTTTTATTTAAAAGGTAGACAATATTTAAAAATACGTAGTAAATTGTTGTAGAAAATCCATGTCAAGCTCTGATTTAGATATAACTGTCCCATAAGGTTTAGGTCTAAGAAATTGTCGCAAGAGTGTAGAAACACGGATTGATTCAGGAATGTTTTGAACCTTTAAAAAGTATTTTTATAGAAAAATCTTTTCAGAAAAGAAGGAAAAATAAAAATACCTACAGTGTAAGAAAGCCATTTTAATGGAGGAAGTGGTTCCTGATATGAATTGACATCTTCAATCATTTTTTCATCATCAAGTTGTTCATTACCCTCATTGTCAGCAAATTGTTTTTCTTCAGTTTTCACTTCTGTTTCAATTTCTCCTTCCTCTTTCTCAACTTTTTCTTCTTTAACATCAAGAATATTGTCGTCAGAAATCTTCAATTCTTCGCCATCTTCAACTTCATAATCAACAAGTGGTTTGGCCAAATGTGTAATAATAGATGAAGAAGCTTGGTCATCAAAAGTTTCATCCTCTTGAAAACTTTCCTCATTTTTAATCGAAGATTCGTTCATTTCTTCAGTCTCTTCAACTGGCGCCCGATATGCAAACTTGACAGTACATTTCCAAAAAATTGTATCAGAAAATTGTTCAATACGTGAAGAACCAAAATCTTTAAAAAATTGTTTTGAGGATAATTAAGTTAATTTTAATAAACCTTTTGAATTATTCGATGGTAACAGCCAAATACGTCGAAACTGAGCACTTTTGAGTAAGGATTGGTCATTATAAGAAAGTTTTGGCTTTTGGTTATCATTCGAATTTTGTGTATTGAGTGAGGTAACTTCTACTAAAAAATGAAGTAATATAAGGTAAAAATATTTAGATGAAAAGCTCATTTTTCATTAAAATCCCAGACATCTATGGAGACCTCCCTACAGAAATACAAAAAAACCAACGATTTGTTTCCTAGCCCCTTAAATTTCATCGACCTATCTTTCATTTTTAACAAACTTATAGTAGAACTATTTATCCACCAGACCGACAAATACCAACGATTCACTTGTATTTTAAATTTATTTTATCCGGAGTGTAAATTAAATTGAAAATTAAGTTAAATTTTCAAACTTTTTTCTGTTTTGAGCAAGCATTCTGTCACGTCTGAATTATTTTTTCGTTGTTTAATTTGATGTAAGAATTGCTGATCTTCAATGCTTGTATCCTCCTTGAAGTTTGAGTAACCCTGAATTTTCTTCCAATTTTGTTTGCCATCAAGTAAAATATTTGAGCGAGGACGTTGACCATCACACTAAAAATTTTTTATAAAATTTTTAAAATTTGAACAAACATTGTTTTTCTCTTTATGCGTTTTTGAACATTTTGCTGAACACGTTCTTATTAAACATTTTGGACATTTGTAAAGAGCAGTAGATTCACAAATTGCACAACTGTGTAAATTTTCCGTTTGTGGTTCGATTAATTTTGGAGTGAATGGTTTGAGTAATAAAATATTGTTTTCGACATCCGCTGCCATATTGAATTTGAAATCTAAAAATGAGAAGAAATTTTGGTTCAGGAAATCAGGAAAATGAAGGTCTAAAACGAAGAATTACCGAAATTTGACAAAATATGAAATTAAAAAAATTTTCGCTTTTATAGAATTACTTTTTACCAATTTAAAATTACCATATTAACATTATTTATTCTAAAATGTCATATTGGTAAAAATCTTAATATAAAAGACAAAAGGATCCTATAAAACGTCGGAACGTCCCACTTGTGTACCGGCCGTTTGTGTACCTGGCCATATTTTGGGCCATAACTTTTTTGATTCTTAACCGACTTCAATTATTGTTATATGAATCGAAAGCCCTGGATGTGAGGATTATTTTCGCCAACAGGATTGATTTGATCAGATCATGTTATAAAAAGTTATATCTCGATAAATGCGCTCAATCGTGATTTTGATCTTTATCTGTCTGTAACTTTTTGTATGATTATCTGATCAAATCAATCCTGTTGGCAAAAATAATCCTCACATCCAGGGCTTTCAATTGATATATTATTTATTTAAATCAATTAAGAATTGAAAAAGTTATGGCCCAAAATATGGCCAGGTACACAAACGGCCGGTACACAATGATCCCCTACCCATAAAACGTGTTTTTTAATTTTTTATGGTTTGTAAAAAATTTTTTGAAAATTTAAAAATTTTTCAGATATGGAGGATATTAAAAGTACTCTTTACGCCGTTCTAGGCAAAAGGAAGCTTGGACAGCCCAAATATACTTTTAGTCAAGGCAGTAAAGGACGTCAACGATTTTTATGTCAGGTTATGGTCGATGGAATAAGTTATGGTATGACTCAAATATCTTCTTGAAGTTTTAATTCTTTTCAGTTGGATTCGGAAACTCAACCTCAAAGAAAGATGCACAATCAAACGCCGCCAGAGATTTAGGACAATTCTTAGTTCGTGAAGGGTTGGTAACTGCTCAAGAGCTTCCTCAACTGCAAGTTCAGGTTTCCTTTACCTACTTTACTTACTTCATTTGGTCTGTTTAGCCGTCAGATTTAGAAGCTACTAATCCGCAATATCAAATAGACGTGAAAGAAGGAACTTCTGCTCCCTTACCTCATCATGTTGATTTTACAAATGATGATATGCTCACAGGAAAACCAGATTTTCAACGCCCCAAAACTTTCCATGATCAATACATTGAACAAAAAGCCGAAGAAATTTCTCAGGTTTTTTGCAACATTTTTGCTATATTATGTTTTTAGTCTGAGGCAGTTGATATGACCTCTGAAATACACGGAGGATGGACGATGGACAATTGTAAGCAGGCCCTCAACGAATTCTGCCAAAAGAACCGTTTTCTTCCACGTGAATACAAAACGAGTAGTGACGGAACAAATAATAGCAGGTTTATTTGATTGTGCGACTACAGTTTAAAACAACAAAATTCTCATCGCATTTGATCTAAATGTGCATTTTTATTATTTTTAAATTCATTTTGTTTACTTATTTTTCTTGATGCACATTGGATCAAATGCATATTATGCTCGTTTACTAAAGAGTCCAATCCACGTTGTTATGAGACCAATATTTGTTCAACTGTGTTAGCCATTTAAAGATCTTGTCATTTTGGCAAGGTCGATCATTTGTCATAATTATTATTGCGGTTGAACAAAATGAATGGTCATTTCTTATTGAGAAGTAATCCCCAAAATTAAACATTTTATTTTCAGCACATTTGTTGCAGAAAATGAGCTTTTTCTACCTCGATTGAATCGAAGTATTTTTTAAAAAGTTTTGATTATTAAATTTTTTAATTAAATAGCTATCTACGGACGTGGTCAAGGATCTACAAAGAAAATTGCAGAAACTACTTGTGCATTATCAATTGTTCGTCAACTATTTCATATTGGTCTGTTTATTCTTTTAAAATTGCATAATTAAATTTATTCAATATTAGGTGCCATACTTTCATCTTCTGATAAATTATCTCCAACTAAAAACCGCAAAGCTGATAATGTTTGTGAAATAGATCTAATACTTTTTTAATATTTGTATTTTTTAGTTGGCGGAAATTAAAGTTCATGTTGATCCAGGATTGGTTACTCGTATCGAAAAATATTTAGACGATGTTGGAGTCGAGCCTGTCATTGATGGATTAGAACTCACAACTCCAGATGCTCCAAAATCGTTGTTAGTTGATAAAAAATTGGATGAATTTCCTCCATCGGAAGATAACTATTCTAATGCAAGTATTATGTGGGCACCTCCCTGTCAAAATTGGAATCCATGGAAGTTTGTTCTTTTATTTAAAAATTTTGTTTATTTGCCCTTTTAGAGCTTCAAACATTGATAATCAACCAATTGCTTTTTGGTCAATGGAACGTATTAGTGATGATTTAATGATGAGAGAAAAGGCTAAACAAGTCCCTCAACAATTGGTTCAAGCGCGGCAGAGGCTTCCGGTCTTTAATGTAAGGATTTTTTACAAAAAAATTTTTATGTGAAACTTGTTTTTTAGCATCGTGAACAAATAATTCGTGCAGTGAATGAACATCCAGTTGTTTTAATTAAAGGATCGACTGGTTGTGGAAAGTCAACTCAGGTTTTTTAGAAGCATTTATTGTTCTTATTAGAAACAAATTTTTAGATTTGCCAATATTTACTTGAGAGTCATTTACTCGATAAAAAAGGAGCTAATTTCAATTGTTATGTAACCCAACCTCGTAGAATTTCTGCTATTACATTGGCTGAACGTGTTGCAAATGAACGATGTGAACAATTGGGCGAATCTATTGGTTATTCTGTTCGTTTTGAAGGAATAACTCCAAGACAATATGGTGCAATAATGTAAAATTATAAATTTTTTTATTATTTAAAAATATTTTATAGGTTTGTTACTGTTGGTGTACTTATGAGAAAAATGGAAATGGGTTTAAGAGGAATTTCTCATGTTATAGTCGATGAAATTCATGAACGTGATATTAATACAGATTTTTTATTGATTGTGGTTAGAGATATGCTTCGTGCAAATCCAAAGCTTCGAGTTCTGTTAATGTCTGCAACAATTGATGTATGTTTTAAATTAGTTATAATTTGAAAAAAAAACAATTTTTTTATTTTAGACATCACTTTTTACCAATTATTTTGGACGTTGCCCAATTATTGAAATTGAACAAAGGGTCCATCCAGTTCGTGGATTCTTTCTTGAAGATGTTATTTCAATGTTAAAATATATGCCGCAACTTCCTGAACCGGATAAAAAGAAGAAAAAGAAGAGATCTGGAAAGCCGGAACCTTCAACTTCAAATGCTGATGTTGATGAAGAATGTGATGAAATGTCAATGAGTGTAACAGATAATTTACTTGTTTGTAATGATGATTATCCACCTGAAACTAAACAAGCGCTTGGTAGAATTACTGAAAGAGAAATTCCAATTGAATTAATAGAGGTTTGCTAAAGGAAAATTTATTTTTAAAATTTTAATTTTAAGCAATTACTTTCTGATATTGATCAAAATGGAAAGCCTGGATCTGTTTTAATTTTCCTTCCTGGTTTATTTTTCTATATTTTTTAAGTAAAAATTATTTTTTCTAAAGGTTGGCAAATGATTTCTCTTCTATGGAATCGTTTAATGCTTCATAGAATTTTTAGCAATTCACGTCGTTTTGTTATTCTTCCACTACATTCACAACTTTCTGCTAGGGAGCAGCATCGTGTGTTCGAACCAGTTGGTATTGAACAACGAAAAATTATTCTTTCTACAAATATTGCGGAAACATCTGTTACAATTGATGATGTTGTTTATGTTATTGATTCTTGCCGGTATTTTTTTAGATTTTTATTTTTTATCTAGTTTTTAATTTAGTGTTCGTGAAAAAATGTATTCATCGAGAAACAATATGGTCCATTTTGCAAACGTTTGGGTATTAAAATTTAAGATTTTCATTATTCTTTTTTAATCTACAGGCTTCTCGAACTAATTTAATCCAAAGACGTGGACGAGCAGGGCGTGTGCAAGAAGGCTTTTGTTTCCATTTGGTTACTCGTGCTCGTTTTGATGCCTTAGAAGATCATAGAACTGCTGAAATGTTACGAACTCCTCTTCATGAAATAACTTTAACAATTAAACTTTTACATCTTGGTTCAGTTGGCGAATTTTTGGAAAAAGCAGTCCAGCCACCTCCGATTGATGCTGTTGTAGAAGCTGAGGTTAATTAGATTTTTTGAGAAAATTACTTTCTTTTTAAGGTTTTACTTCGCGAAATGAATGCATTAGATAAGGATTTGGAATTAACTGATCTTGGACGTATTCTTGCTCGATTACCAATCGAACCAAAACTTGGAAAAATGGTTTTGTTGGGTGCTGCTATGGGTGTTGGTAATTTAATGTTGACTTCAGGTTGTTGGTTCAATGATTTTTTCTATTAATTATTTGTTATTATAGCTGCTGCCACAAGTTTTAACACTCCTTTCGTTCCAAAAGAACGAATGCACACAAAATTGGCACACAGTCATCGTTCCTTTTCTGGTAATCGTCCATCAGATCACATAGGATTAGTTAATGTCAATCAACAATTTTCTGAACAATTCGATATTGATGTTTCCTCTGCAGAAGATTTATGCCGTCGTTTTTCTTTGAGTTATCCTTTACTTTGTATGACTCGTGAAGCAAAACGGTTCTTTTTTAATTCTTTTAGAGCAAAACTTTTATTTTTAGCCAACTTTATGATGTTCTTGTTAATCATTCTGGATTTCCTGAATCAATTTTTACTTCTTATTCAATCGATGTACGTGGACCGGATTCGAATCTGGACGTTTTTCTTTCAATGCTGGTTGCTGCATATTATCCAAATGTGTGTTATTTGAGGTATAATTTTTATTTTTTAAATTTATTAAAATAATTTTTATGTAGAGATCGACGCCGTGTTTACACTTTAGAACAAGCAGTTGCACTTCTCAGCAATATGTCCGTTTGTGTGCCATTCAATCGTGGTGAACAAGCTAATTTTGCATCGCCACTTTTTATGTTTAGCGAAAAGGTAATCAATTTAAATTTAGTAAAGCGGTCGACCCATTCCTGACAACTGTCCTGAACAAGATTATTATCCAGTCACATATATCCCAACACCGACTCATTCTTCACAGCCATTTAGTCCTTTACCAGTCGTTTCTGTATTAAACAGTCATTCTGGCCCTCCTCCTTAAAATGTTCAGGTAAAACAAACTAGTGAAAATTGTGAAATACCCCGTCAATCATTTGTCGACGAATTTGCTGCACTTTCATTACAATTCCAGCTAAGAACCAATTGTATTTCTTGCAAACAAGTATCAATGATTTCTCCGTTGCAATTATTGCTTTTTGGCTCTAGAAAGGTAGAAGCGATTGGTGCTGATAAAGTTCGATTGGACAATATGTAAGATTTATTAAAAAATAAAAAATATTTTTATAAAAATATTTTAGGATTCCTTTAAATTTATCAGCAAAAATGGCTGCAAAAATTGTTGCATTGCGTCCGTGTATAGAAGCGTTAGTAGTTCGTTCATGCATGCATCCTGAGCAACTTTCTGATCAACCTAAACAAGTTTTATTAAATTTATTAATATTTTTTTAATTTCTATTTTCTAATAGGATAAAATTCTTACTGCCTTAATTCGTGAACTTTCTTCTGATAGAGCTTGGATACCAACTGGTGAGGAAGGACTTGAACCTGTCGAACAATCTTCTTCATCAAAGGCAAATGCCCATCAATTTAATGTGAATGAACAAAGATCTTATGCTACTCCACTAAACCAAACGTTTATTTATAAATTATTTTTTAGCTTCGAAAATTTTTTTTAAAATTTAGATTGAATTTATCTTCTTCTGCTCCTGTTCCTCTTCGTTCTTTAAAACGCCCTTATGGATCTCCGCCATCTATTGTTGACGTGTATGGCAATCAACCATCACCTTTAACACGTTTAATTTTTTGTTTTTTTTTGTTTAATTTGATTTTTTCAGAACCTAATAGTCTTGGACAAGAGGCTGTAGCTGCTGCTACTGGATTGGCATCATCATCAGATTTTGGTGGTCGAAGAACACCATATACAGCAAATGCTCCATCTGGTGGAGATTACAGCTCAATGGCCGGCTACGGGTGCGACTATGGGTTAATTTATTGAATTTGTCTTAATGTTATATCAGAGAAAAATTATGAGTAAAGTTTTTTTAGTAAAAATTTAATTTCTAGGCCAAGTCCCTATTATGGAAACCCTCAAAATCAACAAAATCAGTTGCCACAAGGATTACAACAATTCAATGGTATGAATGGGAGAGGAATGAGAGGATTTGGTGGTCGAGGAAGAGGACATGGTGGAGGAGGTGGTGGTGGTGGTCGACGGCATGAGGGCTTTCGAAGAAGGCGAGGCAATTGATATTATTTTATGTAAAAGAAAAGATGTTTATTTTTGTTAAATTAGCGATTTATTCGTTATTTATTATGAAAAAATTTTTCTCAAAATTATTATTTTATAAATGACTTTTTTCACATCATTTTTTAACAAGTTATTGATTACTAATGGAATGTTTTCCATTTTTATCTATAGTTTTTTTTGTTTTTTACATTCATGTTTAGGTGGAAGATGATTTATTCTCCTTCATTTAATATTTTTATCAGTTCAAGTTTTTTTCGACCTCGAAATATTATTGGAGGCATCACAAAACTTCAACGTAATTTCCTATCAACGATGCATCAAGAACCACCTTCTTTGAAAGAAATCAACATTTTGAAGGATAGTGTGAATCCAAATGTTTTCAATGTCCAGCTTAATCGTGCAGAGAAGCGGAATACTTTTACTGACAGTTTTTGGCGGTTTTTATTTTATGAATAACTTTTTAAAGTTGTAATTTTAAGTGAATTAAAAACAGCTTTTTCCTATTTGGCGGAAGAGCCAACATGCAGATCTATTGTCTTATCTGCGAATGGGCCTGTTTTTTGTGCTGGTATTGATCTAAAAGAAGGAATAGTGGTTTGTTTAATTTAAATATCAATGCTAATTAGTAATTTATATTTAAGGAAACTTCAAAAATAATGTCAAACGAGGAATTGGATGTTGCACGAAAGTCTCGTTCTATAAGAGAATTGATTAAGCGATATCAAGAAAGTTTTTCATCTTTAGAGGAATGCCCAAAACCAGTATGTTTTTCAATTACTTTTGAGTAAAAATTATTTTTTGGGTAATTGCTGCAATTCATTCATATTGTATTGGTGCTGGAATTAATTTGGTTGCATGTGCAGATGTGAGGTATGCTTCCAATGATGCAGTTTTTTCTATTAGAGTAAATTTGATTCTTTAATAAAAACATGTTTTACTTTAAGGAAGTTGATATTGGAATAGCAGCAGATGTTGGAATATTACAACGAATTCATAGAATCGTTGGAAATGATAGTTGGTCGAGAGAAATGGCTTTTTCTGGAAGGGACGCGAGTGCAGATGAAGCGATGAGAATGGGTTTTTATAAAATTTTATTTTTTTAGAATTGTTCCTTGAAGGTTTTATATCTCGTACATTCGATACGAAAGAAGATTGTTATGAAGCTGCAATGAGTTTAGCTAGACAAATTGCTTCAAAAAGTCCTGTTGCTGTTCAAGGTACAAAATTGGCAATGAATTACGCTCGGTCTCATGGAATTGAGGTTTCTTTAAATATAATTTTTTGATGAATTCTATTTTGACATTTTAAAGGATTCTTCTGAATGGATCAGAAATTGGAATGCATCAATGCTCCAAACTATGGATATAAGTGAAAATGTTAAAGCAAAATTGTCAAAAACAAGTGATAACCCTGTATTTAAGGATTTTTAAATAATTTTAAAGTTTTTTGTATACTAGGACATGTAACTTTTTTTTAATTTTTTAGGAAATAAAAATATTTTCTCACGTATTTTTTTGTAATTACAATTAAATATTTTGAATACTTGAATTTAAAATAATTTTTTTAAGTAAAAATATTTTTTTCTAATTTAGAGAATTTGTTTTTAGTCTTTCAAAAATTAAAAATTTAGCAAAATGCTCAATACCGGGTAAATATTTTAAATATTCTTCTTTAACTAAAACACAATTTTAAACAGAAAATTCCTCGGTAAAACAATTTTGATAACTGGCGCTTCACGTGGGATTGGTAAAGAAATTGCATTAAAATTAGCAAACGATGGGGCAAATATTGTAATTTGTGCAAAAACGGCTCAAGAACATGCAAAACTTTCTGGAACTATTTACAGTGCAGCGGAGGAAATTAAAAAGGTTTTCTAGTCTATTGGTATAGGTAAATAAATTGAATTTTAGATTGGAGGAAAGGCATTGCCTATTCAAGTAGATGTACGAGAAGAAGCACAGGTTCAGGAAGCTGTTGAAAAAGCGGTATGTTTGTGGGGTTTTTTGCAAAGAAATCTTTGTTTTTTTCAAAGGTTCGTGAATTTGGGGGTATTGATATTTTGGTTAACAATGCGAGTGCTATTTCATTGACTGGAACACTTGATACATCTATGAAGAAATATGACCTTATGCATCAGGTCAATATTCGAGGAACGTTTCTTGTGTAGGTTTTATGGAATTTAAAACAAAATTTTAAAAATTTGTTCGTGTAGCATCGGTGGTTCAGTGGTAGGAATGCTCGCCTGCCACGCGGGCGGCCCGGGTTCGATTCCCGGTCGATGCAACTATTTTTTATTTATTCTTTTTCGGTTATTAAATTTTTCCAATCTTTGATAATTATTTAAATAAATTTTTTAGGTCTCAAAAGTGTGTGCCTTACCTAAAACAAGCAAAAAATCCTCATATTCTTAATTTGAGTCCGCCGCTTGATTTGAATCCGATGTGGTTTAGCAGACATTGCGGTTAGATTTTTAGTTTGAAATGAATATTTTTTGAATTTTTTAAGCTTATACAATGTCAAAGTACGGAATGTCAATGTGTGTTTTGGGAATGCATGAAGAATTTCGGAAAGATAATATTGCTGTTAACGCTATTTGGCCTCGGACTGCCATTTGGACTGCTGCATTGGATATGCTAACAGAGGGAAAAGGAAAACAAATGAGCAGAAAGGTTCTTTAAAATTTTTTTATAAATAAACTTTTTAAATTATTAAGCCAACAATTATGGCTGATGCAGCATATATTATTTTGAGCAGAAATTCAAGAGACTTTACCGGCAATTTTTGCCTTGATGAAGATGTCTTAAAAGAGGAAGGAATCACTGACTTTTCACAATATTCCTATGAACCAAGTATTAACTTTTAATTAAGAATATTTTTCCATCTTTTTTATTTAGATGCTGAACTGCTTCCTGATTTTTTTGTACCCGGAGCTGAGTTTCAAGCTTATCTTCCATGGAAGAAAATGTTTGAAAAGAGCAAGATTTAAACATTATACTTTTAAAAATTTGGCCTATAAAAAACTAAATATTAAGCAGAAAAGTATTTTGTAAATTTTTTTAAAGAATTTAATATGTAGATAAAAGGTAATTGGCAAATTCATTTTCTAAATTAATAATTATATTCATTTTTAATCATGAAATATTTTTTTATTTAAAAGGATCTTTAATTAAATTTTACAGAGAATTTAATAATAATTTAGAGGAATTCAGAGAGGTATAATGGTATCAACAGATAAATTACGAAAAAATAGTAGTCAAAGTTATGAGAACGGGGTATTAAATTTTTAAAATTATTTTTAAAAAATATTATTTTTCAACAGCATATTTTTGAACGCGATAGACAATTAATGGATAGTTTTATTTATACAATTTTGATGTTTAGGCAATGTATTATGGTTTGTTTTTGTTAAATTTTAAATTATATTTTTAATTTATTAGTTGGAAGACTTTTTCGAATTGTTGATGGCTCTTTGTGGACAAAAATGTGCAAAACTTTTTGCTTCACATGAACAGCTTCTTGAATTTGTAAAAGAGAGGTGTAAGACAAAAGTAAAAATTGAGGAAAAGGGAAGTCGGGTATGCTTATTTCTTTAAAAATTTTTTAGGATTTATTCAATTCAAAGGTATTTTTGTCTTGGGCTGAAGCTAATGATGGATCGAAAAGACTGCATGATCAATTAGTCATAATTGGAAAGCGAGTTTGCTCGGAAAGTGCACCCCAAAAAGGATGTTAGAAAAAATTAATAAAAAATTTTTTAAAGATGGCTCTTAATTAAATTAATTTGTAATTCGATTTCATTCTTGCCTTTTTTAAAGTGAGCTTTATCAAGTGCCCTTACTCTATTGTCCTTTAAGCGATTGGTTTCATTTTGCCATAAATCATTTTACCAAAAACTACAAAAGTTGTTAAATTACCGTAAGGGGGTCTGATAAGAACTTTTGTTTCCATCAATCTTATTTTTCTTTTAAAATTAGTTTCAAGTTTAAAATTCAGATTAGATTTATTGTTAGACTCAATTTTGATTGAAGAATTATGGGCATTCTACGCAACAAAGAAAAGTTTTATGAACCAATTCGAATTGAGGATATAGCTGATGATGTAGGCGAGGATTATGCCAAGTTTGTTTTTGCTTATTATTTATAAAACATTTTTTAGTTATATTCTTGAATCGGATTTTTCTGACGATAATGAGCAGGCTCATAAAGAGGATATCAAAGGTTTTCCTTGCAAGAAGACTCGACGTTATCGTCCACGCAAATGTGTTGAGATGGTTGATGGCCTAGCTCCAAAACGCAATATGAGTGGTCATAAATGGAGGCGAATAGAGAATGGTTTTTTTTGTTTTTTAAATTTTATTTTTTAAAATTAGCTCGATTGATTATGAACTATGCGGATTTGGATGATATTTATTTTGATGGTTCTGATTTGATTGATGAAACAATTACTGCTTTTACTCGTCTTTTGCGTGATGAATCGAAGATGAAGGTTTTTAATTAATTTTAAATTTTTGATATTTTCTCTAGCTTTGGAATGATTTTATTGAAATGGACGAAAAAGGCCAAGAAAAGATGATTGAGAAAATTGAAAAAGAATTGTCTCAAACTAAGGCCTCTGAAAAGCCTTGTTCTTCGAAGAAAGCCACTCAAGGACACAAACGTTGTAAATATTAAATAAATAGTTTACCTAAAAACACATTTTCAGAAAATTCGATTAATTTGGCTGAAGAATGTTTCAAACGTCTTGATAGAAAAATTAGAAATTGTTTACTCAATCGACGCTCCATTCGATTTGTTTGTTTTGTATTTTGTTAAATTTTTATTTATTTTTTACTTTGAAGGATTATTTGTCACAAATCGAGACTGATCTTCGTGCTTTCTTTGAACATTGTTCAACTGGTGTCTTTTGTGAACAAATTGCTTGTCGAATTAAACGTTTCTATATGCATGCTGTTTCTCAATTTCTTCGTTTAAAATCCCAAAGTAAAAATTTTATTTGATTTATTATTAATTTTCTTTTATATTTTAGCGCTCAATGATGCTGATTCTAAAAATGTTGTTCAAGTGGAAAATGATAAAAATGAATTTTCACCCCCTGAAGTGTTTCTTTTGGCTATTCTTAAACGGAAGAGACAAAAAGGAAGGAAAGGAAGTGATGATTGGGTTGAAGATGATGAAGTTCAATATTCTGATTGGACAATAGTTCGTTAGGTTTTCCTAGGGTTTTTAGGCTTGATTATGTTTGTATATTGTCCATATTCTTTTTCTCCTGCTAAATGATGGTTTTTAATATTCCCTAATTATATTTAAGTAAATTGAAATTAACTTTATCCCTTAATATTGCTGTAGTCTTTTGATATTATTTTTTATCTATTTGTAAGATAATTCTGATAATTAAAAAATAATTTTAAAAATGTTTTTCTGTTTTTTCGAAATGGATTCGATATTAATTTTGTTTCTTTTTTTAATCTCATTATTTTTGAATTTTTAAGAAAATATGGATTTAGCCGAAGCTATTAGTGGCGACGAGGAAGGAGAAGAAGTTCAAAAATCTATTGATCGTGGTGATGGGGAAGAGGAAGCTGAAAAGTCTATCGGTAGTGGTGAGGAAGAACTTCAAAAATCTGCCTGTGAGGTTGGTAAGGGTGAATTTGCAAAATCTGGTGACGAAGATGATAATGAGGAACCTATAGAGACCATTAGTGAAAATGAGGAAGATAATGAAGGCAAAGATCAAGATCCTCAGAATGAAATAAACGAAATACTCCAAAAGAATATCGAGGAAGAATCGCGACAGGAGGGGGATGATGGAGAAAATTTGGGACAATCAGTTGGTGAAGATGGTAAGGAACAGGAAAAGGAAGTTGATGGAGGATCTCAACTGCCTAACGAGGAAAATGAGAATGAAGAGATTCAAAATGAAGTGAGTGGAGAGCCTTTAGGACAGACGATTGATGGAAATGAGGATGAACTTCAACAGGAAGAAAATGGCGAAGATTCCCATCAGTCTTCGAGACAATCGATTGATGCAAATGAGGATGAACTTCAACAAGTTGAAACTGCTGAGGAATCTCAAAAATCTATTCATAGTGAGAATGAAGAGGAACAACCAAAGTTGGGAGAAGAAGACGAGGAGCATCAAAAGGAAGATGATGATAATGAAGAGGAACATCCAAAAGTAGGAGAAGAAGACGAGGAGCATCAAAAGGATGGGGATGATGAAGTACCTCAAAATGAAGGCGAAGACGAGGAAGGATCCGTTAGCGGCGATGAGCAAAAGGATGGCGACGTAACTACTTTGATGCAAAACATTTTTGGAGATGATATGAGCGATGATGATGATGAGAAGGCTAATGAAGGAGGACAGGTTTTTCTTTATTATTTTAATTATTAATTTAATTAAATTGAATTTCTGCAGGGGTCAAGTGGAGCAAAAGGATTTGGATCTGATGATGAACCTAAACTCTTGCGTGTTGAACAGGATGAAGAAGAAGACGAGTTTGTTTTTAATAATTATTTTAAATTGGTTGTTTTTCTTTAGAGACACTCACGGACGACGATGGGATTTTGATATAATGCTAGACAAAAAGAAGCTTGATCGACGACGTCGCCGCCGTAGAGATGGTTCTATTGATTTGATGGCCGATGCTGATGATCAAATTAGAGAATTAATTGATGCTATGAATGAAGCGGCTAATGTATTAATTTTTTAAGCTTAACCTTTGCTAAAAGATTTTTTATTCAGGATGATCGTACAGCTAATATTGACCGTCGACCAGCTGTTAAGAAAAGGAAAATGCTTTCTTTGGTTAAAAATGCGTTGGTTAAAGTTGATCTTTTTGAGGCAATGCTTGAAAATGGTTTTTAAATTTTATTCAATTTTTTGTTTAAATTTTTATTTAGGAATGGTTAGTGCTATAAGTGAATGGTTAGCTCCTTTGCCTGATAAGTCACTTCCTGCTTTGGAAATTAGGTTTTTATAAAGATGAGTGGATTATTTAAAATTTTATTTTTAAGATGCACCTTTTTGAAAATTCTTGAACGTTGGCCTAATTTGGAACAGGTTTTTTGAGTTTAATTTTTGTCAACGTTTCCATGTTAGAGAGATTTATTCAAGAAATCATTTTTATTTATTTTCAAGGGAATCCTCAAACAATCCGGTCTGGGTAAAGCAGTTATGTACTTATATAAACATCCAAAAGAAACAAAAGAAAATAAATTAATTGCGGCAAAACTTATAAGAGAATGGTCTCGTCCAATCTTTCAGGTTTTCATAAAATAATTTTTTAAATTTAAAAATTTTTTTATAGTTGGATAGCGATTTTCGTTCATTAAGTAAAGAAGAGCGTGTTCAACGGGATTATTCACAAATGCCACTTGCCAAACGCAAAAGACTTTCGTTTGTTTTTTTTATTTTTTTTTGAAGTTTTTGAAATTTTTAGAGTTGATGAAGATAATAGTGGACAAATATTTTCTTCAAAAAAATTGCAAAAAGAAAAGGATGATGGGCCAAAACGTCCTGGTGATCCTGGTTTTATTATGCGCGCTCGTGTTCCTAAACTTTCAACTAAAGATTATGTTGTTCGACCACAACCACAAATTGAAAGCCAATTTAGAGGAGAAACAAAAAATAAACAGGTTTGTGTTTTTATCAAGATAAAGGAATTCGGACATGTCGGGACAGATTATTAGATACATATTTCAACCTCAACCCCTGGGATGTTTTTTCGAACCAACGTAGACACACAGGAGGTTATTTTTCTCTCAGCAATCCGATATGTCCGTTTCGTACACCGAATAAATCAATATGTTAAACATTTTTTAAAGGCTTCTCGTTTTATTCGAGCTCAACGTGAATTTCGTCAAACAAATAAAACTGGACTTGTTAAACGTGCTGTTGGTGTGAGTATTTCTGGAAAGAATCTTTGAAAATTTTTAAGAAATAATTTGAGGTTTTTCTTCTCTTTTATTTTGTATACAACTGGTCTTTTCTTTTTTATTTTTTGGGGGGACAGGTTTTTTGGTGATTTTGTTAATTTGGATTTTTTAAACTTTCATTTTTGGCAAAATTGAAAAAATTTAAAGAACCTGTCTTTTATTTTTTCCCCTTTTTAATTTAATTATATAAAAAATTTATTTAATTTTGAATTAATGTAAAGAATTCTTTTTGAATGAATTTTTACATTTTTTTTTCGTCAAAACAAGTATTTTACCTATTCTATTTTGCTTACATTTATTATTTTTTAGTTAGTAAATATAAAAAAAATTTCTTTTATTTAAATGCAATTTTTTAAAATGCCTTAATTTTGCATTAAAAAGATTTTCTTTTATATATTTTTTTCTATTTGTGCTAATGACAATTTTATTTTAAATTAAGCTTCTTTTTTTAATTAGAATAGGATATTCATGTGACAGATTTCTATTTTTTCAATCAATTTTGAAGTGTTGTTAGTTTTTTGTTTTAGTAGCTTGTTTAAATGTCAGGTTTTTTATTTATAAATTTTTTTTGAAAATTTTTTAACTTACAGGTGCAATATTTTTTTCGATTTCCGGTGCTTGAATGACGACTCCTTATTAAATTTTAAATTTAATCAATTTTTAATGGAAGAAGAAATAAAAGAAATTAATGAAGAAGAAATTATTGTTGAAGAAACTCAAAATACTAGCAATTTAGAAAACCCCAAAAGCAGCGATTTGTATCCTTATCAATGTTTACTTTTTGTTTTTACTCAATTTGGTTATTTGGCCGTAGTTCCTTCAATGCTTTCTACAACATTTTTTGAACCAAATGAGGTCTTTAATTTTAAATATTTTCTCTGATCATTATCTCTGATCATTATGAGTCCGTATAAATATATCTGTAAAAACTGATTTGCGATAGATAACCCACAATTACCACCATTTTTAAGTATTATTTTTAGGAATTTTGTCAGAAAAATTTTAATTCAAGTCACTTGGATGAGTATTTTTCAAATTCTACTGATTATTTTGAAGAAAAATTATTCCACTCTCTTTTGATTGAATGGAATCAACATTGTCAAAAATCTATCTGGACTGCTTGGATATCAACAATTGTTTTACTTGGAACAATTTTTGGATCATTTGCCGCTGGTTTTATGGCTGACAGATTTGGAAGGGTTTCTCTTTTTTTAATATTTTTTTAAATAAAATTTTTTAGAAACCTGTTGTTGTTTGTTCAATGTTTGCAATTTGTTTATTTAATTTTTTACTTTTCCTGGTTGGTGGTATAAGTCAACTAGCTGCTTTCTTTATTTTCTTTTTTATTGGAACGGCTTGTGGTGGATATATGGTTACAAATATGGTTTGATATTTTTTATTATTATATTATAAAGACGTCTAACTTTTGTTTATTCTAATAGTAGCCTGTCTTTTTTATTCTGATAGACTTTCTAATAGATGCCCGTTTTTCTTTAAGTGACTTTCCCTCATTTTTCTTTCTTCAAGGATGTACTAGCATGGGTTAGCTTTTTGTTAATTAAAGTGTTCAAATCTCCTTGGTAATTATTTTAAAAAATATTTTGTTTAATTTAAAAAAAATTTTAGGTTTTACTGGTTGAATTTCTTCGTAATCCAAATGCTCGTCTTTTAGTTGTTTCATTAAATGGATGGCCGTTGGGTATGATTGGAACTGCTTTTTTGGCTTATTTTTTGTGTAATTGGAGATTTTACTGTTTGGCAATTTCTCTGTTTGCTTTGCTTTTTTCTATTATTATTGTAAGTTTTTTAAAGAAAATTTGAGATTCTTTATATTTTTTCAGCAATATTTTGCTTGTGAAAGTATTCCTTGGTTAATTCAATCTGGTAAAGACAGAAAAGCTCATTATGCACAAAAACATTTGATTCGGGTTTTATTTTAACTAGAAATTTTTTTAATTTAAAAAATTTTTTTAGATAAATTCTTTTCTTGCTCTCTCAAAAAAGGCTGAACAACAAAATGAAAATTCCTCCAATTTATTTTTACCTCGTAATGAAAACGGAGGAATTGACTCAATAAAAAATGATGAAAAAGAAGAAATTGTCGTTTATAATTATTTTGATTTATTTCGACACAAAACAATAAGAATTCGTCTTTTGGCTCTTTTATTTTGTTTTGGTTCTTCAAGTATTGTTTCTTTTGGACTTTATTTTTCCGCGGAGTTATTACCTGGATCGAGGTTTTTTAAATTTTTATTTTTTAAATTAATTTTGAATTTTAAAAAGATATTTGAATATTGCTTTAATGGGTTTTTGTAAATTATTATTTGGTTTTTTACCTTTTATTGCTTCTAATTTTGTTGGGAGAAAGCCAATACTTTTAATTTCTATTGGTAAAAGTGTTTTGATTTTTTAATTCAAAAATATTTTTTAAAGGTTTTGCAATGCTCTCTGCTTGGTTTTTAGTTTTTTCTCAAATTTTTGGTTTAAATCAACGCTTTTTAATTACTTCTTTTGGACTTTTAATGACTGGAGCAGTTGATCCAAATTGGAAAATTATTCATTTATTTTCTATTGAATTATTTCCAACACCTATAAGGAATATGGCACGGTTTGGAGATTTTTTAAAAATGTTTTTAAAAATTTTATTTTCCGTTTAAGTGCTCTCTGTAATGTTTTTGCTCGTTTAGGAAGTCTTTCAGGTCCCTGGGTTATTTTAACAAAAATTGGCGGAAATCAATTCTTTCCTTTTTTAACTTTTGCTTTACTTTTAACTTTACAATTTTTTATTTCTTTAATATTTTTACCTGAAACTAAAGATAAACCCCTTCCAGATTTTTTATTTAAATCTTCCTTAAATTCTCAAAAGCATTTAAAAAATAATTCATCTTCTTCTCCTCATTCCTTAAATTGCTAATTTTAAATTTAATTTTGAGAGCAAATTTTTCACGGGCCTTTTACATTTTTAAACTTTTAATGAGTTTGTAAATTCAAAAATCCCCCGAACCTATTAATAATTTTGCTCTCTATTAATTAAATAATTATTCTCTTTTAGGATCTCTAATATTTTTAATAAATCAGTGTAGGGGACCAAAATTTGACTAAATTATTTTATTTTTCGTTTTACCTAAAAAGGGTTAAATTTAAATTTTGGTTCTCTTCCTCCCCTTCTAATCTTTTTTTGTTTATAAAATCTACATATTTTTATTAAATTTCCTGCATAATTTACAAATCCATTCCTCACCAGAATTTTTTAGCTATTTATTTTTTCCCTTTATTTTTACCTATATTTTTATTGTTTTTTTAAAGTTTAGATAAGTAAACGATAATTAATTTTTTAAACATTCTTTTTGTTTGTTAAGGTTAATTTAGAAAATAGTTTTGAATTTTTTTCAATTTTTTAGTTTCCATGGAAATTTATTTTTTTTTATTAAACATGTGTGAATATTGAATGCTGTCTTTACATCTTTTAAACATTTTCGCAATTTTTGTCGTTTTCTTTTTAAATGAAAGAATTTCAGGTTTATTTTAAAAATATTTTTTACTTAATATTAAAATTTATTTTTCAGTTAAAAATGACTTCAAAAAATGATTCTTCATTTGCATTGGCTCCTCTACTAAATTTACCTCAAAATGGAACAACAAAACGTCTTTCAATTAATTATGAACAAGAATCTTCTCTACCTGTGTTTGTCCCAACTTCAAAAAACCCATCGAGTGGAAAGATGACTTTATTTTTGGATAAATATGAAAAAATTGCTAAAATAGGTTTAAATTATTTTGTAAAGATATTTTAATTAAAATTTTTTAAAGGTGAAGGTTCTTATGGAATTGTTTTTAAATGTCGAAATAAAGAAAATGGAGAGGTAAAAATATAAATTTAATTGGGAATATAGCACGGGTAGGACGAGTTACCTGAAAACCTGCCCGAATTTTTTCTCACCCCATTCCATCCCTGGAATATACCTGTCATTCTTTTAAGAAGACTCTCTCTAGACAGAGCTTCGCTATAAGATTGACTATTTCTTCCTTTTTTCCAGAACAGGATTCAAAAAATTAATTAAAAAATTTTTTTATTTAAGATAGTTGCGATCAAAAAATTTGTTGAGACTGATGAAGATCCAGCTATTAGGAAAATTGCTTTTCGTGAGATAAGAATGTTAAAAGTATTATTAATTTTTAAAATAATTTAGCTTTCCTTTATTTTTAGCAACTAAAACACGTAAATTTGGTTAATTTAATAGAAGTTTTTAAACGAAATAAAAAGCTACATTTGGTTTTTGAACACTGCGAAAGAACAGTTTTGGATGATTTGGAGAAATATCCTAACGGGTTTAAATTTAAATTTTGTAGAATAAATTAGGAATGTTTCGGGTTTTTATCGATCTGAAACCGGATCCGAATTTTTTTTTGAAAATCTGGCCCGTCTTTTTTACAAGCCGTAACATTTCTACAATCAATGTTTCTAAAATAGTCCTTTCTAGATGTCCTGAATTGTTAACAAAAAATATTATTTTTCAATTACTTGAAGCAACTCGTTTTTGTCATTCTAAAGGATGTGTTCACAGTTTATTATTTTTTGTTTAATATTTAATTAAAAAAATATTTTAGGAGATATAAAACCAGAAAATATTCTTTTAACTTCACAAAATGTTGTTAAACTTGGAGACTTTGGATTTGCCAGGATTTTAAGTGAGTTTTTATAAATAACTTGAATCATCAAACAAAAATGTTTTTAAAGACCCAAACGAATTACTTACTGATTATGTTGCTACTCGTTGGTATCGTGCCCCAGAACTTTTAGTAGGCGACACTAGATATGGATTTCAAGTAGATGTTTGGGCTATTGGATGTGTTTTTGCTGAAATGTTGACTGGAGAACCTGTATGGCCCGGAAGGTTTTTAAGAACTTGTTAATTTTGAAATATTTTTTTTATTAAAGATCTGATGTTGATCAACTTTATTTAATTATTCAAACACTTGGTATATTTCTTATAAATTTAAGAGAAATTTTTTAATTTTCCAAGGTCAAATAACTTCAAGGCAAATGCAAACATTTTTTGAAAATTCCTATTTTCGCGGTATCAGTATACCAGAACCTGAACATTATGTTGGGTTAGCCCAAAGACTTGCACAAACAGAAAATCCAGATTCTTCACTTGACGAGATTGCTATCGACTTTCTTCTGGTAAAAGTCTTTTCAGAATTTCTCATAGTATTTTTTCCCTAGAAATGTCTTCACGTAAATCCAGAAATGCGTTGGAGTGCTGAAGAACTTTTAAGACATCAATATTTTCGCGAATTTATTTTTAAATTGCCGGAATTTGATGGAGGGGAAGCAACAAATAATGGATATCTGCCTGTACTTGCTGAGAGAAGAAGACAAAGTTATTCACAACAAATAATTAATTCAGAACAAGAAGGCCAAAGAACGGTTGATTCAACGCATCTACCATCAATTCTGTGATAAATTTATATATTTTGATCTAAACGATAAAGTCCAAGTATTTTTCAGTTAATTTATTTTTAATAATGAATTGGCGATCTGAATCGTAACCTTTAATTAAACATGGGCCAGAAGTTTGTTTTTTAATCTGGAGCTCCGCACAATCATAGTACAAAAATAACGGATTTTAAACGTTTAAAGTTTTCCAAATTTTGGTGTAATGTGTCTTGCGCCGAATAAATGACAATTTATCCCATTATTTTTAAAAGGACACTAGAGTATCGTTCATTTGAGTCTGAGGAATTTGGGAATTTAAAATTTCGCAAATTCGTGGCGTATTGTATTGAACGCCAAATAAATGACATTTTATCCTATAAAATAAAAGACGGTTGAGTGCGGACATTGAGTGTGATTTTAATGCTAAAAATTTTTATCTTAAAAAATCGATATCAATCGATAAAATCAATAATAATCGATACTTTATTTTGTAAAATTTTACAAAATTTATATTTTTCAAAAATCAATATAACGATAAAATCAATATCGATCAATAATTGATTATTGCACCGGTCTTTTAATTAGTCGGTCTTTTAACTTTATCCAGCCTTCCGGTCTTTTATTGCACCAGTCTTTTAATTATTCGGTCTTTTAACTTTATCCAGCCTTCCGGTCTTTTAATTAGTCGGTCTTTTAATTTTATCCAGCCTTCCGGCTTTTATTGCACCGGTCTTTTAACTCGTCGGTCTTTTAACTTCCTTCTCCCGTTCCGGTCTTTTATTGCGCCGGTCTTTTAACTAGTCGGTCTTTTAACTTCCTTCGCCCGTAACGGTCTTTTATTGCGCCGGTCTTTTTACTATTCTGTATCTTTTTCATTTTTCAAATTTTATGATCAATTATCTACTGCATTGGATTTTTTTAATAACGTGGGACTTTATCCCGACAAAATCAGAACAAGTCCAAGTTAATTGATTAAATACTTATCGAACAAATTAAGACGTTTTTATTCGAATACAGTAGCTTTTCCCTCTCAAAAATTGGCACTGAACCGACCTAGACAGCTCTTATTTAATGTATTCTCTAACCACTTATTTTCTTTTTATTTTTCTCTGAACTAAGAGACAAAGTGTCATTTAATTAAAATTTGTATCTCTACTCCAACACTATTTTCAACATTTACTTCTCTAATTAATACATTCTATTTTACTAGATTTGATGAAAAAACTATAAAGGGAATACTAGAGTCCTGATATCTAAAAAATTATCACCTTAACTTGGGTGATATTTTGATTAAGACAAAAATTCTAAAAAAACTTCTGCAGAATTTCCAACGATTTTGATTGCGAGTAGAAAATAAAAGAGAACCAAATACTAGCAAACCTGCAAGATATCAAAAAAGAACTTCTTTCTCAATTTTATAGGGAGGTGCAAAAATCAGAAAAAATGAGACAAAGCCGACCTTTACTCGTTTCACTATAAGCTAATTTAAAAAACCACCCTCTTTTAAATTATCATTTATTTTAAACACAAAAAAATACGACTAGAAAAAAATTTCAAACATAAAAACAACCTACAAAAAGATCAAACATTCAAAACAAGCAAATCAATGCATCTAAATGGAACATTTGTGTACGTCTTCTCGTTTGGCAAGAACTTGGCCACCATTTAATTGGCTTTAACATTGGGAAAGGATAAACTTATTTAGGGGAGAAACCTTGCGGACAAAACTTGCGAATTTAATAAAGTAAAAAAGCTAACCATGTAGACGAGAGCATTGGAGTTTAATAGTTGCACTGGAGTGAAGTCATCGCCCATATACCGCCGAAGCGATACATTGGGACTTTTGCCCATATACCGCCGAAGCGATACATTGGGACTTTTGCCCATATACCGCCGAAGCGATACATTGGGACTTTTGCCCATATACCGCCGAAGCGATACATTGGGACTTTTGCCCATATACCGCCGAAGCGATACATTGGGACTTTTGCCCATATACCGCCGAAGCGATACATTGGGACTTTTGCCCATATACCGCCGAAGCGATACATTGGGACTTTTGCCCATATACCGCCGAAGCGATACATTGGGACTTTTGCCCATATACCGCCGAAGCGATACATTGGGACTTTTGCCCATATACCGCCGAAGCGATACATTGGGACTTTTGTTGTTGCTGCTGCTGTTGAAGTTGTTTGTTGTTGTTGCTGCTGCTGCTGAAGAACTGGAAAAAATTGGATACGTTTTTCAAGAATTGAAAAAAGCAAGTCTTGTCCGCAACTCAATACTACCCTCCCCCCTAGAAAGGTTAATTCCAAAAAAGGAAAAGCCACGCATTCTGCTGTAGAACATCTTTGCTAAAGATGGCAACGAATTCCATCGTACTAAAATTAAAACATTTGAGAATGGAAACGAATAAAATTTTAAACCTTCTGTTGGAACCATTTGACGGATTCCTACTTGGTAACGCGGTGAGAAGATCCAATACGTCCAATAGCACGACGGCGTTTAGCAACACGAGTTCCAGCACGTCCCAAGACAACGTAGAAATCCATCCCGTAGATTCCAATTGATGGATCGTATTTTATGCCCAAGTCGATATGTTCCTGGATTCCAAACCCAAAGTTGCCAGTGTCCGAAAAATTTTCTCTATAAAGTTCAAATTCCTTGACCTAAAACTTTTTTTCGGTTATAAAAGCAAAGAAATTGTTAAATAACCTTCAAACCACGATCAATAATCTCCTCAGCTTTTGAGCCACGAACCGTGCAGTGAACAGCGATCTTTTCGTTTCGACGAATGCCAAAAGCTCGAACGGTATAACGGGCCTTGGAAAGAACGGGTGTTTGTCCAGTCAATTGCTCAAGAACCTAAACGAAAAGTAAAAACTTCGTAAGGAAAACTTTAAAAAACCTTAGCTGCACGAGTAAGTCTACCTCCCGACTCGCCAACACAAATGTTTAAGCAAAGTTTTTGAATTTTCAATCCACGCATGGTCTTCTTGCGATTTTCGACAATTTGCTCAGCTTTAGTCATTGCAACAATAAATATTAGTCTGATCTGAAATGTGAAATTGAAGCACGTCGAAATTAAGAAACAGATCGCAATGAAAAACAAATTTATTTTGAGAAAGAGGACAAAAGAGGAAACTTAAAAGGAATCGGAAAAAGAACTATGTATACCAAAAATAAAATAAAAAAAGGCGAAGAAGCTGATAAAAATAATCGCCGTTTTTGTCACAGAGAATACGCTAACTAATCTCTATGTTTTCCAAACTCTTTCTGCTTTATTGATTTTTGTCAAAGGCATGCTAAAACATGAGTGGTTAGAGAAAAGCATTTACTCTACACTGTCATTGGAAAATTTTTTTTTTCTCTAACCAGTACATAATTTTGCTTGTCTGAGTAATGGCCGCCAAAAATAATCAATAACAGCAGAAAGAGTGTTGAAAATAAAGAGTCGTTAGTATAGAGAGTTTTGGTCAGTTCAGTGCAGCGCGCCAAAATATTTTTTAAATTACATAACACAAGGGATACTTTTACACTGATTTTTTCAAGGGATTTATAGACTTATTATCAAATTTTACAAATTTAAAACAAAAAATATTTAAAAATTAAATTATTTTAAGTTGTTTTATTTTTTATATTGTTCTTTTATCCAATTTTTTTGTTTGTCTTTAAATTAGTGCCAGCCAAGGTCATTTTATTGTTGGCTATTTTCTCTTTTATACTTCTTAAACTCCAAATTGCGCCCCGATCGTCTTTCGCCAATTTTTCTTCTTTTTAGCCGCCGGCTGGTAGATTACTCTTATTTTTTCCTTATTATTCAATCCCCTTTTATGCGCGTAATTGAAAGTCCCGTCGTGACTCTTGGATGGCCTTCAACGAAGAAAAAATAATAAGAAAAGCCATTTTCTTCCGTCTTGCGCAATTTTCAACCTTCGCCTTCAACTGCTTCTTCGTATCAGATCGTTCCCGGCCGCACCAACCCGTCGGCAATTTTGAGGAGGAAGTTTTTAAAGGCGGATAGGAGAAAAATCAAGTGAAAATAAAAACACTTTTAATTTAGACAGTCTTATTCAGCTGAAAAGGAGTTTTTTAGAGGCCCACGCATTTTACCTCCAACAATTTATAAGTTGCGCGAAAAATAAAGCAACTAAAAAAGAAATAATAAAAGTTTTGTTAGAGTGGCCTTTACAAGCCGGGAATTTTTTTTATTAGTAAAAAAAGCGGGGCGGTCTTGTAGTGACGGTCATCTTTAATATTTTTTTATTTGTTAAGGAAGGTAAAATTCCATTTAAGGGCCGGAATGTTGAATTTTATTTTCATTTTCCACACATTTCTAAAAATATTTTCATGAATCCTTTGCTCTATTCCCTTTTAAAAAATTACCAACAAGAGCAATTACTCTTAAATTCCTTTAGAAACGAAAATTCAACCCTATTTCCTTTATTTACAGCCCCAAATCAAAGCCCCCCGTCTCCAGAATTATCTCTACTTGCATTTCTTGGTTCACCAATATTTGGCAATCATTTGTTACCTTTATGTTCATTGCCTGATTTTAATAAAAATTTAATTGAAACTTCAATTTCTAATAATTTTGTTGATTCAATTTCAAACTCGTCTTCAATTAATGAATCAGAAACAAATTCAGAATCAACCTCCTCCTCTTCTTCTGAAGCAAGAACAAAAGAAAATGAAAGGGAATATTTTAAAGAATACAAAATTGGCACAAAAGTTGTTCGTAGACTTTCTTATCCGCGTGAATTTAAGTTGATTGTTTTACATAGTTATTGGACTAATGGCAAAAATAAATATAGAACATGCAAAGAATTTCATATAACAAAGTTTTCTTATAACAAAGTTTTCTCTTCAAAACCTAATTAAAATTTAAAGATCAATGTTAAATGGTTGGCTTCAAAAAGCTGAAAAAATTAGAAATTCTCGTCCAGGGTCTCTAAAAAGTGGACGTTCTGGAAGAAAGTTTGTGGCCCTTCAAAAATGAGAATATTTTTTAAATTTTCAGACCTCAATTTCCAAAAATTGAAAATCAATTATTTCAACTTTTTCAAGCTGAAGAGAATAAAGGAGAAAATGTTTCGAATAAATGGATACGTGAAACAGCGAGAATTTTGGCTGAAAAAGAAGAAAATAATTGCCAATTTTCAGAGAGATGGTTAAACAATTTTAAAAGAAGATTTCAAATAGGGATTACGATTAAAGATGAAAATGAACAATTTGAAGAATCTCAAATAAATTCAATTAAAGATGATTGGTCTATTGAAAATGACCAGAAAATGAATAAAATAAATAATGAATCGAATAATTTAAAAGATGAAGAATTGGACAGGTTAGTGAGAGAAGGGTCTATCCCGGAAGGTGTGGGCGGATAAAGGGAACTTAAAATCACCAATATGCTGGCCTGCTCCCTACGAGAGTAAGACACAAATCCGTCTTAATCTGCTAAGATCACTCTTTATCCGCCCCTATTTGGATTTGACCTTCTGGATTTATACTAGAGAAATATTTTTAAAAATAATAATTTTTATTTTTAGAATTGCCCATGAAATTTGTTCAATTAATGGCCAACTTCCAATTAAAGTATTTTATGAAAAATTCCATCGGATTGGGCAGAATGTTCAATTAATTTAATGAAAAAAGGAAAAAAATTAAAGCAGGCTTTAATAAAATTTATAAAATAAATTAATTTCCTCCTTTTTTTAAAATTAAATACTTCTTAACCATTCCAGAAAAATGTAAATATTTAAAAATAATTTTTAATTTTCAAAAATTTAATTTCAAAAAGCTACACACAATTTAATCAATTTTCCCCTTTTCTTTATTTTCCACCCCAAAATCTAAACAAAAAGCACAAAACTTTTCATTCTTGAATTTTCCTCGAGAACACCTTTAAATATATTTTTTAATGTAAATATTAACATTTTTTTACTTTTCCTCATTTTCTCGTCAAAATTTTCTTTTTTTAACCAATAAAATATTTTTTTGTGTTTGTTTATAACACTTTTCTCTGATTTTAAGGTGTGGCAATAATAAAACTATTTACGTGTTTTTCTTGGATTGAAAAAAAAGAATAAAACAAAAAAGAGTAAATAAAAATAGAATTGTCTTCTTTCAAAAAATATTTGCGCTTCTTTAACTTTCTCTTTTTTTGTTTAATTACTCTTGACTCTTATTAGAGAGACTAACACTTTCTATAATGTAAACAAATATAAAGACTGTGATTAAGTTTATTTTTTACAATTTATTTTAATAAAATACTGAAGTTCATCCCTGACCTAGCCTCAACGTCAAGCAACTCTGCTGTACTGCTTTATAGGGGTGTTATATAGGCTGAAGACTTACACCTTTTAAAAGGGAATGTTGAGGGATTTAGATGGATTAAGGAGGATAAGTAACCAGCTCTATGGAGATAATTACCCAGATCTGTATTCTAGAACCTATGGTCCAGTATTGTGAGTGTGTACCATAACTCTGGATGAGAAATAGGCATTTAAGATTTAAGTCTTAGTCCCCAAATACTGCTGCCGAAAAATAACAATCTTTGAGCATTTACGTGAATTCCTCTTTCTCCTCCACCTCTCGAAAAAATCATCAACTTCCTCATTTTACTCTTTTATCTAACTTATCTATTTTTTATGGCCATATGACTGCCTAAAAATAACAACAATTTTCTAGTAAACAAAAAAAAGAGAAAATAAAATTTCGCGCAGGTCTAAAAGGCATTTTTCACTGACTGGTTGATCAGATTATTTTTTGGAACTTTCCCTCATTTTCCCTTTTTTTTATGACAGAACAAGTTTTTCTCTCCTTTTTTCCTTTACTTTTTTTAATTTTTGTCCCCAAAAATAATCAATTTGGCCATTTTAGAAATCATTTTTGAATATTTAAAAACTAAAAAATTTCCAAAAAATTTAAATGTGGTGGGGAAGTGGTTATTACGGTGATGGTTATGGCTATGGATATTATGGATCCCAGGTTGGAGATTTTCCACTTAATCTAATTAAAATCCTTTGCCCTTTTTCAAATCTTGTTTGCCTGATTGTTTGATGCTTTTATTTTTTCCAGTTTCCTCCCTCAATGGTATGGACAAAGAAAATTTTTTAATTTAAAATTCAACTCTTAATATTTAATTTTATAGTAGGTTAAGATAGGGCAACATTTATAGCGGAGCTGAGGGCTATAGCCATTTCTCCCTAAGGCTTATGCGTAGGGTTAATTGGCGGCTCGTAGCGAACCATCATCTTCAGTTGACCGGACTATTGTTTGATGATTATGATTACACCACGCCGCCTCCTGTTTAGCTTTAGGAAATAAATAGCTGCTATCTGCTTTACATAGATTAGGGCAAAGAGATTTCTTCTAATAAAAATTTTTGTTAAAAAAACTTTCACCTTTTTATTCAGATTGTTCTGGTTATTGTTGTTTTAATCGTTGGGTGTTTATTTCTTTGTTGCATGCTTGGTGTTTTTTGGTATCTTTATTCGGTTAGCCCTTTCTTGTTGTTTATTTAAAATTAAATAATTGTTTTTAAGCAGAAAAGGAATGAAAGGACAGAATCTTCAAATGTTCAATATTATCCTTATTATGTTCCACCAGCTACAAGAATTGGAAAAGATGGAGAATTGGGAACACAATTTAGATAATTTTTACTATTCACAATTATTTTGTGAAGGATTTTAAATCCTAGTCTCGAATTTTCGAAAAAACCTCCTCTAAAAAACCAAAAATATTTTATTTTCCAAAAATTATCTTACAAATTTCACTTAAACTTTATTGAAATAAAAGAAATTTTTAATAAAAATGTTTTTATTTTTAAAATAAAAGCGGGTAAAGCTTTTCCTTTCCAAAGGCTAATCTTCATCTAAATATCTTTTTTCTCAAATTCGGGGCATTTAAAACATTTAAACTATTCCTCTTCTTCTATTTACTTTTAGACAAACGTTTTATTTTTTCGTCCACCAACTGGCCCTAACTTAAAATCGTTTTTATAGCCAAAAGGCATAAATGATACTACGTGGAGAGGATTAAAGAAAAGCAAAAAATATATTTAGTAGAGGAAGGCTATGACTATTTTTCCTTTGAAAAAATTTCATTTAAAATGCGCCCATTTCCGTTTCTTTATATTTTTAAATTTTACCAATTTTTCCAATTAATTGATTGCCTTGGACACAAAGATTGGACAAATTCAGCATATCCAGATATTAGGGGGCCAACATTTCAGGCAATTAAAATATCCAAATTGTAATTATTTTAAATCCAGCAATGTGCAGATAAACTACCTGAAGATAAACCTTTATTTGTTTGTGATCCAGATAAAATATTTAATTCAACACAATGTAAATCAATTTAAATTTGATTTAATAATTCAATCATTTGTTTAGTAATAAGAATAAATGATGAACTTGCCAAAGTAGCTATTGGAACACCTTGTCCATGTCAAAGGCGTTCTCAGTGTTCAAGTATGCGAATGATACAATAAACTAATCTAGATAAAATTATTTTCAAAGGCGGTTATAGCACCAGTAGTGGAAGTACATTTCATGGTTTTATTGTGTAAGATCGAGTGAGGAATCAACGTTCTAATATCCCCCCTTTCTCTAGTTCAATAGCTTTAGTTGATAATCTTCAAATGAATTTTCATTCACCATCAGAACAACAATTGACAGATCGAGCTGAGAGTTTTTGTAAAGCATTAGAAGGACGTTGGGCTCTCGGGGATTGTGGAAATTCTGTTATAGTTTTTGTTTGGAGACATTATAAAAAGTTTAAAAAATCGAAAAAAAAATGAAGTTAAAAAATATTTTAGATTAATTATTTGGCCTGCAAGATTAGCAGAACGTTATATAACAGTAAGTTGAATAGCTACTTTTTTAATTTTGAAAAAAGAAACAAAATTTAGCACGGTGAACGTAAAGCAATTCTTGCTCGTGTAAATGATTTAGTCCAAAATGGTAAATTTCTAATGTAGAATTTAGGGAATTTTTAAGTAAAATAGATCGTTGGAGCGATGCTATTGCTCAAGTTATTGGTAAGAAAATCAAAAGAGAATAAATCTGAAGGAATTTAGCTGAAATGTATGAACAATTGAGAGGTGAACCTGAATCACGAGTGGACACAGGTGAATCACGAGTGGACACATTATTAAATTTTATACTCTTTCATGTATTTTTGAGAGTTTCTTGAAAAGATAATTTCACAACATTCCTGAATGATCGCCATATATTAACTTTTTTATAATTAAAGGAACTCTCTCTCTAATAATCGCTGTTGGTGTAGCTAGTCTGATTACTTCACTAATTACAGGTCTTTTAGAGACTATTTCTTAAAAAACAAATATAATTAAGGATGTGTTTGTGCGTTTCGTTGTTGCGGGAATTTATCTCCTGACGAAAAATCTGGGAGTGTATTAGTTGATTCCTCAGCCAGTTTTAGTCTAGTTAATAATTCTGACAAAAACATTATTTATTTAAATTTTTAGCCCCCAATGAATTGCCAATTGCCTATTACATCTACAACATTACATTCCTCTCATCAACAAATTTCTAGAATGCCTTCTTCTCCTTCAGCTATTCGAAGATCTCCTACACCTCCTCCCCAACCTTCTCAACTTAGTTATATGGCCTTTTCTGATACTACAATTGTTTAAACAGAGAAAATGAGATAAAATATTAAGCCTTAAAGTTAATAAAAAACATTTATTGTAAAATTATTTTTAAATTTACGTCCATTCTTAACCATTATGATGACTTCTCCGCATGTGACTATCATGCGCAGCATGCGAAGCAAAACTTTTGCCGCAAACTGTGCACTGATAAAAGAGTGGTTATTAATAACGTACTGAATTCTTTTCTCACCTTAAATGGTTTTTCGCCACTGTGTTGACGTACTGTGATTATAAAATAGATCATGGGTATTAAAAATGAAAATACTGTGAGTTCGTAGAATCGAACTAGCAGTGAATGCCTTTTCACAATGAGGACATTTATAGGGGCGTTCTCCAGAATGAGTGCGCATATGCTTTAACAAGAAGTTAAAGCTTAATAAAGTAAAATCCATGCCTTGCTTAAACTGCTTGACTGGGAAAATGCTTTGCTGCAAATCTGGCAAACATGTGGTCGGCGACGCTCATGGACATGAAGAATGTGAATGCGCAAACGATCACGCTTCTCAAAGGATCTAAACAGAAAAATATTTATAAGCTTGTATTACTCGACCTTAAACAATGTGGACATGGAAAGCGACGCTGGCCATTATCAACGCAAGGAGTGAACTTCAAATGTTTATCTCTAAAATAATCTCTATAGTTGAGATAATCTCATGCCATATTTTAACACGCTTACCTATAATAAGCATAGCTGAATAATTTCCCACAGCGATGGCAAGCATATCCACGATTTGGTTCAACAGCGCCACTGCTGCAAGCTTCACTAGCTTTGATTTGTGCATTCTCTTCGTGTGTCGGTTCAAAACTTGCTGAAAAGCAAATTTAATTACTATCACTTCTTTTAAAACCTTTAGGCCTTTCTTTCTTTTGTTGTGATAACATTAAAATTTTATTAAGTTCCTTTATAATTTCTCCATTTTTAGAATTATCACTGGAATTGACAGAATTTGTTGATTTGTAGAGGTCCATTAACGATCCATTACTTGATGCAAGGTCTGATAACATTTAAATTTTTCATAATTCTTTTTAAATTACCTCTATTTTCTCCAGCATTATTTCTAGTTTCAACTTTTGAAGAACTTATTATTGACTCAATGCTCAATTTACTTATCAGCTTTTTCTCTTTTTCTGGGATAGTGATCGGGCGAAATCGGATGAAAGGAAGAGGAGGTAAAAATAAATTCATTTGTGGCACCAAAGACCTTTGAAGAACAAACGGACGAAAGAAAATAGATTGATAAGGATAAGGAAAGTGAAGATGTGGAAGAAATAATTGGGGTGATTGCAATCTCGGGAAAATGCTTGAAATATTAGAATTCTGTATTGGATTGTCCTTGTTTTGATTTTGCATTTCTAATTGTGATTGATGGATTTAGTTAAAAATTGAAATCCTAAAGAATCATGAAAGGTATATGAATTAATACATAGTAAATAAATGGATATAAATAGAGGTGTCTCAATAACAACAAATCCTTAAGGGTCTTGAGCTAAAGAGGTGTTGTTGTGCAAAGTCTTGCCATAATAAGAGCTCTCTAAGCAAAGTTATTAAACAGTAATATTTGAAGTAGGTGACTGACAGATCACGGCATGTTAATATTCACTTAGTATTGAGTTATTTTACCCTTGAAAGTGTCAAGTATTCGGCGACCGGTTGTATCGGTAAACGAGAGAAAATTAAAGTCATAAATTTGCATTAGTAGTTTTCTCAAAATAAACTCAAGTCGAGAAAGGAATAAATACATATTGAGGACAATAAAGAGTAGACCAATTCAAAAGTTTATTTTGCATATATTAACATACCAATAATAAGCCTAATTCTTTCAAATTGCCATTAAAAATTGGTTGGAACAAATAGCGGATGCCGTAATTTTTGGCATAACAATTCCCTTGATATAGCAGTCAAAAAATAATAACGGTAGTAGAATGCACACACAATGCCTATCTGGCCTTCCCTCCCTCCCTAGCCCCTATATAATCCACTTATCCAACCACAATATTGGGAAGAGCGCGTTTTAAAGTAAATTAATTTACATAGATAGACTCTTAACATTATGCGAAAACATTTTGGATATTTGTTTGGAAATAATATTTAAATAAATTCCTAAGAGGGTGGATTATTCAAGGAATAGAAAGCTGCAAATATTTTTATCCATGCTTAATAATAATTTTTCTTCTAAAAATCACATAGTATAATTATATAAAAATTAAACGTTTTAATAAAAATTCCGATTTCAGATTCTACAGAAATTTTTAAGTCTAAAAAATATACAAAAAAATGCTTACCTATTTATTAGATAAAGTACTAGAAGGCTAATAAGTAAATAAAAACATTTTGTATAAAAAATGAGACTGGAATCGGAAATTATAACAATAAAAAATATAGAACCAAAAAGATATATTCCTATATTATTATGAAAAATACAACATTTATGTATTTAAAAAAAAGAAATGGCAGAAGAAAAATGCGAGAAAAAAATAAAGATAAAAATATACAAAATCTGAAAGTTAAGAAGTCTAAAAAATGTTAAAATAATAAATATCAGGAGTTTGTTAAAATAACAAAAAGATATCCTGCCCCAAGAAAATCAACTTTCCTTAAAATATCGGGAGCATTTTTTGATAATAATGACCTGCTTAGGTCACTAGGAGGAAATATATGAGCAACACAACCTTGAGGGTGATGCTACAAAAATAATTGATAAAATTAAAAAGAAATTTTATTTAAAAAATTTTACCGAGCTAACAATTCCTGCAGCACTCTTGGAACTGTAATATTCAATAAAGGAAGTTGCCATTTTCTCTGTTTGTATAGAGACATCATTTCGATCACGTCCACAAGGTAAACAAATTAAGGCAACATGGTTCTCTTAAAAAATAATTTCAAAAGCAAAAATCGAATTAAATAAAAACCTTCTTTCTCCATTTTACGCATTAAATTATCCAATTGAGATTGTTCTAATCGCATCCTTTGTGTTACCCTGAGCAAAGGAATGCCTTGTTCATTTAGAGTGACCAACTCGCGATTCATTCTTTCTATAAGTTGTTCATTTCCACAAACCTAAAAAACATTTAAACATCCTGTTATTTAATAAGAAAACCTTATGCATTTGAACAAGAGTATCAGCATTTTTCATAGCTAACTGTCCTTGCCAAATAATTGGATAACCCCCTTGCGTCTATAAAACAAACGTTATTAATAAAAAATTTAAAAACGGAACATACACTCTGTTGTCTCTGAACAATTTTTTGCTGATTTGTTTGTGAGATTTGAGGTGGTTGAAAGGCGGCTTGTGGCTGTTGGACATTTTGAGTTGGAGGTAGGGCTGGAAGCTGTTGGACATTCTGAGGAACGGCTGGAAGCCGTTGGACATTCTGAGGTGGATGAACGGCTGGAAGCTGTTGGACACTTTGTATTCTCTGTTCACTAATGTTGACTAATTCGCGATTCATTCTTTCCATAAGCTGTTCATTTCCGCAAACCTAAAGAAATTTAAAAACTCATCAAACATTTAATTAAAAAACCTTATGTATTTGAGCAAGTGTGTCAGTATTTTTTATAGGTAACTGTCCTTGCCAACTAATTGGATAATCACTCTGGGTCTAGAAAAATAAGCATTCTTAATTAAAACAAGGAACATACAGTCTGTTGTCTCTGATTTTGCTGGTTTGTTTGAGAGATTTGAGGTGGATTAATTGCTTGTGGCTGTTGAACACTTTGAAGTGGATGAACGGCTGAAAATTGTTGGAAATTTTGTATTTGTTGTTCATTAAGGTTGAATAATTCGCGATTCATTCTTTCCCTAAGTTGATCATTTCCGCAAACCTAAAAATATTTACAAATAAAATTGTTTATTAACAAAACCTTTTGCATTTGAGCAAGCGTGTCAGCATTTTTAATGTCTAACTGTCCCGGCCAAATAATAGGATAATTGCTCTGAATCTAGAAAATATTAAGTATTTTTAATTAAAAATAATGAATGATCATACACTCTGTTGTTGCTTCTGATTTTGTTGATTTGTTTGTGATGTTTGTGGATGAACGACTGGAAGCTGTTGAACACTTTGAGGTTGATGAATCGCCGGGAGTTGTTGGAAATTTCGCATTTGCTGTTCATTAAGAGTGGCTAGTTCACGATTCATTCTTTCCATAAGCTGTTCGTTTCCGAAATCCTAAAACCATTTACATTTAAATGTTTATTAACAAAACCTTAGGCATTTGAACAAATGAGTTAGCATTCTTCAAAGATAACTGCCCTTGAGATAATTGTCCTTGCCAAGTAATTGGAGTCTGTTGAATCTGAACTAATTTTTGCGGCTGTGTTTGTGAAATTTGAGGTGGAAGAACGGTCGGTGGTTGTTGGGAACTTTGAGGTGTACGAACGGCGGAAAGCTGTTGGGTATTTTGCACTTTCTGTTCATTAAGGGTGAGCAGCTCGCGATTAATTCTTTCCATGAGCTGTTGATCAGCAAAGCCCTAAAAACATTCACATAAGTATTCAAATATTAGCAACAAAACCTTCTGCATTTGAACAAGCATTTTATCATCAGGTTTGTTAGCTGATTGTCCCTGCCAATAATCAGCTTGGGTCTTAAAATATTAAATATTTTTAAACAAAAAATAGTGAAAAGCATACACTCTGTTGTTCCAGAACCATCTTTTGTTGCTGTGGTTGTGATACTTGAGGCGGATGAACAGCGGGAAGTTGTTGGACAATTGGTATTCGTTGAGAAGGAATATTGCTTTGTTGTTGTTCATGATAATTTATGATAGTCGGATCTTGAAATTCAGCACTCAGTTTAGCAGAATTATTAATGTTTGCAAAAGCGCCAAGTTTTTCTTGTTCAGCAGAATTTTCGTATTGTTGCCCATGAACTGCAACTATATCAGAAGATTTTTGTTCTTGTTGAATAGAAGAAAATTGTTTGTCGTAAACAACATGCTGCGAAGTTTGATTTAAATCCAATGATTTTTTCTCGTTTTCTTGTTGTCTTTTCAATTCTTTAGCATCAATTTCAACAAAACCGGTGGCTATAACGACCACATGTGATTCACTCGTCTATAAATAAAAAATTCCGGATAATTAAAAATTTTAAGAAACCTTTTCTTTGCTTTCAATGATTAATCCAGAAGTATTGTGTGGAGTATATGAAGAAAGTTTTGAATCTGAAGCGCAAACCTTATCTGAATTCTTCAAATGTGATTCTTCTTTACTTTCATTTTGAGCTTTTGGAATGTCTTCTTTTTCATCAGATTTTTGTTGAGAAGATAGATTGGGTCTTTGAATGTTTTCGAAAGATTCGCTCTCTGAAGGTTCACTTTTTCTTTCATTAACTTTCTTTTCAGCAAAAACGTCATTTTTAGGTAATTTATCACATTCATCATTCAATTTAGTAAAATTGTTAATGTTTGCAATAGCATCTAATTCTTCCTGATCAGCAGAATTATCGTGATGCTTCTTCAGAGATTCAAATGTTTCAAATATATCAGAAGACTTTTGTTCTGGTTGTGTAGAAGAATATTGTTTGTCGCACACAACATGCTTTGAAGTCTGATTTGTTTCTTGCTTTTCAGTTTCTTGTTGTCTCTTTAACTCTTTAGCATCGATTTCAACAAAGCCAGTGGCTATAACGACCGATTGTGATTCACTCTTCTAAAAATAAAAAATCAAAAATATAAAATAAAATTTAATTCAACCTTTTCTTTGTTCTCAATTATCAAGCCAGAAGCACCATGTGGAGTGAATGGAGTAAGTTTCAAATCTGAAGCACAAACCTTATTTGAATTTTTCGCTTGTGGTTCTTTATTTTCATTTGGTGCCTTTTGAATGTCCAATTTATCAAATTTCTTTTGAGTAGATAAGCAGAAAGATTTGTCTTCCGAAGGTTTTCTCTTTCTCTCATTAACTTTCTTTTCTCCAAAAACAAAGTCATTTTTAGATAATTTGTCATATTCATCGTTCGGTTTAGCAGAAATGTTAATACTTGCAATAGCATCGAGTTCTTCCTGATCGGCACTTTCTCTAGGGAAATCACAAATTTCAGGCGTTATTTTCTGAGGTTGCTGTTCAATTGGTTGGACTTTATCAGAATCCTCTTCTTTGTCTTTGTTGCAAATTTGAGTAGTATTGCTTTGTTTTGGATTCTGATCTGGGAGTAAAGTTTTCTCACTCTGTTGTCCTTTTAATACTTTCGATTCAATTTCAACAAAGCCACCAGCTATAACGACCATGTTCGATTCACTTGGCTAAAAAATAAAAAAATTAACCTTTTTAAATTAGAATTTAAAACCTTTTCTTTGCTCTCAATTATTTGTTCATTCAAATTTGATGTCTGATTTTGCAATTTTGATGGATGACTTTCGTTTGATGTCTTTTTAATTTCTTCCTTTTTATCGAATTTCTTCTTTGCAGATATTGAGGATTCTACTTCTAATGGTTTTCTTTTTCTGTCAATAATCTTCTTTTCTACAGCAATAGATTCATCTTTATTTAATTTAGTCGATTCTTTTTTGAATATAATAGGCTTATGTTTAATATTTGGAACAACACTGGTCTTTCCAACATCTGGTTTTTTCTTGATTTCGGCTTCCTCATTGCTAATCTTTTGAACTTTTTCAGTCTTTGAGTGCTGGACAACAGGTTGTTGTTTTTGTACAATTGATTTTTCTTTTTCGAGTTCTTCTTGACTGTCAGAATCTTCACCGAATACATCAACCATGGAAATTTTGGCAATTTTCTTCTAATTATAATTGAATAAAATTTATTTAAAATAAAATATACCGGCACATGCTTTTTAAATATTGGAAAGCCTTTAGGAGGTAAACGCACTTCATCATCAGAAGTGTCAGAACCACTGGTACTTGAAACAGAAGAGGTAGAAGAAGATGAACAAGAGTCTGCACCAATCTTTTTTGTAATCAATTGCTGATGTCCTTCTTTGGCTATTTCAATTAAGGAAGACAATTTCTAAGAGATTTTAATATTAGAAGTTACTTTTTAATAAAATGATTACCTGATCCAAATCATCTTTGTGTCCATCCACAGAACGAGGTGAACTAGAACGATGTTTAATAAATTCTGCTTGCAACTAAATTACAAACATTTTTAAAATTAATTTTAGAACTAAAAAACCTTTTGAACAATTTTATCTCCAATTCTTCCAGGTTCTTCATTATCAGTTTTTTCATCAGCGCTAACACTTACACTCCATTCATCACTTGAAGAGGATTCTTTAGATTCAAAAGCACCTTCCTTTTCAATTCTTTCCATCATTGATGGCTTTTTTGGAGCAATTTGTGGCCTTCTTATTAGAGAGGGAACAACTTCAGTTTTTTGACAATTAATTTTATTAGAATCTTGTAGTTTGTTTATAACAGGTTCGATTGAATCTTGTCGTTCAACATCCACTAATTCCTCATTTTCCTCAATTTCTGAATGATCGTGATTCCCTTCCATTTCCTTTTTGATTTCTTGAATATTTTGAAGAGCCGGAGAAGATTGTTTATTATCTTCTTTTCTACTTTCATCGGAATCGGATGAAGAACTACTAAGGCAAACACGATTTAATTCCTTCTTCTTTAATTAAAAAATCAATTTGAATGAAAATTTAATTAAACCTTTTTCGTCTTTTTTTCACGCAATTGTTCCAAAGCCTGCGATTTTTTTCTTTCTTCATCAGGTCGTTGAGATGATCTTCGTTTAACACGATCATACATTGACATTCCAAAATTTGCACCTGATTTTATTGCCGCAAGCATTCTTTTCTGTTCCTCCAAGTCAATATCCCAAAGAACTCCAGAAGCAGCAGTATCGCTTTCTCCTTCACTATCAGAACTTCCAGAAGAGGATCCATGTTTTTGCATTTGATGGAGCCTTTTCTTTCTTCGCAAGTGTTTCCCATCTGTAACTGAATCAATTTCAGACGTCCCCTTCTTCTTAGAAATCGATTTTAACTGATCCTGAATTTATTCAAAATATTAAAAAGTTCAAAAATTTTTCTTACTTTACTGCCAACAGAAAATGCCTTTGTCTTCCTTATTTCGTCAGAATCTTTATATTTTTCATCTTTTGACAAGCTGATTTTTTTCGGGATTAAACTAGCGGATGAAGTTGACGGCATTTTGGCAAGAGAATGTTGTTTGACTTTTAAATCTTTAGGCTGATCCTTCTCACAAAATTTATATTTTGATTTCTTTTCACAGGTATCTGATAATGTTGGAGTCGTTAGAGTTGGCGTTGTTATTAATTTTTTCGGCTCGGTTTTCTAAATTAAAAATTTATAAATATAAAAAATTAAAAATAAATATTTTAAACCAATTTTGGAGTTATATTTAACGGTTTATTCAATTGTTGTTGTTGTTGCAGATTCTGAATTGGTAAAGGCGCTACTGAAGGCTTTTTGAGAATTATTGATGACTTTTTTAAAGGTTGAGGAGAGCTGTTGTTATCATTTTCATCTTTTTCAATTTTTGGAAGTGAGGTAGCTTCATTAGATTTTTGTTGAGTGTTGTTAAGTCTTGCTGATTGAACATCAAAATCAGGAACAGATTCAATTTGTTTCACAAAAGGAGACGAACATTCTTCTATTGAATGAGTAATGCTTGTGGAAGAGGATGCGCGTTGTCTAATAATAGGAGCTAAACAACTTTTTGGTTGTATTTGTTGTTTTTGTGTGCAAACGGCAACAGGTTCAGTTACTGATTTTGCTGGTAATGTATTTCTGAAATTAGTAGCTATTAGAGTAATCCAAACGAATTAAAAAATAAACCTTCTTTCCTGTAAGTCAATGCTTGTCGAAGTAGAATCTTCACGAGACAGATTGGTCAAATGAGGTAACCGATTTTGGTGATCATTTGTTTTCTCTTTCGTCTCTTCTAAACTATGACTTGTAGAAGCCTCATTATCTACATGTTGGTGTAAAAAGTCTCCAGTCAAGTTAGAAACGGAAGATAGACTTGAAGAAATGGAAAACACATCTAAAAATTGTTTCATCTCTTGTTCCATTTTTTGAATATTCACCTCCTTTTGACCTTCTTTTGGATTCTAAAAATTAAATTTTCAAAAATTATAAGGTGAAAATGTACAAACTTTTTCCATATTTAAAATTGTTTTTCGAGCATCGATTTTATTGTTAATTTCTTTGAACAAAGCACTGGTCTTGCTTAACGAGCGTAAAGTCAACGAAAGTTTACCAATTTCACTTTTGATGTTTTTCTCTTCTAACGAGTTTCTTCGACTTCCTTCAGACTCTAATTTTTGTAGTGGTGTTCCAACGAAGGAATCCTCGCTCGTAAATTCTTTTGATTTTGAATCTGTTGATTTTGGAAGTCGTTGCTTCACTTCAGAATTCTCTCGTTTAGGAAGTTTCAATTTAACCGCAAATTTTGGTAATTCCAGATCCATACTTTCTTTCTTTTCTTCTTTATCACGCCTTCTAGGATCTTTTAGTGTCGCATCTGTTCTATTTAACGGAATATTTACATGTCGGAGAAAAACAGTTCGAAGACGAGCAGTTAAGGAACATGGCCCTGATGACGTTGACGGCATGTTAGAGTCGCTCGCTTCTTTAAGGGTTTTTAATTGTTTAAGAACGTTAAAAATCGAACCTTTCTTCTGTATCGAAGCTTGAGGGTGTTCCGTTGTCTTTACTTCCTGAGGCTGTTTTTCTACCTGATTGTGAGGCTGTTTTTCAGTTTTTATTAAAGGTGGTTTTTCGTCTTCTTGAATTGGTTTAAGTTTTTTCACGTCTTTCTCCTCTTCATTTTGTGGATCATCGTTCGCTTCGTCATTGAATGAACATGTAGAGCAGCTAAAATTCAGGGGTTTGTTAAAATAAAATTTTATATACCTATCTGAGCTAGAATTAGATGAAGAAGAATAAGTGCTAGATGAGGAATATGTGCCTGTAGAGGTACTCGTAGAATAAGTGCTAGTAGAGGATTTTGTTGAAGAAATTTTATTATCACGTTCTACTCGATCCATCCGTTTAGGCGGAACAGGCGGAGGTGGAAGAATAGAGGACACGGAACGCGAATCTAACAAAAATAAAGATTTTACATACATTTTATATTTACAAAACCTGGCTTAGAACGTTGATGAGAACGTCCATGACTCTTCTTGGATTTTGACTTTTCCGTTGAATGATTTCTTCTGTTCGGTTTTCCTGTGCCATTTTCGCGAAAATATTGCTTCTTACTTGAACGATAGCCAGGGACTTGCGCATTTGAATTTTTCATTGAACTGAAGAAAAATATACAATTAATATTTTAATAGTAGAACATAGCCTTTTATTAAGGTAAAAGTTTTATGTATCTAAAAAATTGAGATTTATGATCAAAATTAAAAAAAAGCATGGTCAATTAAATAAGTTAATTCATGGTTAAAAATTCAATTAAAAACAATGAATATCAAATATTAACAGATACTCTATTATTCCCTAGACTTAAAATTTATCTACTTAAGTGTGACTTAGAGTGTCACTAGAGTCCGAAAAACTTCAAAATTCTTCTAGATTTTAAACCTTTTTTGAATAAATAATTAACATCAGAATTAAAAATTAAAGAAATATTAAAGCTTAAAGAATGAAATATCAAAGCTTCGATTCGATTTATTAACCCTATCAGTTTAATTAGGATAATGGTGGAACACGCAGCTATCATCGATTTTCTCAGAGGTTGAAGAATAAGAATTGTGAATCAACCCAGAAGATCAACAACTATAAAATCAACACACTACCGTCTCTCTCTCTCTCCGTTATCACTTTAGTGCATTTCAAGTCTTTTGAGAAGGAATACAAATTCCAAAAATATTTAATTTTAATTAAATAACAAATAAATATGTGCAAGTTTATGAAAATTAAGAAAAACATCTATTGTTTTAAATATTTCGTCTCAAATTCTTGTAATATAAAACTGAAACAACAGCTAATCCAGCAGTTGAAAGCACAAAAGCAATAATGAATATGATTCCCACTGTTTGCCATGTATTCGAACTTGCGCAGTCGCCAAAAAGATTTAATTCGTAATCAAGATATTCACCGACTTGTGGATATTCTGTTGTATTTAACTAAAATAAAATTAAAAGAATTGAGTATAATCCCAGAATATCAACAACTAAAGGATTAGCACTTACATTTTGTTTGCATTGTGTAATCTCTTCTGTATAGTTTTTACGCATTTTTTCAAGTTCATCTCGCCAGTTGGAGCCAAGATCGGTTATTGTCTTGTTAGCCTGATCATATAAGCTTTTACAGTTTACCGGCTCTCCAAGATCAGTTAATTCTAATGAAGAAATAATGCAAATTGTTTCGAAAGAAATGAGAAGAGTAATCAAAATTTGACGATTAGTTTTTGAGAGAAAGGAGGCCATTTTTGTAATTTAGTGAAAATGAAGTTTTTTCCTGACAGTTCCGTTCTCGTAAATAATTCTTTATATGGGAGTTTAAAGTCAACGCCCATCCTGAACACTTTTTTTTCTTATCTATTTAAACCTCTACTCCTTTTTTGTTTGCTTAGTGTTTTTTATTTCATATATTTTATTAATGACTCATTTTATTACAGTTAGGTGATACTAAAAGTTAAAAAGTAATAGCATTTTCATAACTTTCCACCTTTTTTTGTAGTTGTTGTTAGATTAGTTTTTTGCTAATTTTTAAAGTAAAATGTTGAATTATGATTAAAAAACATTCATCAGATTAAAAATATGAGTAATAAAAAGTGAAAAAGGGGAAAATACTAGAAAAAAATATCTGATTGTAATGGATAGAACGATAGAATTTGCATTTACATATGTAAAAAATAAAAAAATAAAAAATGTGTGTGGGGGACTGACTGTAACGTTGATCTGGCAAATGGATAAGAGCGAGTCAGCTGATTATTACTTTAATTAAAATAGAATTCCTATTTAAAAAATGAAAACAGTAAAGTTTAATTATTTATTCACAAAATCACCAATCTAATTTTGATTTTTTAATTTTTTAAAATTTTTAAAAATCTTTTTGTAACTAGAGAATCTTAAAATGTCTAATTTTAATTTTTTATTAATTTCATTTGCGGAAATTTTTCTGTTTTGTGCTGGTGAGGTGATTAATTGGAAGTCTGATTATTCAGAATTCCGTCCAAGTGATGGTGTTTGTACTTTGGTAATAATAATTTTTTAAAATTATCTCAGCTATTACAAGGCCGGAGGCAAGACGCTTACTCCAAAAAATGTTCCAAATAAGGAAGAAGGTGTTTGTGGTGATAAACTTTATAGTTTATTGAAGCATTGTGCACAACAGAGCTTCTATATAGGTTTAAATCGACCCAGATCTGAATTCGCCGGTATTCTGTGTAACAATGTTCTAAATTTTTCTAAATTCTAGAATCCGCTCTCTATCTTATAAACGGTTGTCTTGAATGTCCTTATGGAAAGGCCGAAGCAACTGTAAGTTTACGTAATCACCTTCCATCGGGATCATTGTTTAGTGGTTGTGGACAGGAGGACAAGATTGTAAGGTAAAAATGCCATTTGTGGATGTTTATTGAAGATAATTTGCATAAAATTTTAGCAGCGTAGTAGTTAAATTAAATTCTGAAAAGAATCCACATGGAAGTTTCTCTCTTGGAGGTATATTGGAAGGGCGAAAATGTAATGGTCTTTTTGACAGCAGTCGCGAAACCAAGCTTGAAAAGATTGTTCTAGAAGTGAAACATAAGTAGGGGACTTCACATTTTCTCAATTTTAAAAATTCTTTTAGCTGTGGGCAAAAGAAGCCAATGACACTTTTTGTTTTATTGCCACCTGTTGATCTTCCGAAACTTTTTAGTGAGAGAAACAATTTCCGTGAATGGGATGGGATTCGTGTAGATTTGGGAATTTTTGGAGTTGGTTGGAATGAACGCTGGCTTGATTTTGGGGATGTTTTTCATTCAACAACAAAAGGTAGAAAAATAATTTTCCAAAATTATTTTCAATTGTCTAGCAAAACAATTACCGGAATTACAAATTCATAGCAACAATTCAAATATAATCCAACATGACGAAAAACCTCCGATTTCTGTATTACCAACACCTGTCGAATTCATTGAAGAGTCCGAGAAGAGCAATGAACAAAAGAATAAAAATAATCATTTTGAGTTCAATCTGCCGTTTATTTTTGCCTGCGTTTTGGTTCCATTGTTGCTTGGATTTTCTCTTAGTTTGTTCAATTACTTGTTCAAATCCGTATTCTTCAAAAACTCTAACAAAACTGAAAATGACTATGAATTGGGTGGAGGGGCTTCCATTACATCATCGTCACTTTCAAAAGGAACAACACATTCGAGCATTAGTTCATTGCCTTAAAAAAGAAAATTATTAAATTCTTTAATTTTGTCTTCTTTATAAATTTAACATGCTATTGTTTAAAATTTATTTTTAAATGAAGTGTAAGAACGTTCGTTCATTCTCTTCATCTTATTGCCGGTTGGCCAGGTAACCATTCCTCGCACACTCCAAATAATGAATGAATTTCATCTGCCCTCCCCTTACACCCTTTATTATTCAAAATTCATTGTTGAAGTCACCCAACGAGATAGGCCAAAATGTTAATTAAAATGATATTCGTAATTATTTTGTTCCTTGAATGCATAAAGACAGCCAATTTAAAACTTAGTTCCATCCTACCAGTTGACCATGAAGATGAACATAATGAGAATAATGAACCAGACGAAGCTGGAAGTAATGATGTTAAATGCCAAAATTGGAAGGGGAAGAACACAACTGGTCAGTCTTAATTCTCCTATAATTCCGAATCCTTTAAAGATGATGATGATCTTATGGATGAGCAATTTACTGAGCTAGAAAATTGCATATGGAACTCATTGCTGGCAAAAGAGCACGCACATTCACCAAGACAAATTCATCCTTTATTGAGTCCTCCTCCAGAATATCCACTTAAATTCAGTGTAGAAAATTTGGTGGTCGAACAAGTTGATACGGTTTGCTTAAAATACAAATACTATGTATTTCACACATTTACAGTTATCCCGCGCAAGTATGGAGTTTAACGTTTTTGGCCATATACTTTTGGTTAGTTAAAATTTAATTTCTAATCCAATTATTTTTCCTAGTCTTGGAATGATTCCCGATTGCAGTGGGAAAAATCTGGTAAAAAAGATAAAATTTTAAGAAATTTTTTTGTCAAGAATGGGCTCTTGAAGGGATATCTTTAGAAGAAGATCGGAGACGTGAACTTTGGACGCCTGATTTTATGGATGATTCGTTAGTTAATTATTGGATCAAAAGCTTTATTCTTTAAGGAACTGTGGTTCTAACGAAGGATGTATGGCTAAGATAGGTGATTTAAGTGTCACATCTTCGGGACAAGTACTAGGACGGCTATTATTTCGCTTTCCATCTTTTTGCCGCATAGACTATCGCAGGCAATTTTTATTTAAAATCTATCCTAAATTTAATAAAAATTTTACTTGAAGTTACCCCGAGGAAAGAAATGATTGTTGCCTTTTTCTTGGTCTGGCAGATATTGGTCGCACAGTAGAGGTAAAAAACAGATAGAATTATGTATAGAAAATTCCTAAAACAGTTTACCGTCGGAGCCAAAAGTAAATTTGCTACTTTGGCAAAACGAGTACATGTAAGACGTGATCGGCCCATGTCTGCTGTTGTTATTTCTAATCTTATGGAGACATCGCCGTGGGCTGTACAGGTGATTTTTTAATTAAAATCAAATTCCTTTTGGATTTAGAGCCAAGCAATTGAACCAGCCCGTGTAGATGGCTCTCGAAGTGACAGTCTTCGTCTTTGTGTTCAATCAAAAAAGGAGATGAGCACACTTCGAATTGCTCTTAGGATTCCAGTTACAATCGCTACACTGTGAATTATACATAACACCAAAGTTATTATTCATAATTTAAGATTGACACTTGTTTCACCTTTGTTTGGTGATTTGCGTACACAAGCACTTGTCAAATGCTTGACTTTATTGCTCCAAACAATATGCTTTCTTTTCCTTTGTTCCATCGCACCAGCTAGTGGATTTGGCGGCTCAAAACCAAAACTCTGTAGGAAACATTCCCTTGATCAATAGTTAAAACATTATCAATTTAGATACCTTCTATGAATTCATGTTTACTTTGACTTTTCTCTCGATCCTGGTACTTATTAAAGTTCTTTTCAATATCAGACACTTTAAGGTAACAACTGTTTGTTTGGCACTTAGTCGTATGAAAAGGACTGTGCCAGCTACCCATAGTGTCTATCTAGGCGCAAAGGTAAGCAAATTAAAGGTCCCTTTATCCTTTTGTATAAAAATTGAAGATGCTCAACCACTTCTTGTGTTGCATCGAGCCAGATCCTGCTACATCATATCAGCGACATTTAGGTTTGACCTCTGAAATAAAATAAACTTGAGATTTATTTAAGAGGATGATACAACAAGCACTCGAGACATGCCAAATCATGGACAAGCATTACAAAACGAGTAAAATTGAATTAAATAATAATTCTATAATTATTCCTATAGTTACTCAATGGAATGGCGACACATTTACATTGCCATCAACAATCTCTTCTCGGGTTTGTGTTTCTCACTTTTCTGTTTTATCGTCATTTTTGATATAATGTGAGAGGGAAATTGGAACACCAATGATCTCAAGAAATGCCAAACTCAATATCATATCACCATTAAAAAGGATTTGTAGATACCTTCTATATTATTTTGAAGATTTTTAAGACCAAATTTAAGTCAATGTTTAATTTTACCAAATATAATGATATAATAATAATTGTTTAGGCACTACTGAAGATTAGAGCGTCATTTTGCTAAAAAATCGTCCAAAAATAATGCTCCAATCATGAGTAGTGCCATTATTTAGAAACAGTTTAAGTGAGAAATTAAAAATATTATGAAAATAATAAACAATAAAACAACCCTCAAGGTTTCCATGCATGCAATAAAGATTGGAAAATTTTTTTATTTTTAAAAAAATATAAATTTGAAGGCACACAAGTAATTTTTTCCAATCTTTGATAGGTCAATAAGAAAAATAAACAAAAGATATTAGGATAATATGGCTTTTAATTAAATGCCCTGAGAATAAATTTAAGGCAGTTAAATTATTAATATAATTAAATATAAAAAACCGTCAAGGCAAGTATATAAAACTTAATCAATTTCAAAAAAAAAATTAGTAAATCTACCAGATTTAATGAGTCTACCAATGTTACCAATTTTTTAAGCATTAATGCGCAAATCCTTCAATTTTGTATTCGTATAACAAAGTGAATCAGATATTTGTTGATAGTCAAATTGCCCATCGTCCTTGCGCATTTTTGCAATCTCGTCATACTCACGACTTGAATAATTAAAATTTTGTAATAAGAAAATTATATTTTTTTCTAACTTGACTTGAAAAATTGCACGTCCTCGTTTAGCATACATCAAAGCAATATATACAGGAGCTGGTAGAGATATTGGTGAATTTATAATTTTGTGTCTAAAATTATTAAAGGTTATTTTTGGTAAATGATATTACACAAACCCAAATGAAAGTGCATAACAAATTTGTTCAATTTGGTCCATTTTAAATTTGCTATCATCCTCTAGAATAGTAAAACGCGGTGTTCGAGTGGTTCCCTAAAGAATAAATTACGCTATAACTTGTAAGAAAGAGCTTGCCTGGATTGCCGAATGACAATTTAAATAAAATTCTGAATGTTCAGGATGTGTCACTTGCTCGTCAACAACCTTAAAAATAAGGAAAAAGCATTGAAATATGTATTTAAAAATAATTTACCGTTCCTGGTTTAATATTCAAATTTTTGGAAGAACCAGTAGGCTTTGAAAGCTTAAAATTTTCAATTTAATAATAAAGTGAAAATTTAACCTCTTCATGAGCAAAAAGACGAATATTATGCGTCTAAAAATAAATATATTTAAACAAAATTATCAAAAAATACCAACCTTTTGTGAAACCAAAACAGTTAACTTGCAACTACTGGCTGAACATTCTTGCAATGCCAAACGAACCATTGGTATCTCATATTGTTTAGCTGTAGCAAATTGCCCCTCAGACATTCCATTCCTAAACAGTATTAATCGTTTGGGTGCATCTCCTCTTGAATTTTGATATCGAGTCACACAAGTTTTGGTAATATGTGCTAATGTAGTATATTTTTCATCACGACGAGCCTCATCAAATAAGTAATCGCCAACAAAGTCAAAGGAATGTTTTTTCATATTTGCTGCATACTAAAATAAGAAAAAAATAAAGAGATAATTCAGAAACAAACTCCAATAACAGAAGGAACGTTAGGTGCAGCTCCTCTAGCGCGTTCATAATTTCCCAAAGCTCCGGGATGTGAAATTCCTAAACCAATAAACAACGTCCCATCTTCAATTAAATTGTGAATTCTAAAAAATTTTACAAGAAAATATGAAATATAATGAAAAATAAACCCTTGACCAGCCAATTTGATCGTATAATTAATTCCTCCCATTTTTTCATTAGTCTTACAAACGATATTTAAAACAGTTTCTTGTTTGCCTCTCATTGCAATTTCAGCTGCATTAGAGAGCTTTAAATCTTGCGTGACAATTTCATATTTCCTTTCACATCCTTTGATTAAATCTAAAAAATAAAACATAAAAGCAAATAAAAAAATATTAAAAAAAACTATGCAAATTTGTAACAGCATCACTAGTGACAAAGAAAACAAAGTCGCAATTATTGTCTTTGCATATTCCTATACACTTATCAACGTCATCTGGGTTGGGCTGCAACATTTGTTTATCTGCTGGACCGTTAATTATCATACCATGTTGTTTACAGCAGTTAATATAAGCGCGAATAAAATCACTGAAAATTAAAAAAAAATATAAAAAGATTAAGCAAGCATTTACTTCATTTCATTTTCACCAAAGCGATATTTCTCTCTTGTTCTTGCAGCAGGGATTAAATAAATAGCCCATTTTTCGATAGTTGCCGGCAAATAAAATGCATCTCTAACCTGCCATTTACCAGAATCCTTATCAACCATTGACTCTCTTTCTCGTCCAAAAAGAATTGTTGGAGGAGGAAGTCGACGACCTTTAGCAATTAACGGCTTCATAATGTGAAAAATTAAATTATTAGTAAAAATAAAAATTATTTTAACATATCTGAATTCCTGCTTCCTTAAGATATTCACTTTCTTTGAGATTTAATGCATGAACGCTGCTCTCTATTTGCCGTTTTAAATTCGTTGGAGGAACAGCTGAAGCCTTAAAAGAACAATTCAATAAGTACATGAACAACTATAACAAACTTTAATCATTGCAGCAACTTCCCTAGCATTTAATTGACTCAATTGAGCTCGCTGATTATCACGAATTGAACAGAGTTCCATTGGGTAATAATTAGTCTGTCCTTTTTCAAAAGCAGTTGCTAAAAACAAAAATACATAAAATCATTATGTAGGAAAGAAATTATACCTAATGGAGCATCGGGATACCTTTTAAATAAAAAATATAGTTAAAATATTAAAATACAAAAATTACGAAAGTTTTTGGGTATATTTTCGTTTGAAATACTCCTGCACCGATACACGTTCGCCTTGTACGTCAATAACGTGAGTGGCAGCCGTCGCTTGACTCACACCACTTAACAACACTTCTCGAGACCGACCATTCGGATAGTGAACAATAACATGCAAACCTTAAATAAATGGAAATAAATAAAAACTGCTGGGAAACCTTTCAATTGCTGGTTTAAATAAGCAATTGCACCGCGATCTACAGAACCGTCATCTCTAATTGCATTTGGACCAACAATTGATGCAGTCTTATCCAGAAGAGTGCCATCAGTATTATGAAAAGGTGTCTAAAAGGGAAGGTGAAAGGCAAAAACATTTAAAAAACCTTCTTGCTCTCTACAACCAATCCGACTTTTTTTGAATTTCGACCTGTAGGTCCTTCAACATATCGTACGCTCTTATGAATACCAATTGCCAAGTATTTGTTATGCGCACTAAGCTCAGGTCCATCCTCGGGAACAAAGTCATACATATCAGGAGTAATCAAATAAGACGTTCCTCCGCCGAGAATGACGTGCTCATTTCTGAAAAATAATTGAACGTTATGTCTCATTTTAAAAAAATATAAAACAAACGGAGTCTGAAGAGGATGTTGTGAAGTTGCAAGCTCAATAAATTGGGCCAAGGAATGCTAAAATCATAAAACCATTTAATTATTTAATTTCCTCATACATTTTGTTTGCTCATATCATTAGTTAAAAATGAAAGGTCCGCTAATTCGACTTGCTTATTCACTTTTCTAACAAGCATCTGAAAGAAAATTATCATAGTTATTAAATAATCTAGTGAAGCAAAAACCTCCACTCTATTAAAATCCTGTAACAATTTATGACTTTCACATTCCTCTTTATTAAGTTGAAATTTTTGCTCGTCTTTTCCTTCAAATGATAACTGGAAGAGTGTATAGAGAATTGATTGAAGATCATAATACAAAGTGTAACGATTTTCGCCAAAAACGGCCTTCTCCTTCTCAAAGAAAAAGTCAAAAGCGACGCGACAAAAATCGCGACGATCCACAACAACACAACTAAAAGAAATAAAATTTTATCGGATAAATTTTTAAAAAGCTTACTCGTCCTTTGTTCTTTTAGTAAATTCAATACGCGCTGGTCCTTTCTTCTTCGGTACAGCAGAAATTGTAATGTCGTAACGATAAACTGTTCTAAAGAATTAAATTATTTAATAAAGTATAAGTTAAAAATAAATATACTTTTCTTCCATCTTAACTCCATAAACATTTGTTAAAACTCGAATTTTCTCTCCGACTTCCCCTGGATCAGCTTTCGATTCCAAGTGTGGATCCCCAACCTCAAGTCCAAGCGACTCCATCTCCTTTTTTATCTCTTCAAGCTTCTGAGTCTTCCTTCGCTTCTCTGCCGAAGTAGTTGTACCAGGTGAACTAAAAACAAATTTACTTTAAGCTAAAAAACGAACTAACGTTCTTCTAGGTCCCCTGTTTCCACCTCGACCTCTGCCTCGTCCACCACCACGACCTCTGCCTCTTCCACCACGTCCACCTCGGCCACCAGCAGAGCGCTGTTTATCGGCATCTAAAGCTGCCATTCGACCCTGTCCACGTTGGCCCAATGGCTGATTGTTAGAACCACTTCGATCCATTTAATTGATATTTAAAATTTGTGTTACTTTTCTAGAAAATAAATAAGAAAAAAATTATTAGTATGCTTAAGTCATGGAAGAAAATGATGAGTGGAATACTATCTAGGTTTATGTTCATCAACTTAAGTTTGATGAAATGTCAATGAACTAACCTCAAGCTAATATTGATTCATTGATTAAAGCTTCAATAAATGGGAGAATAGTTTAAGTATTTGACAGCAAACAAATAAAAAGAAAAAGCAAAAAAGGGTAAGAATTTAAAAATTTACGAGTGTATAAATTTTGAAACAACAAAAATAAATAAACAACTCTACTAATTTTGCTCTATCCTCACACCAAGTGCCCTTTCCAAGGATTGAATGTCTATCTGCTTTCCGACTTCTTTATAATTCTTTATCAATTCCTGCATTGTTTTTGATCTTTCCACATCTCCATGTTGAGCCTCTAATCGAGCAAATCCTTTGATCAATTGTAGATCTTAAATAAAAATTATTACAAAAAATTCAACAATTTTTACATACGTTTTCGTTTTCCTGTACACTGAATTGCTCTTCTAAGTAGTTGAAGAATTTGATTTGAATCATTTTGCTGCAACAAATGTTTGGCAAAAGCAAACCAAGGTTCTATTTCATTACTCTTTTTAATAAAAGATTCAAAGTAGCCACGAATCTCCTAAATAAAAAAATATAAAAAATTACAAGTCAAAAAACAAAACCATTTCACGACCCTCTGCATTTGGCTGTTTCTTCAGAAGATCAATCAAGTATTTATGTGTCTTTAATGGTTCAGTTGCTGCGCAAGCACGTTTAAAGCATTCTTTCAATGACTCTTCATTGCCTAAAAGCACTTCCAAATAAAGATATGAACGCCAAATTTTACTCAAATCGTTATCACTCCTGTTTAAATTTTAGAGTGAAAAATAATATTGCTTTAATGTAAAAACTCGAATGCGATCGTTTGTAAAGCGCGCTCAACAACTTCCTTTCCCAAAATATAATTCTTCTTTGAAGTACTTTTGCGTGCCATAAACTGAATGTAGCTAATCCAATGTGAAATTGAATTAGGATTTGTAAGAAGAATTTGTTCAAACTCTTGTGCTGATCCAGATTCTTCACCAATCTCGTTTTCCTTAAAATGTTTTATAGTAATTAGTTGTAATATAAAGTAAAAAACCTCTTCTTCCTCAGGTTCGTCATCATCATCATCACATTCCTCGTTGATAGTATTATCATCACTTTCATCAGTTGAATTATTATCATATTCAGACATAATCACATCATTCGATAGATTTTTAGTCTTTAATTTGATGTTTAACAAAAATTTGGAATGCGATTTAATGAAAATCAGATTACCGATTCTTCATGAAGATCACAATTAGATGCATCAACCAACTCCAATAACACAATCCTACCCCTGTTTGTTTTGTTGACACCAATCACTTTGCCAAAACGAAGTTCTCCACTGTCGAACAAATCATCGACATTAATTGCAGAATTTTGATGATCCAGTTTTGAATTGATTTTAATATTCTCTCTTGAAATAATAGCAGAAAAATCAGGATTTATCTAATAATATAAAAAATTCTAAAACAATCCAAACAAATGAGCAACCTCAGCAAAAACATTATTTGTAGTATTTGAAGATTTTGAAACAATAAAAACTGCAACCACATTTCCAGGTTTGAACACGCTACGATAATTCAAAATTGAAAGTTTTCTTCGTGACTCTTGCAACTTATCACATCTTGCTGTGCATTCAACAATTCTTAATTCATAGTTTATTAAAGAATTTTTAAAAAATAATTTTACCTATCTGACTTTCTCCGTTCCTCAAGTAATCTTTTTCCTTTAACAGGAAACGCTTTTCTTTTGCTAACAGAGAGAACCTTAATATTTATCATCTTTCCAGTGTTTCGTTCCAAAAATTGTTGCATAGGACATGAACCCTCTCCACATTCATCTAAATTGTTTAATTCGCTTACATGGAGTCGACCTATAAAAAATAAACACGTTACTCACGTCTATAAAAATTGTTCAGAAAACGACTCACTAGACTAGATATCAAAATATTGGTTTAAAATATATAATTTACCAACACTTCCACCAGGAATAAGTAATTCAGCCGTTGTAGCAGAAGATGTACCTCCATATGGCCACGGCCCAATCACTTCAGCATTATATATTCTAAATGGTTTTGCAAGTTTAGTGTTCGTTGTAATCTTTTGAGAGTTTGTAGTTAATGTCTTCTTTTGCTTGTTTACTCCAATTCCAATTGCATGAATAGGTTGTTCGAGAATCATTTGTGAACGTTTTGGATCTACACTTTGTACACGAACTTTGATGCAACAACCAATCTTAGTCGCAGCCTCAGGAAGCCCTATCAATTCATTTGGGCGCATTATTCCTACAAAGAGAATAGGTTAAAATTTAAAAGTATACTTATTACTCATACCAGTTATTCTGTTGAAAAAAGCAATTAATAATGAACCGCCTTCCAGATGCTTAATAATAACTCCTGTTGAAACTGCCCCTTCCAAATTCTTGTCAAAAGTTGTAATAAACTTTTCATTTCCAGGCTTTTTTACCAATGATGGCTTTGAGGTAAGCATAATTCTGTTAGAGGCTGAATCAATAAATAAAACACGACAACGCAACTTTTGGCCTCAAATTTTGTTATTAAATATATTATAAAATTCTAGTAACCTTTTTTAAATCTGCTTTGCCATTTATCCACAGGCTTGTCAAGAATGTGCATTGCACATACAAATCCAGTAAATCCATCTCCAAATTCGATAATAATTCCAGTATCTCTAATAGATTTTATAGTTCCGTTAAGAACGGCACAAGGAACCACATTTTCTATAGAAAACACAGTTTGCTTCATATCTGACTTTTTCATTGAAACATTCAAAAGTCGTTCCATTGGAGAATATCCAATAATACGAAATTTATGTTCAGATCCAATTTTAAACTTGTCAGCTAAAACAATAATGTTAATTGAAATAAATTATAATAATACCTTCAAAATTTTCAATATTAATTCTCAAACATTTGGCAGTAATTAAATTTTGACTACCGTCGTCATCCTCTACTAGATTAAAATACAAGTTTTGCATCTTGTCTATATAATATACGATTCCAGTATTTGATGAACCAACTTTAATATTCTAAAAAAAGATTTATAAAGACTTAAAAATGAGAAACCTCAGGGAGAAGTCTTTTTTCCAATTTAGATAAGGCAATAATATCAGGATGAGCATTGAGAACAAGAACGGAGGAATTTGGCTGAACACATACAACACAAGCACGGAATGGCTTCAATACTTGAGGAGAATCCAATCGAAGCCGAGGAGGTAAATGAACCTTTCGGATATATACTTTTTGACCTTAAAATCACAAAAATAATTTTAAATTTTTTAGAAATACCATTTTTAATGCTAGCAAAGAGTCCATTTAAAACATTTTTCTCTGGTGTAACTTGTATAATTGTACCAGGCATGAGTTGTTTTTGATCAAAATCATCACTTCCATCCAAAACATCAAGTCCAACAAAACCAGTCAATTTAATCACACGAGTTTCTTTATTTGGTCTTTCCCTAACAGAGAATAATGCAACTTGACCAATGAATAATTTATCTAATTGAAGGTATGGAGGTAAATGTTCAGCCTGAACAAATCCTTTAACAGAACTTGATAAGAAACCAAGATCAATTATAGCACCTTAATAGTAGTCAAAAACAAAATAAATTTTTCTAACCTTTTTCTTCAATGCTTGAAACAATGCCATTTAGAACTGTATTTTGAAGAAGTGAGGAGGGAATTAAGTAGTTATTTATCTCATATGGACATATTGAAACAATACAATTTGAATTAGGCTTATTTCCTAAAATAAAGAATTTCGGCTAAAAAATCTTCGAAATAACCTGATTTTTCATTGACAACAGTGAAAGCTAAAGCTTGACCTTTATGAAAAATATTACTCAAATTCGCTTTTGTAGTAGACATTTGATTATTAAATATTCTGCTAATTTTATCAGCTGGCAACACTAATCTAATTCCATCAACACATTCCAAAATAACTTCAATATCTCCTATCTAACAATAAGTTTAAAAAATTAAAAAATAAAGTAAAAATAACAAACAAATTTGACAAAAGCCAATCCTCTCATGTTTTGGGCGAGTAATTCAACAGACATATTTTGACGAAATGCGGTAGCATATTCCTCGTTGTCATTATCAATGTGATTCTTAAAATGAAATTTGTCAATTTTAACTAAAAATTTATTAACCTTTGAAGGATCTTGAATATTTGAAGAATTTCGTTTCAGACCTCGTTTTTCCTTATTAGCCTTTTTCAAATCAGTTTGCAAAGACGATTGTAGCTTTGTTGAGCCGCCACGGGGAAAATCAATTTCAGTGGACATGTAGGTAATATATGTATTTAACTAATGCAAGAAAGTCACAGCTCTGAAAAAGGGAAGAAAATAAATCAAAAATCGATAAAAAATTTTAAGAATTTTTGGCCACAACAAATAAGTCGAAAATGCGCACTTACAAATTAGTCAATGGGACTCAATCGTCTTAAGTCCGAGACTCAATCGGCCGTCATGAAAAAAATGGCCATTTCATCACAAAAAAGATATACAGTATGCACATTGTGAAAAGAGTGATTGATGGATGAATTTGCTAAGTTTGAGAGGAAAGTGATTGACTAGGAAGGGGATATCTAATCTCGTGACCTTTAAGGATATTTGCCAAGTGTCACCCCCGTTTAAAGCTATTATTTTTATTAGAAAAAAATGCTTAAGTTAAATTCATTTTTCCTCCTTATTTTATTTCTAAAACAAGTTAATTTTATTCATTCTGCTAACAATAAGGAAGAAATATCTGAAAATGATATACCGCAACAACAACAACCTTCTATTCTTTCTCAAAACGTGCCAAAATTTGCTAATGCACAAGATTCATCCATGGAAATGCAATACGAAACAAAAAACAATCTTGCTGAAGGGTGGGATTTTATTTATTTTATTCCCTCGATTTTCTATTATTTGAAAGCTTAATCCATATTTTATCTAGGAATGATCGAAATAGTATAGATGAAGGTGATGTGGCGAGTGCTGGACAACAATCGAATGATTTGAACGAAATGATCAATCAAATTAAAGAAGTGGAAATTAATGAACAGTTGGAGCTGAATAACGATTTATCTTCCCTTAGTGAAGGAAATCCCGAAAGCGGTAAAAGCGAAGAAAATATTCTTAGCACCAACCTAGTGGCGACTACATTAACTACCCCAATAAAAGGCAACAATAATGTTGTGGATAATTTACCAGAGTTAGAAGTTACAGAATTAATACTGAAAACAACTGCAAAACCACCATTGGATTCTCGAGTGTTTGACGAAATTGAGAAAAAAGTAAATCGAACAATTGAAAATATTTCCTTACTAAAGGGAGATGAGATAATTTCCAAACAAAGTGATAAAAATATTTCAAAGGAAAAAATAATTCATGATAAACCTGACAATGAACAAGAAAAAGAAGTGGAACTGAACGAAAGAGAAAATAGAAACAATGAAGATTACTTTAATAGTAAAAATACACTCCATTCAGTCGAAGATACAGTTAAGATAACAACTTTAAATTTTATCTAAACGTTATCATTTTTCAGAAAACAGATTTGGAAGTAAGGAATCATGAACAAATCAATCCCCACGACTCTCCAAAAGATGTAGTTGCTCCACACGTAGATCAACATCCTTTAAAATTAACCGAAAAGAATGGTGTGGATGAGATTAACAATCAGGCGGAAGAAAGCGAAGAACAAAAAGAAAACATTGTGGAGGAATTATCCCTTTGGGAGAAGATTTTGCTCGGTCTCCGCTGTGCAAGGCAGGATTGTCAAGGTTTGTTTTAGCAATAATATATAGAATCCAATTTTTACAATAGATACATTTATCATCGAAGAACAAGATGAACAATCAAATAAACAGAGATTAATCAAAGGATGGAAAATAACGAGAGCGCGGCGAGATTTTGTTTGTCCATGCAAAAATATTCCCTTGTGATTTTTCATGTTGATTATATTCTTATGATTAGCATCACCATTTTGAAGCTATAAAATTATTTACAAACCTATATAATTATTTACAAACCTATATTCTCTTAATTAGGATAAAAACAATTTTCCAAAAAACAATTTTTTGCAAGTTACAAAGCAAAAAAGTTTCATTTTTTCCTCAAAATCTTCCAAGTACAAAATATTTGCATTAGGATATATGAATCTTTATTGTACAAATATCTGCGCACGCTTTCACTTAAAGTGGAGGTCAGAGAAAATGTTGAATTTAGTTGGAATGGAAGAAGATTCGCGGCTCTTAGCCTAAATTCTAAAATGAGGGCGTCGTTAATCCTTTATAGATTTCCCTTTTACACAACGATTTTTATACTTTAAACCTGTTTTAAAAATAGAAAAAGCAAGTTATTATTGAAGATAATTTGATTTCTTTGTTTTTATAAAAAGGTTATATCTTCACTTTTTTAAATTTAATCATATTAGATTCTAATAATTGCATCGATTCAATTTATTTTAAAGCTTGATCAATTGGGTGTATTGTGAAATGGAATCAATGACGAAAATAAAAACAAAGAAAAAACAACAATCCAATGACTCTTGCCTTGCCCTTCTTTGTTTTACAATTGAATCATTGAGGATGATCTTTATATCCCTTAGATATTCTCAAAGTCAAAGGAATGCTCAGTTAACAATATTCCATCACATTTCTATCATTCTCACACTTATTATTTCCCCAAGTTCTTGTCAATTCAATGCAAGGAATTATCCTGATCCGAGGTTAAGAACAATATAATATAATTTTACTGTATATTTTTCACAGAATGGATCCTTTTTCATGTCGATTAATTCTACCTGGCCAAGTTTGTGATCCGGCTGAGATTTTAACGCCAGATGAAAGAAGGATACTAAACGAGAAAATTACCAGAGTCAGTGTTTCTAAAAAAATTTTAGACAGTTTGTAAATTTAGCTCCAGCAAATAACCGCCAATATCAAAAACACTTCTCCTGCGTGTACAGATACAACAAGGAATACTAACCTTCATATTGTTATTGCTTTAATGGAGAAACTTGGTGCGCCAGAGTTAGTGATTAACCAAGAATTAATCTCTGAATTAATTTTAGTAACATAATTAGCCGTGATTCTCTCAATATCGAGAAGTTCACAAATCAATTACGGTCCAAATATCAGAATTATCAAGTAATTTTTAAAATAAGCAAATGATGTAGATGCAATTTTATATAATAAATTTTGTTCAGAATATTTTATTTTTTAAAACAGGATTCATTGTTATGTGATACCTTAGTGCTGATAGTGAACTCTCGAAGTGATCGACAAGTTTTCACCGTAGCAGGAAGGGATGCAAAGGTACTTTTTAATAGAAAACAGGATTTTCGTATAATTTGTATTACAAAGTTGAGTCAAGATGTATTGCAGACTGCCTTTCACAGAAGCGTTGGACATTTCCGACTGGGAAATTATGAGCAGGGTTTTGAAGGAATGGTTGAATACATCGTTTCCGCATATGGAAGCGCGCACATTGTTCAAACTCCAGCCATCGGAGATGGGTAAAATTTAAGGAATCATAACAACGAATATTCTAAAGTTAGCCACAAAGTTTAAGCTTGTTTCCAACTAACACTCAAACACTTTCTACATTCCCTTCTTCTTCTGGGACAGGGCAATTCACAGCTATTCAAGGAGTTCGTCAAAAGACAAACATCAACAAACTGGAGAGATTCGATTTCGATGAAATTCCTGAGGATGAACGACTTTGGGTTCGAATTCTAGTGAAAGTAAGTAAATCAGGCAATTCCGAGATGAATAATTAAAAAATTTTTCCAGGCATTAGCACAATGTGGAGACGATCTTAGCAATTTAACTTTTCATGTAAAAGCGATAGCAGAAGGTTTTCTAAAGTAGCCGAAAATAATATTTAGTAAATTAAGAAGCGATGGATATTTCCTTGAAGCTGATTAGTGATCTTCATTACAATAAAATTGAAGAAGAATTGCAGAATACAGATAAGGAATCGAAAGATCGGGAAAAGGCTTGGCTTCGCATGAAACCCTATCTTGAAAATTTGTATTCAAAATATAAAGAAATGCCTAATAACTTGGATCAGTGCCCAGAAAGAAAAACATAACGTTTTTGAGATTTAAATTCATATTTAATTTAGTCACAATAAATTTTTAGTTTAGTGTCTGTCAAAACTGGTCAAAAACAAAAAAATACGAAAAAATACATCATGACTAAAAAACAAATTGTACAAACTCGCAATAAACACTCTGCCACAATTTGGCGCAAAAATGAATAAAACTAGCGCAAATTTAAAAATTTAGACTTTAGAGTATTTTTCCTTTGATTTTTTTTTTATTTTTTGAGTATTATTTGGGGGTTTTTTTTGTTTGTTCTGATTTTTCAGGATCTTTAATTTATTCAGTTACTTTGTTTTATTTAGAAACTTAGTTTTCATGAAGTCAACTGGTATTGAAATTATAAACCCAGGACTTCAGTCATCGAACGTTCGAATGATTGTATCAAAAAATGATTTTGATCATCTTATTAGAATTATGATGTCCTATTTATCGCCTACCAACTCGCCTAAAGACGCAAATTATGAAAAAGAAATAATTGAGATTTTTAATCAACTTCAACAATTTATCGAAAGAGAGTTTCCAATTAATCGAAGGTTTTTAATTTAAATATTTTATTTTCTAATTTTATTTTTCAGAGTGGACGGGTTAAACGTTGCTAACAATGCAAAGATTATTTATCTTCACATGGTTTACCTGAATAATAGATTTAGACCTACAGAACAATTAGCTCAAAAAGTTGCCGATGTTTTAAGTGCTTTTCAACAAATCACCAAACTTTCTCATGACCAGTATTATGGGCCAGTTAGGGCCTTGGAAAATAGAAAGCTACAAATTTCATTAGGTAGAATTTACTTTTTTTAATATTTTATATTTTTTATTACCAGGCTTGGTTGAGGTACTTACTGAATTGTTCGTTCTGGACATTAATTTATTCGGTATCCAACTTACTTCATATGAGAAATGCAGCAAATTTCGTCGTTCCATCGGAAATGCTCTTATGAATTTAGTATATCAGCAGCGCGAGGCTAAACTTCGGCTCTGTACTAATCGTCAATTCTTGCTTAAAGTTGCTGATGTGATTGACAATATATCTCCTTTAATTCAAGTAGCTTTCTTTTAATTCATTCTTTTTGATATTTTTAGTTCTACGCTGGTTTGATCCAAAATGTCTCGTATAATTCTGATCCTTCTATTTCTCAGCAATTGTCTATTATTGTACCCCCTCTTGTTCGTACAGCTGTTAATATTGCTTTAAAAGAACGTGTTGGAGTAAAGGTTTTCGATCCTCTAGCTCTTTCTTCTCAACACAAACAACAGTTACTTAAAGTTCTCTCTGCTCTTTGGAATCTTGCTGAAGATCCTGCAAAAAATAAACATGTTATGGTTCGTTTTTTGTGTTTTTTGCATAAATTTCAGAAATTTTTTAATCAAATTTTTTAGTGTATTGAGGTTCCTGAATTTGTCCCTATGTTATTACGGATAATGTTCTGTGACCAAAGTGAACTGCAATTAATACAAGCTGCCACTGGGATTATAAAACACTTGAGTGGTAATTTCTTGTTAATATTTTTAAATCGTGCATTTCCTTTTAAGGTTATTTTATTCAATTTCACGATTTATTTGCTAAAATTTTACGAAAAGGATTGACTTCTGCTCTTATGCGTCAATTAACTTCTTCCTCATCTGATTTGATCATAGATTCATTAAGTGCTCTTTATGCACTTTCTAGACATCCAATTATTGGAAAGGAAATTCTATCAAATGAATCATACATGCAGCAGGTTTTTTTTAATTCTTTCTAATTTTTTAAAATCTATGTAAAAGATTGGTTACTTAACGCGAAATACAAATGAAGGAATTTCTCGGGCTTCCAGATTGGTACTTAACAACGTCTATTCCGTGACAGTATATTTTGCCAAGAATGCAGTACATTTGGCCCCTTGGCCGATGCAAAGTAGCTTTTAATTTTTTTAATTTCTTTGGTTTTTATTCTAGATCTAATTCTATCACCTGTTGATCCTTGTGGACAACAAATGGCTTCAACAAATTATTCAAGTCTAAGACAGCAGAATGATCCTCCAAAAGTTAATAATCAAGGTTTTTGTTAATTTTTACAATTGTATTAACTTCTGTATCTGACAATAAGATTATCCTGAGAGGAAAGATGTCTCAAATCTGGAAAGTAGATCTGAGGGCAACAATGATTGTGTTTTTGTAGAAGGTTCGCTGCTAGATCATGGTGGTCAGGATTTACCAACTAGCGTAATGTGCACTAGAAATGCTAGTTCTCGTAGTTCTATCAATTCAACAGACCTTAAGGTTACACAGAATAAATAGTTTTTATAGATTTTCAGTTTAATAATGAATTGTCCTCAACTTCTGTGAGAAGTAGTGTCAGCCAGTCTCCGGAAAGTGCCACAGACCTACCTGATTCTCCTTCTCAATGTTCATCTCATAAAGTTTTGCAACTTAAAGAAATGGAGGCAATTTTTCTTTTGTTATAGAAATAATTTTATTTTTAGCTTCAAATTTTAAAAGCATTGGATGAAAATAAACACAGTGGTCATTGCACTAATGCAGATATTAGTGGAAATTCTGATGTTCATGCAGGCGATGTTATTAAAAATGCTAATATATTGTTAGAAGACCACTCAACGTTAGTTTGTCATTGACGTATTTTAAATTATTTAGAATTGCAGTGAAGGAATTCTCGCTGAAGTTATACGTGATTTTATGCCCAAACCTAAGGATAAGAATGTATCTCTTAACGCAGATGTTACTCGAAGTTCAACACCTATTTTGACACCAATTTCTTGTAACAGCCCTTGCAAAGCAACATCCGAAAATGATGGGCCGAAGCACAAAAGTTATTTGTTTAATAAAAACTAAATATTTTTAATATTTAAAGGATGTACTCAATTACTTGAGGACTCAATTGCTGCAGTTATGCCTTCTCCAAAACATAGTGTTTCAAATCAGTTTAGAAGCAGAGACACGTCTTGTTCGAGGACTTCTTCATCAAATGCGAAGATACAGCACAACAAGTTTTAAATTTTTCACTTTTTAAATTTTTGTACCTTTTTTCAGTAGCGAGGAAGAAGATTTATTTTTGAGAAGTTCCAAAAAATCCCTAAATGTTGGCAGTGATACTCAATTGATTGTACTTGATTGTCAAAATATTCCATCAAAAACTTACAATCAATCAGATAACATAGGAAAGAATATTCAATATTCTGGAAGAAAATCGTTAAATCTTTTATATTTTTCGTAAGATAACTTTTTATTTAAGAATTAACAAACCCGAATTTTCTATTGCTTCCTATTCGTGTTTACCATTGTCGATTGAAGCAGATAGACATGGATCAACTACCAGAAGGCAGCGAGTAATTTCGTCAATCTCAGATGGAGGCATACAAACAAATAATTTACAATCTTCGGTTTCAAAATCTAAAAATCAACTGACTTCTAGAAGAAGTTGACATGTGTGAAAAAACAGGCATTTTTATAATTGCTTAATTTTTAATATAGAATGAATGAATCAATATTAAATTATAATTTACATTTTATATAATTAATTTATTATTTAATAAATTCTTAAAATTTTAATATTAATGTATAAAAATATTAATTAATTTGTTATTTATTCAAAAAATATATTTTATAATAGTATTAAAAAATAATAATTTAAGCAAGTTTTTAGACGGAGAGAAGGCTTCTCTTTTAAATGAGCACAGCACAATCGGCGGAACAAGCTGCTCAACTTGCATATCAACAGGCATATCAATTATATCAGCAACAAGCAGCAGCTCAACTACAACAACAAGTTGGATCCAATCAGAAATATAAAAGCACTCTTTGCAACATTTGGTAAGAAATCCATGAGATCAGAACCTTCGTTAGATTTTTTGTTGCTAAAAAAAGCAGAACTTCATTTTTTAAATCTCATGAGGTTAAAGTTGGGATGATTTTTATTATTTTTAGGCTCATGGAAGGAGTTTGTCCTCGTGGTAGGCTATGTCATTATGCTCATGGTATCAGAGAATTAAATTATAGGTTGAAGCTATATTTTATAATTTGAAAATTCATTTAAGCCAATATTATGCATTGTGGGGCACAACTCCGACTGTAGCTGCACCAGTAAATAAGTAGGAATTGATAATATTTTCCAAGAGAATTAAAATTTTAGACCAGAAGATCATCAAAACAAATTTTTTAAGACGGCCATCTGTCAATTTTGGCAACAAAAAGGAGTTTGTAATAATGGAGATCAATGCAAATGGGCACATGGTTTATTAATTTTATTATTACATTGGTAAATTTTTAACTTTTGTTTTAGGAGATCAGGAGCTTCGTCGATCAGTATGAAATTTTTAATTTAATTATACATGTCTTCTTAAAGGAAAATGGCTTGGGGATGGTAAGAAGTCTGTCATCCGATGAGCAAACGTCGAGTGTGATGATTGGACCTCAACTAGAAGGACCCTTACCAAAAAGGGAAATTATAGAGGATCAATGCGTTAGTAACGATCTATCAAATGACAGAAAACGTAATTGGCAGGAAGCTGGTCTAGAAATTACTGATAGATAATTTATTTGAAATTTTGTTTCTATTCAAAAGTAAGTGTTCACATTTTACTGTATTTCCATTATTTAAACTTTTATATTTAAATAAAATTTTAGAATAATAACAAAACAATTTAAAAATTTTTTATTTAAGTTTTGGCCGTTTCTTTAACCACTTGTTTTTGCCACGTTCAAGTTTCATACGTTTCCTCACTCGTTCTTTAGCATCTTCATTGTGTTTGTCCTCTAATTCATGTTCGTTGTTTTCGTTATATAAATTTGAGTGTGTGAATGACTGCAGCATCTTTCGAATAGTCGTTTCAATTTGCTTCAATTTCCTGTCCATTTTTCTAGAAAAACGTATTTAAGCATGCACAAATAAATAAAATGTTCTTTCCACTTACTTTTGATTCCAGTCGACATCGTCTGTAACATCCTTTTGCGCAGTAGATTCTTCACCACTATCCCAGATTAGATCCGCTTCCTTCGCCTGATAATAGGGGACGTTAATTGATTTATCGTAAAAAAAGTAAATTGGTGTTTTAGACTCCAATCATCTATGATCAAAACTTCATAGGTACTTGAAGGAATATCAAATCAACATTGGTTTTCCTCATAGTTTAATTTGACCAGGTAAGATTAGTAGATTAAAAATAAAATAACCATCCGTTGAAACCAGCTGCTCTTTGTCCGTTGTTTTCGCCCTCTATGTTCAATCGATTCCGCTTCTGTTGCTAACTCTACCAAGTATTTACAACTTTCAAATAATTTCCGATCATCTATGGTCAAAACTTCCAAGTCCTCGTCTAAACATCTCAACATTAAATATTTTTTTAATAAATAAAAAACTTTTTTCCATGCCACGGCAAATCTTTTGGTAGTATTGCAAATCCATTGGATCAACAAAAAGGATTGAAAGACCAGAATTTAAAGCTCTTGCTGTGCGCCCACTACGATGAATGTAATTCTAAAATATAAAAAATTAATGACCAAAAAGAAAGAATACTTCTGTCGTTTGAGGCACTTGATAATGGATAATTTGCTGAACCGATTGAAAATCTAAACCACGGGCCGCGACGTCTGTTGCTAGCAAGATTGAATTTTCCGAAGCTAAATTTTGTATATTTATAATTATTCCAATAAAATAAAAACCTGCAAATTTTTCTACGCTTTTAAGCCTTTCTTTTTCCTTCATTCGTCCATGTAAAATACATGGCAAAGTATCGATGTTGCGCCGTGTTAATTTCCTAAGAATTGCTTGTAAACGTCGGACTGCAGAGACAGAGTTACAAAAGACAAGAGTTCGACCTCCATAGCGTTTCAACAAATAAAACAGATTTGCGTCCTTAGAAATAAATGTATATCAAATAAATCAGCAAAGAAAACTTTGTGAAGAAGATCCGTACAATCCATCCGACACTCAACTAGCATGTTTGGAATTTTTTTGGTCGTTGTTAAATCAACTACTGCTAATTTTTCTGGGCCTCTTCGCATGTACATTGAACGAGCGATTTGTTTTACCTGAAAACATTAAAAGTATTTTATTTAGAAATCAGCAAAATTCAAATATCCCAACCTTTTGTTTAGAGTCAGTTTTCTGTGTATCCTTAATCTCATTTTTTACGCCAAATTGTAAGCCAACATTGTAAGTGAATGTTAACGTTGCAGAAAATACAAATGTCTGCAAAGGAGGTCCTTTTTCGCCAATAGTTTTAAAATGTTCATTCCGTTCACTAGAATACAAGTTTAAATCTTTTAGGAAATAAATAAACCTATGAATATGCTTGATAATAAATTTCAGTTCTTGGAAATGTCCTTCTTTTAACATTCTATCTATCTCGTCAACAACAATAATTTGCAAGCCTGATAATACATTAAGATGTTCTTCACCCTTAAATATAAATATTTTTAATGAAAATTTTTCTGAGCCCAGTTTTGTGGACAAATTTATTTAATATAGCGAAAGGGATAGCCGACAAATACCAAATTTCTATTTAAAATACCGATTCTTTTAATGCCCATAAACGTCCAGGAGTACCAACAATAATATCAGGCTGAGATTTAAGTAAACGCTGTTGTTTTTGGATACTCATTCCGCCAACAACTGCAACAATGCGTAGTTCTCTTGGTTCTTTTAGAGCGGAAAGTTGTCGAAAAACATCTCTTATCTTGAATTTAAAAAATAAGTTAAAATTAAATAAAAACCTGAATTGCTAGTTCACGTGTTGGTGTAACAACCAAAGCAAAAAGTTTTGTTTGATCTTTAGGCACGCCTTTTTTTAATTCCTTTAGCCATCTATCAAATATTGGTATAGCGAAAGCTAATGTTTTCCCGCTACCCTATTGTTAAAAATTAAAAAATTATTTAGAAAAAGAGAAGGTATAATTTCGGAATACTGAACAGAAAGCAAATGGGTCAAGTTATATGTCATTCGAAAGAGCTCGTCGAGTTGAGTCGAATGGTGAAAAAATTTTCGTGCGGACTCATAAAGGAGCTGAGATACAGGTCATCGAAAATCGAAAAACCATAGGGGGGACCAAGCACTTTTTTGGGGTCAAAAATTCGAATATGCAAATAATAGCTCATTCGAAAGAGCTCCTCGAGCTGAGTCGAATGACACCAAAATCAACGAAATCCGACTTGATTGGACAAAGTATTGATCTTTTCTTTTAGCTCCTTACCTATGTCATCTGTAGAGATTTTTGCTGCTACGGAGACCCCAAATACGTCCAGAGCAAGGGAAATAGGAATAGGTTTATGTTACGAGCCCAGACCCATCGCCCGTAGACTCACCGTGAGGCGCGTGCCGAAAAACCCCGCGCGAAGCGCGGGGTTTTGCACAAGCGCCTCGCCGACGCTCCATAGGTTTAGGTTTTTTTGTTTTTTGTGTCGTAACTTTGTCTAATCTTGTTTAATCACGGTGATTTTGGTGTCATTCGACTCAGCTCGTCGAGCCCTTTCGAATGATGTATAATTTGCATATTCGAATTTTTTACCCCAAAAAAGTGCTTGGTCCCCCCTATGGTTTTTCGATTTTCGGGGGCCTATATCTCAGCCCCTGTATGAGTCCGCACGAAAATTTTTTTACCATTCGGCTCAGCTCGACGAGCTCTTTCGAATGACATATAAATTGACTCATTTGCTTTCTGTTCAGTATTCCGAAATTTTTCCAAAGAGAACTGTTTCAGCTGCTCCAATGATATCTTTTCTGCGTTGAATTGCCTGAGGAATTACAGCCTTCTGAATTGGAGTTGGCTTAATAAAACTTAAAAATTAGAAATTCTTAATAAAGATTATGATTCTAATAAACCCCATAGTGTCCAATCCTTTTAATATGTATTCAGAGTCAATAATTTCAGTCCATTCGCCATTATGTTCCATTGCTTGAAAAAATGTGTATGATTATCTGAAAGTTTGAAATTATACAAAAATACTATCTATAGATTAACAATAATAACATAAGCATAAAAAATAAAAAAATCTACAGTAGTCGACATAAAGATAGGGACAAGAGTAATTTAAATAAAAATTAACTATTTTTCGGTCGAAAATTACGTTCTATATATCAATCGAAAGCTCTATTTATATCTCAGTTGACATGTTTCTGCATTTTTCATGAAAATGAAAATTGGCCGAGATAATCCGGATCTGCCGGATATACCAAATCCCACAGCCTCGGAAAAAATTTTCGGAAAAAATCTAACAAACCCATTTGATAAAGCAGATTTTTTTGAGTATGTATCACAAAACCGCTTAAAAATATCTTTTTCCGGTCCAGAGATATGGTTTTTTGAAAATTGCATTTTTCGTCTATTTTTGCAAAAAATTCAATTTTTAAGGGAAAAATGCCATTTTCAAAAAATCATATCTCTGGTCCGGATAGAGATATTTTTAAGTGGTTTTATGGTATACATTCACAAAAATATGCTTTATCAAATGGGTTTGTTAGATTTTTTCCGAAAATTTTTTCCGAGGCTGTGGGATTTGGTATATCCGGCAGATCCGGATTATCTCGGCCAATTTTCATTTTCATGAAAAATGCAGAAACATGTCAACTGAGATATAAATAGAGCTTTCGATTGATATATAGAACGTATTTTTCGACCGAAAAATAGTTAATTTTTATTTAAATTACTCTTGTCCCTATCTTTATGTCGACGACTGTATAGGATTAAAAAGAAATCGAGGAACTAAGAGTTGGACTCAACCGTTCGAATCTGGGACTCAACAGGGCAGTTTATTTCAGTCTTGGCTCAATTCAGTCCCGATCATAACTCGTGAAGGGTGATAATTTTTTCAGGTTCTTGATACCATTTGATTAAGAATTAAAGATCTACAACATTTTAAAAAACAGAATTTTTGACCGATTGATAAAAAAGTATGATGTACTCGGGACTCACGTGTTGACTGAACTGTGCGGACTCAACCGGCATGATCAATAGTCGCGTTCCGGACTCTATTGAGTTGTACCCGCTTGGAGATACATTTGAAATTTTTCTTAGACCAAAAAAACTATGAGATTTCACATTCTTGCTAAATTTTTGTCCCAAATCGATATTTAATAAAAATCAACATTGCGCAAGACGTAATTCAAAGAATGAGTCATCTTTAACTTCAATAACCTCACATACTGCTACTTAAATTTTGTTCTCTTTTCTTTTTCTCGTGTCCGGTTAACTCATCTACTCGTTAACTCATCTACACGGCCAAAAACGTTCAACTCATCTAAACGGCTAAAATTCCTTAACTCATCTACATGGCCAAAAAGGGTAAACTCATCTAATCGTTAACTCATCTACTCGTTAACTCATCTACACGGCCAAAAAGGGTTAACTCATCTAATCGTTAACTCATCTAATCCTTAACTCATCTACACGGCCAAAAAGGGTCAACTCATCCAATCCTTCGGAACGAGACTATTGAGTACCGGCCGTTTGAGTCTTTGGCCGTCTGAGTCTCCGGCCGTTTGAGTCTCTGGCCGTCTGAGTCTCTGGCCGTCTGAGTCTCTGGCCGTTTGAGTCTCTGGCCGTCTGAGTCTCTGGCCGTCTGAGTCTCTGGTAAGTTGAGTCCATGACCAGTTGATTCCATGGCTAGTTGATTCCATGACCAGTTGAGTCCATGACCAGTTGAGTCCATGACCAGTTGATTCCATGGCCAGTTGAGTCCATGACCAGTTGAGTCCATGACCAGTTGATTCCATGGCCAGTTGAGTCCATGACCAGTTGAGTCTCAACCGGCGGTACTCTACTGGCCATGGACTCAAACGGCCGGTACTCAATAGTCTCGTTCCGAAGGATTGGATGAGTTGACCCTTTTTGGCCGTGTAGATGAGATAAAGATTAGATGAGTTAACGATTAGATGAGTTAACCCTTTTTGGCCGTGTAGATGAGTTAACGAGTAGATGAGTTAACGATTAGATGAGTTAACCCTTTTTGGCCGTGTAGATGAGTTAACGAGTAGATGAGTTAACGATTAGATGAGTTGTATAGGAGCCCTTTTTCTTGATTGAACAAAAATTTCAAAACTAGTTTTTCCTGTGTCATTTTTCATCTAAATTCAGCCTTTCTAACTCAAACTTCTTTCTTTTTTTTTAGCTACATATTTTAAAAATATTTAATTTTAAGATATTCACTCGTTCAAATGTCTACTACTGCTAATAAATTTTTTTTTATATTTTCAATTTTAATAATCAACTTAATAAATCATACAGAGGCATGTACATGCAGAATAGCACCTCCTGGAATAAACTATTGTTTAGCAGATTGGGGTAAATTACAATTTAAAAATTAAACAAAAACTTAAAAGTCGCCCGTGTTTTGGTGCTTAAGCGGCAGGAGGGTGTTAAAATGCCTGGTAGCATTGATCAACAAACTAAAGAAAATGTGCGATATAAAGTTAAGTACGAACAAATGTTCAAGGTTCAATAGTTTTGAAATTATTTTCAATTTAAAAATTAAAGATCAGTAGTGAAATGACAGTAACGGAGAAAAATCTTGTTGTATTACCTGTCAACATTTATACATCATTGGATGATTCTGCCTGTGGTATTCAACTAGAACTTGGGCACGACTATTTGCTTTCAGGTAGCTGAGTAAAATGGAATAATTTAACCTTACTTATGGCAGGTAAATATGTTAATGGTACAATGCAAACAAGTTTATGTGGTCAAATTCTACTCGAAGATCTAAAAGAATCCCGAAAACATGATATTCTGGAATGGACTGAAGTTCCAGATAAATTAAGACAGCAGTTGAATAAACAAGAATTCGATTCAACGTGCGAAAAGGAGCTAAACTAATAGGTATCATTGATTATGTATTATTTATAATTTGTATGCATTGGAAAATTCTTCATATAATTTTTATTTTTAAAATTCATTCTGTAATTAAATAAAAAAAATTGAAAAAATGGATTTTCCAACAAGAGGCTTTCAGTCTATAATCATCTACGTCTTCTTGCACAAATGAAACAGCAAAGAAGGGAAAGAAGCACTGAAAGTATGATAGAAAGTGCTAAGGAGATGAGCAATGAGTTCCACCAGTCGATCCTATAGAATTTTCGGAAAGATTTACATTTTAAAAAAGAATAATTATCTTAATAATGTCAACCTTACGCTGCTGTAGGTAATACGATTATTCCTTCCATCTGGCCTCTCTCGATATATCCATCCAGGACCAGGTCCTTCTGCGCTTCCGCAACAATAGTAGCTATAACGAGAGCTACCTTCTTGCCTTATACAACATGCTACTGGGCAGTAAATTCTAAATAATTTTTTAAAATCTTTTATTTAATGAAATTTAAATGTAAAGAAATGAAAATAGCTCTTGCCTTCCTCCATTTGGCAATCCCGTGCATAATACATCCGCTTCTGTCGACTTAAGACATGAAAGCTGAAAAAGCACTAATAAAGGATAGCCCAATATGTCGAAGATAATTTTTTTCATTTGATTATTTAAAAGGTTATTGATTTACTTATCTTGTATAGGAAAATTTATATTTTTCTAAATTAGTATTTAATTAAAATTTGAACAATGAGTCTCTTAAATTAACTCAAAACTGGCAAGTAAATGGAGGAAAGAAAATAAAAAAGGTGCAATCAATGTAAGGAAATGGCCGAGTGATCGATGTGAACGACTCAATCGCTGAAAATGCCTCTACTATGTTAGACGATCGAGACTCGTTCATTATTTCCACATGTCTCTTTGTTCACGGCGTTCTTATTTTAACCCTCTTCTTTCTTGTTAAGCAACTGACTTGGATTGGAGTAAGAAAAAAGGAAAAGGCAATATGACGTAATGAAGTGAAAATCTGTTAAAATAAACTTCTTGAAAGAAAAGAATAAGATTTAATTAATTAATTTAAAAATCCGTTATTGAAACAATAAGTTTATTATGTGACAACGGGAAAAAGATAATGAATGATTGGGTGTTTATAAAGAAATCTTTGTCGTTAAATAGGTATTTTAGCGTACTTCCGCCTTTCTAAATATTTTAACTTAATCTAACAGTAAGATTAGTTTTTTTTTTATTTTTATTGTATTAGGAACATTCCTCACTCGTACATATTATTATCCTTAAAATTCTAAAAGACAAATTTAATCTTTCAATAATTTTCTTAAGCTCTTTAATATTTTTCTTTTTTTATTTTCTAATGTCTATAAAATAACCCATTTCCCATTCTATTTAAATTCTGCTCAGTTATGCCATAATCTTCAATAAATTATATTTCTTTATTTTCTTTGTTTTTTTTTTAGAAATTAGAAATTTTAGAAATAAAGCATCTCTCATTGAACATCTTTACGGATTTAAATCTTTCGATTCATTCTAAGAGTTTCAAAGGTATTAATACATATGCGTCATAATTTATACTCGGTTTATTGGTGTTTCTAGCACGTAATTTGAGTGCAATATTTGAGCTTCCATCCTCACTTCCTCTCATGCTTCCTTATTCACCTTTTTGGCACTTTATGCCACGAAAACTCTTTTCGTTTTTGCTTTTATTATGGCAGCCCCATTATCAATTCCTTCTCGCATTTCGACAATAGTTTTTTACAGCATAGACTAGCTTTTCTGACGGTTGTGCGAAGGAGGATAAATAAACATTTTATTGATAATAGATTTCTAAGAATTATCATAAATCGTAAGCAAGTTAGCATTCCAATTTTTATTTATTTAAAAACAATCCTAGATATTTAATTATTTCAAATTTGGCAAGTAAATAATTAAATAATTCCCTCTTAAATAATTCATGCGAGACAAGCCTGTTTAAAAATCACTAATTCTATTCGGCTTTTTCATATTTACAATTACTTTATACGTGCCATTCTCACGCTTCCAAGTCAATTTTATTTCTTTCATTCCTTAAAGCTTCCCCTTTTTCCACGCTTCCTTTTCCGCGTTTTTTATCGGTAGCGAATTCCTCAGTTCAATTTTTGACGGAATTTTCCTTAAATTTACATCAGTTTGTTTTATTTTGAGGAAATGACAAGTGATAAAAATTAAAGTTGCTGCTTGACCAATGTTCAATCTATTATTAGCTACATGTTCTGTGCTGACTTTTGCTTTTTAATTAAAATTCAGCTTTTCGGGATTCTATATATTGAAGAACAAACGTTAATAACCATTTTGGTTTTTCCTCAACCATCCAATTAATTAAAATATATTTCTTACCAGTTTTTTCGATAGTCAATTTTATTTCTTTCATTTCTTTTCATATTTCTTTCATTTTTACTCTTGGTAGTACCATATAGTTAAAAGTTCAATATCTAATTATATCGAATGTAATTTTCAGATTTTTCGAGTATTTATCTTTTTGTTTTAGTGAGATACATATGTATATGGCTGAGATACATATGTATACTTTTCTTGTCAACGAGAAATATACAATTCCACGTCATTAGTACGTTTTTCCATTGTTAAATTCCAGATAATATTTTCCAGCTTTTTCATTTTCTTTTCTTTTAAGTCACTCATTGGACATGTAAATGAGCCTTCTCCTCCCCCGAGAAAAGTCCAATTAGGGATCTAAGGTCTCTTGTAAATTAGTTGTTTGCTTTCTTGAAGCGTTGTTTTCGTCGTTATTTTCCAATGCGTGTTCCCCTACATTAATCTTTTGCATAATTTCTTCTAGCATTAAAAACAACTCATGGAATTCCTTCCTTTTTCCATGAAAATTTACACACTTAATATTTTTAAAAATTAAATCCTGATTGATTTCATCTAGATCACATTGAATAGTTATCTATGTTAAATAGTTATTTTCCGGATTACTCCATTTTATATTACTTTTTTAATAAAATGTTAGCATTATTTATTCTCTTTGTCCCTTTTTAGCTTTATCTATTCGGCTTTACTCAAATATTCTCTTCCGTTATAATATGTTAATTTGTCGCTTGGGAGTTTAGAATAAAGGGTATATGTAAACCTGAAAGCAGTTTACGAAAAGAAAGATTTTAACAGACTAACAATCGTTAGAAAAAATGCCATTTTACTATAAAAACTAATGGGGTTTTAGAAAAGAAGACCGGAAGGCATCTTTTTGCACCATGAAAAATAATAACATGTGACTTGAAAATTAATGGAAAAAGAAACTAATTGTGCTTCTTCAAATAAATTCGATTTTGATTGATGGCACGGTATTTCCTTAATCTTAAAAAGCTTATGATAGCATCTGATAGTGATAAACATCTTTTTTATTTTATTTTCATATTTTCCTTATAATATTTTTTGCCAAAGGTTCACATCCCTTGAGAATTATACATATTTACTATCCCTTTCCTCATCACATCAATCCGATTTTTTCAGATTTTTCTTTTCCATATTTAACCGCTTAAGTCTTAAAATAACTAAGTTAATTTTTACGATAAATTCAAAATATCCATTCCTTTAAACTCATCTTTTCAAAGTAAAATTGCCTGTGGCAATTGTTATTCTTTACCTCGACTGGTGTTTCATTCATAAGAGTGCGCAAACAAAGCATATTTTCTTCATCATCTTGGCGTAATGGCTAAAATAAAAATTTTTAATTATTAGATGTTTTAAATTCTCAACAAAAACATCGTCGATATTTTGCTCATTAAAATTGTTTTTTTATTTTTATTTACTAAAATTTACACATGAATTCATTTCCTTTTAAATCTGTCAGTTTCATTGTCATTGTCTTTAATGTAACACCCTTTATTTGCCAATAATTTTTACGGTGTTATTGACAGATTCATTTAATAATACCTTATTCTAGTTTATTTATAAATTATTACATTAGATTATTTATCATTTATAATTTAATTTTTTAAAGGCTTAGTATATATAATGGAAGCATCTACAATGGAATTACTTCCACCTCCCGCTATATTATTTAATGTATCATCAGCGCCTTCAGTTATTTGTGAGGATATGAATGCTTATTTATGGAACACTCGTCGGGATTTGACTACACGGCCTTTCGTTATGGCTGGTAATATTTATCGATATTTAAGCTTAAATCAGTATTCAAAAATTCGGCTATTGATATTTACGTTTTTATTAAAATATGAATTTATTGTGTTAATTTTACAGTATTTGCTTCTTTATATTCATCAATCATTTTACTGGGTATTATCGGAAACTCTTGCGTGATTATGGCTATTGCCAGAATTAAATCACTTCAAACTGTGCCTAATATGGTAATACAAAAATTTCTATTTGGATATTTTCAGTACATTTTAGTTTATTTTCTCGTTGAGTTGTTCAGATATACTTGTTTGCTTTATTTCGGCTACTATAACTCCAATCGCTGCCTTCAAAAAGGATTGGATTTTTGGCCAATTCTTATGCTCTTTTGCACCCTTTGTTGCGGTTAGTTCTTAATTTTAAATTATTTTCAGAATCTTACAGTTTGCTTAATTAAGGGAGGGAGTTTGTGTTTCTCTACATTCACTTTGGCGGCTATTTCCGTGGACCGTTTCCTTTTAATACTTTTTCCCACGAGAAAAGCTTTCTCGCATACACAAGCTTTATTTATAATTCTTGTAGGTTATTAACTTTATCTTTCGATTTAAAACGTCAAAATTAGGTCACGTGTTTGTTAGCCAGCGGGTTTAGTTTACCGATGTTGTTCATGCAAAAGTTAAAACCAGTAACTCATTATTGTGGCCGATTTTGTTTCGAGGATTGGGGCGAGATGATTGGGATAAGAAGAATCTATGGAACTTTATTGCTAACCGTCCAGTTCATTATTCCGGTAAGATTACTTATTTTTATTTAGAGCTAAAAGAATATTTAAAGATTTTGAAATTTTCAACCTACTTTATTTTTTCAGTTAGCATTGATCACTTTCTGTTACACAGCTATTTCATTCCGACTTGGAAAAGTTTTAATAATTTCTGTAATTAAAAAAAATTTCTTTTAGAGCGTGAATTTACGTACCAAGAAGAAATGTGAATGGCAAATGCCGATTAGCGCTCAGAGAAACGCGGCCACAAAGCGAAGACAACGAACAAACAGAATGTAATTGCGGCTTTAGATTTGCCTTTAAACTTCTAATTTAAGGTTTATTGCAATGGTAATTGCCTTCTCGGTGAGCTGGGTATGGTCGGTTCTATATAATCTGTTACGAGACTATGACGGTCTTCCTAAGTTTGTACATGATCAAGAATTCTTTTTTGGAATATTAACACACTGTATTGCAATGAGTTCTACGGTATTTTCTTTTCGTTGTACACATTTTGCCTTTATTTTCCTAGGTATGGAATCCCATTTTATATGCCTTATTAAATCTACAAGTAATTTGATCTTACAGTTTATAAGTCACCTTTTTTAAATTTAATTAAGCTAAGGGCAGCCTTTCTACAACTTGTGCCACAATGTATCAAGAATTCTCTGACTTGCACTTGTATTCCTGATAAAGGAAGACTAAGTGGTCGATCAGTCGCCCGGTGTGCCTACCTTGAAGAGAGCCGGCTTCTTGGTTCCTCGGTTCTTCGCGGAACATCCGGACGAGTACAGAGAAGAGAAACGAATTATGAAAATAAAAACTGTTTTAATTGTTTGATTGGCTCCTCGAGATCCATTGAATCTTCTTCGAACGAAACACAGAAGCAAACGTTTTCAGTTAAATGTGGAGAAAATAAAGTAGATGCTAAAATTATGGTACAGAATTTTTTCTTTCCAAACGAATTAATATTCCAGTCACATAATCACCATCGGCATCAATTAGAAAGAATAACAGCGGACGGTGGATACGAGGAGCAAACATGGACAGAGCAATTGAGGAAGAATTCTGAAGATGATGCCTTAGATGATTGTAATGATGATGTGAGAGAAAGAGATACAGATGAGAGGATATGACACTTTAATTCGGAAAATTATATTTTATTGTTTTTATTAGATATATTATTAGCCTAATTACTTAATTATCTTAATATTTTATTAGCTTTATAATAGCTTAAATAACATTTGGCAGATAGGAGGTGCTTATAGTAAATTTTCAGTACATTTTCTTAAAAAATTATTTCCTTTCTATCCTACTCTGAATTGGCGACTCTGAATCGACCTTTACCATAAAGCTGTTGTGCACATTGATTTAATTCTTGTCATTTACCTAGAAATTTTTAGCTTTTATTTAAAACTTCTTGGTGCTGAATGGCAAGTTCTGGCTCAGTTGGATCTCCGTCAGGTGGCAAAGTTACATTCAAAATAACGCTAACAAGCGATCCTAAACTTCCATATAAAGTGTAAGTAAAAGATAATTGCTAATTACATTAAATTTTGTTTTGTAGGATGAGCGTTCCGGAGAATGCGCCTTTCACAGCTGTCCTGCGATTTGCAGCAGAAGAATTTAAAGTTGATCATAATACTAGTGCTATAATTACGGATGATGGCATTGGCGTGAACCCAGGTTTCTAGCAAACTGGAATTTTTAAAAATTAAATTTTAGGACAAAAAGCCTCAGAAATATTTATGAAATATGGTGCTGAACTGCGACTTATTCCAAGAGACAGAGTTGGAAATGCTGATGATCAGTAACCTATTTATCAGAAATATTTGAGTTGAAGTTGCTTTATGTCACTTTCGTACTTTTTAAACTAAAGAATGCTGGTTTGTGATCCTTTTTAAGTTTTAATTTGTGGATAGCTGATAATTTTGTTCACTATAACATATCTGTAAAATTTTCTACTATTCGTACTTGACTATTTTTAGTGGATAAGTTGCAGGTTTAGTCATTTACTGAATATTTTTATCTAGAAACACGTGTGAATTATAGTATTAACAGAATTCTCTTATTTATGCATGTATCACCAAGTATGAAACTAAAATGAGTTAAGTGAAAATCGGATAATTAATTTTATTTATCATATAGCAGCTTTTAAGTGCGTTTTTTCTTCCTTCTGTTCATAAAGCGCACTTTTCAGAGCCAATTTTAAAGCCTCTATGTCCTCCGGGTTCGAGTTTACACCAAATGTGCCAATACGCCAGATTTTTCCGGCGGTCGGGCCGAGTCCACCAGCTATCTCATATCCCTGAGCCATTAATTTGGATTGAACTGCCTTCCAATCAACCCCATCGGGGACACGCACTGTGGTTACACAAGGCAAGCGATAATTCTAAATAGAAAACTTAAATACAAGTTCTTGCTCTGAACAGGCCTCATTCTGGACATAGGGTTCCAGACCCAGCTCCTTCAAAGCGGCATAGAATAGCTTAGCATTCTTCTGATGTCTCTCAACCAAGTTTTTTATTCCTTCCTGAGCTACAATCGAAAGACCTTCACGCAGCTGAAAATCAGCCATATTTAAAAAAAATTTAAGATTAGATTACCGCATAAACTAGTGATATTGGTGCTGTGTGGTGATATCTTCGTGGTTCATCGAAACAGCCCCAGTAATTCCCTAATTCTAAAGCATCCAAATAAAATGATGGCACTCGTTTCTAAAATAATAATATAGCATAAATTTTAGAAATATTTTCACAACTATTAATTTTAGGGCCACAACAAACCTTTCTGTTTAGCATTTTCTTCCTTAAATTTTGTAAATATAATCATGGTAATCTACTAATTATAAAGCGTCAAATTAACCTACAAAGCTTTTTCGCTAAATGAAATAGGTGCCAATCCAGGTGGACAGTTTAGTACTTTTTGTGTAGCCGAATAAACACAATCCACTTTTAAATCATCAGCATGGAAAGGAGCACCTAAATAGACAAAAAAATTTCTAAGAAAAATTTTTAAACATATAATAACCTCCAAGTGAAGCAACCACATCAACAAGAAATAGGCAATCGCTTAAATGTTTTAAAATTTTATATGGCCTTAAAGAATTAAAGTCAATAGCACTTTGTTAGCCATTTCCGTTATACTTGATTTGAAAGATATTTAGTTCTAAATAACCGTGTTAAAGTGCTATTCGTACTTGGATTTTTTTAATTACACACTAAGCATTGCAAATATCGCCAAAACGTTCCAACGGGTGAGCAACGCCAGTCGAACTTTCTCCATGGCAAAGGAAGGCAACTTGCGGCCGATAATTGTCAACAGCCTTTAATTACTAATTAAAATTCTCTAATCATTGCAAAAAACCTCAGAAAAATCCTCAACACTTATCACTCTCCTTCAGGCACAACCAATTTTCGCACATTAAGACCTAGTCTGTCTGATAAATCCGCAGCTCTTTGGCCCCAAACACCATTCTGCACAACCTATTTTAAAGGTTTATCGTTTTTGTAAACTGTCGAAAAAATTTAAATTACCAAAATAGTTTCTCCTTCATCCAGTAAATTCATGATAGCACACTCCATGCCAGCGTGGCCACTGCCAGAGACAGCAAAAGTGAGGGGATTATTAGTCTGAAAGACATATTGAATGCCGGATTTAACATCATCCATTATTTCCAAAAATTCTGGATGGAGATGACCAAGAAGTGGTTGAGTTAGGCCTTCCACTACTATTGGCGGCATATTGCTTGGGCCTGGTCCGAACAGTTTCTTCTCATTGACGTGCAAAGGCCGAAGCAATCGTTGAGGAGGTGGAATCGTCCCAAAGAATGCAGTTGGATTTGACATAGTACGCTAAAATAATTTTAGTATTATTTCAAATTAATAGTTGATAAATTATGATAATAAAACTAAAAAAGAATGGTGCGATAAAGATCGATTTTACAGAAATAAAAACCTTCCTTATACTTTAAGAGTCATGGAAAAGGAGAATGTATACTGTCTGCTAATTATGTGTACTTTGGCTCCGGTACAAAATATGGAATCGTTAAAATATGGAATGGTTAAAATCGCGAATAGGCTAAAAAGGGGTTAAAATACCGAATCGTTAAAATATGGAATGGTTAAAATATCGAATAGGCTAAAAATGGGTTAAAATATGGAATCGTTAAAATATGGAATGGTAAAAATGTCGACACGGCCAAAATAGGTCAAAATGTCGAATTTTTTTAAAAAAGGGTCAGATTAGTGCCATACATTAATTGTTGATAATTTTATCAACTTATCAACTTATTTTTGATAATTTGATTGATAAGTCTCGTATGTCATAGTTCGGCGTAATCTTTTCTGCCTGAGTTCACTGTATTTTACGGAGTAAAACCGGACCGGATAAATCAAGCATAATCGACCGGATCCGGTCCGGCATGATCTTACGGATCCGGAAAACATAACGCGATCCTGATACGGAAAAATTAGAGTGGCGTGCACCAGTTTTTAGTTAAGACCTAAATTTTGTACCTTACCGTATACTGTACGGAATACCGAAAAATACCGATCAGCTTTTAAATTTTATCGGTCGACATTCCTTACCGTACTATCGACACAGAATACCGAAAAATACCATCGGTATTATGGTACCGTCCGGATTCTAGTCTTGGCGCCATTTTTAAAAAAATTCGACATTTTGACCTATTTTGGCCGTGTCGATATTTTATCAATTCGATATTTTAACGATTCCATATTTTAACCCTTTTTTACCCGATTCGATATTTTAACCATTCCATATTTTAACGATTCCACATTTTAACCCCTTTTTAGCCTATTCGCGATTTTAACCCATTTTTACCCGATTCGAGATTTTAACCCTTTTTTAGCCTATTCCATATTTTAACGATTCGATATTTTGTCCGGACACGGTGTACTTTTCGCTGGAGATAGGAAGATTTAAAAAATCAAGAAATATCAGGGACCAACCCGTGTAAATTCAGTCAGCTTTCGTTTGTTCCTTCCTAAATCAACAATGTTTTTCCCATGTATCATTCGGCTAAGCATATCTGACTATGTTGTTGGCAAACGAAAAAATAAGTAATAATACGAACCTACTATACTTATACCTTATAAAAAATTAAAGTTTAATAAATTTTGGAGTGACAATAAAAATATGAGATGGTGATCGGCAAGAGTAAAATTAGAGACAGTATTTTTTATAGCATTTTACCAGTTTTTAGTTTAATCGACTTTTCTGAGAGATGGACTGAACATCAAACAAAACAGGAAAACCCAATGGCTGAAACAACACGTGAAAATGATAAATTTTGGGGAATTAGTAAACGATAGTCATCGATAATGTCAAACGTGGCCCAGCTATAATGTCATTAATATTAGTCAAGGAAAACGATTGACAGAAATGAAATTCTTTAAGTGTGTATACATAGAGGTGCAGTGTGAATTAGAGTGCATGATAGAAAACTGATTGTTTTAAAAATTTAGTAAAAAAATTTTTAAGAACAGATTAATTTATTGGTTCTTTAAAATCTGTACAAAGTATAGTATTAAGACTACAAAATATATAGACTACATACAGTTGTTGGGCAGTTATTGGAATTGCCAAATTTTTAATCTACTTAATAAAATTTGTAGGAATGAGAAGTCAATTGTAATTTCATAGTAGCAATTACAATTTATTCAGCTAATAATGATATAGCCACTTGTTATGTATATTGAATAGGAAATGCTATCTTTTTGCTTATAAATATTTATTCTTCCATAGTAAAAAGCCGGTTTGTGTACACATGACGAATGCTTTTGCTGGGGTTAGATGTACTTTTTTAGCATTATTTTGATTCATATAGTTGAAAGGACGCACATTATTAAATGAGTGGAATCAGTCTGATGCAATTTTAAATAAGAATAACGTAAACGTGAAAAGTTTTGAGTATGTATGTATATGACTGAAGATTTTAAAGTTTACAAATTATAAGTTCATGTACATATATTTTTGTTTTTATATTGTATTTGTTTTTTTTCATTTTGTTATTCCATTTGATTGATACGTAAACAAATCTTAGGTTTCCATGCAACAGCAATGGCTAATATGTACTTATACCTGACACTTTCATAACATTACATAACACCAACTTCATCTTCCAATTCGTCACAATGAAGGAAGAATGAGGCCTTGACAGCTGCTGACTCGTCAACTAATACGACGACAACTGAAAATGTGGAGTGACAAAATGAAGGCTAGAGAGAAGGCAGAGAGAAACAAACAACTAAACGGGGGAAGGAAAGCCATTCAATGTATTCGAAGGAGTCGATAACGGAGGCAGCCATCGACAACGAATAGTGGTAAAAATGAATCCATTTTATCTTATTTTTTTCTAATGTTACACTACTACGTTTCCATTCATATTATCTGTTTTCGCTTTAATTTTATCGCGTTTCAATAAGTGGTCTTCTTAGAAAACTCTGATTTTGCAATAATCTTTTCATATTGTAAGATCTGATAGTTCGTTTTTAGTACAGCAAAATGTTTAATCATCCAAATCATGGATCAATGACATCACAGTTAGCGCAAATTCAGAGAACGATGGCGTATCGTCTTCAAGGGCCGAACAATTTTTTGGGAAATGTGTGCTTTTTATATTAAACTTTGTGTCAATTTAGTGAAAATTTGATTTAAGATAACCCTGAATATCACCGAGGGAAAGTTAAGGAGACTGTTCTTTAGGGTTAACTTGCATTTTACGATTTCGATTGTACCAAAAATAGAAAAATTTTACGTGAGCGCACAAAACTGACCAGTTAATAGAACTCCATTAAGTTTTACGGAATTAATTTCTAGGTGAATACGCCGCCAGAGATTAATGACAGAGGATTTACGGTGGGTTGGAACCGTGGTTTTGGAACCTCCAATTTAATGGGACGCTCCGAATTTAACAATTATGGCTCTCGTTCATCTTTGCCCTATACACAGACAGAAATGAATCAAACGTCTGGTAGCGAATTTATTGGCAATTCTAGCATTCGTATGCCTATTTTTAAATGCCCAGAATGTAGTATTGTCAAAAATACGAGTGAAGACTTTGAGGTTTTTTTTCGTTTTTTTTGTCTCGAATTTTTTATTATTTATAGATTCATGTGAAGGTTGAACATTTGAATTGGTTACCATTCATTTGTCCGGTAAGATATGTAATCCTTAAAAACAATTCTAATTTTCTGTAATAATTTTAAAACAATTTTTTGGTTCTTCGTTCTTCGATTTTTTTAATTTTTAGATGTGCAAAGCGGCTCGTGCTTCGGATATTCAAATGCGTGAACACATGCATTCATCTCACAAGAAGAACGATAACATGGTAATATTTTTATTTTTTAATGATGCAGAAGTATATTAGCATTTTCAGTACTGGTATCAAGACAATGCACAAGCCAAAAAAATTCTTCAAGAGATGATGGACAAAGCTCTTTTCGCTGCTTCTATTCAGCATAAGCAAAACAACATTCCTAAACAAGGAAGAATTATTGGTGACTCAAATGGAAATTTACAAAGTGTCGCTCATACTGACAATGAGTCAGCTAAAAGGATCCGACTAGATGATGTCGTCACCTCTAGTATTAGAAGGTAATTGTTTGTTAATATTGTTATCAATTTCCTATTACAGAAATATTGAAGAAAGTCTACAATCCAAAAATCAAAATGTTAACGAAAATACTTCGACAAGTGGTATCAAATTAGCTGGACAAGAACGTAAACCTAGTATAGACGAAGAGACGGACTCTCAGTTGAGCACGATTTTTGGACGAAATGTCAAGTCCGAATTCGACATGACAGTAATGGAAGAGGATTCGCCTTCACAACAATCTTTACAAACGATTAATGAAGACGATGAATTACATGATAATACTCATCAAATGAATGCTCTTCAGAATATGGCTGCAATGTTTTCGGCTAGCGGTGGATCAGTTTGTCATAAAGTGCAGCCAAAGAGTATTTTAGACTCGCGCTCATCAAGGCCCTTTCCATATAAGCGAGTAGTGCGCAATCGACCTGGCCCTATGTATGAAGTTATCAGTTATATATTTATTTTTTATATTTTATAGGACCTCAAAGAAGCGGGTTTTGGGTGTTTGCGCTCGGTTTGTTGCAAATAATTAAAATTTATTTTCTATAACTTAAGCTGTAACAAGCCTATAACTGCTGGGGCAAGACAAATGCACATGTTTTTCCATCTGGGTAAAGATATGCAAGTACTGTTAAAAATTAAATAAAAAATACACTAAATATTTAGACTTTTCGCTTTCGATGTAAACATTCTGGCTGCGATGTGGAACATTATAGGAAAGATCAAATGGAAAATCATCAATCGAAGGTGTGCATGATTTGGTTCTTTTTCGATTTTAATTACTTCAAAATTGCAAATAGGTTTTCTTTTTAATTTCGATAGGTACATGGACAGGTTGATCCAAATATGATGGATGATAGAAGTCAGGCGCTTTATAACCTTGTTCAGGTTTAGTTTCTTGTCTCAGTTAAGTTATCAAGTTATTTAAATTTCAGAAGATGTCTATGGAGTTGCTTGGTACTATGGGAAATACGCCTGGACCAACAGCAGCTAAAGCTCAACTTATGTATGAGCAACAAATGCGTGATGTGGCTGCCAATTTAGGCAGTCGTAAACGACCGCCTATTCAGATGTTTACTCAACATCAACAAATCAATACAAATATGAACGGAATGTTTGATTCGGCAAACCGAAAAATGGAAGACTTGGAGTGCCGTCTATGCCATAAGGTTAAATTTTACTTTATACAAATTTTCTTTGGTTCCTTAAACAATTTCAGACGATTATGAGTAGAATTCGCGGTTTTCATATTCTTTGGCATTTAAATAATGATTTGGGAATTGTTCGCTATGGCTGCAAGCACTGTGATTTTAAACATGACCGTCCTCAATCTGTTGTAGGTCACGGCGCACGAGAACACGCTGATGAATATTGTTGCGAGGATTTGCTTTATGTTTGTGAATTTCTCATTTTATTAATATTTTTCTATTTGCTTAGAATTTTGAGGATGAACTTAAATCCATGTCGAAGGCATGTTTTGGCGTCGAACGTCTTTTCGAAAAGGAAATTCGGCGAAGGACCAGGATGGTTAGTTCGATCGAAATTATTCTTAGAGTGATTCTATATTTCCTTTTATTAGGAACTTTATGGAAATGTAATGGATGATGACCTCAGGAATGAAGATGAACTTGAAGATGATGATTCACGAGGAAGCTGCGATTCAAAGCTCCTTAACCAGACTCCCCTTGCAAAACTAGATCTGCAATTAAAGGCAGAAAGTTCAGATCGTTCATGGTCTTCTTCTAAGGAGCAGGTGCGAAAAAAACGAAGTTTTCGTCGTTTTGGTACTAGGTAATCTATAATATATTTTAACTATGTATAATTCGAAGTAAAACGTGTTAAGGGTTCGTTCGCGAAGGCAAAGAGAAGATATGATCAAACTGCGTGAAGTTAGTATGCGTCTTGGCGGGGCTCAATACTTTAAAAAGAAGTCAAATGAAGCGGTTCTTTGCGAGGTTTTATTATCAAAAGGATTTAGTCACTATTTGTTTTTACTACTTTAGAAGTGCGGGAAGATGATTTCAAATCGTCTTTCTGATCATGCTTATTCTCATTTGGATGGATGTGATCTTTTTCGTTGCCAACAATGCAATTTGGTTTTAATTTGTAAATATGCGTACATTTTATTATTTTAGGGTCATTATTCACGCGAGACGATTGTCCGTCACCTGCGAGATTTTCACAATTCCAGTGACGAGCCTCCTCTCGATAATCGTTTACGATTTGCACAAGAAATCAAGGTTAATTTTCATTGTTTATTTTCATTTGTATTATTACTAGGATGCTATACGGGAATGTTACCCGCATCTCTTTGTTGATGCTCCAATTCCAACAAAAGAGGTTATTTATCTCGAATTGCTGGTTAAGCACATGCCTTTTATTCTAGGATATTGAAAAAATGAAGGCAAATCTTAAACTAGAAAAAATGGTCTTAATCTCTGAGGGTGAAGATTATGGAAATGAAGATAAAGCCGAAGAGGACGGCGATGTGGATGAAGAAGATGAGCAGGAGGATGAAGATGAAGAAGATCAAAAAAAGGAAGACGAAGAAGAAGCTCATGTGGAAACAGATAGTGCTAAAGAGGTGACATGCAATTAAACTAAAAAAATTACTATTTATCTAGTTGGATACTCATGAAGAGGAACGAGATGAATATAATGAGCACAATGCTGAAGAAGAGGAGGAAGAAGAATTGTCTCGAGATGGGGATGAAAGAGAGGGCAGTGAGGAAGTGGAGCAAGAAGATGATATTAAAGAAGAGGATGGTGAAGATGAGATTGAAGTTAGATCTGAACTAGGGGACACGTATGATAATGAAGAAAAACACGAAATATTTACTCAAAGTAATGACGAGGAGAGAGTAGAAGAAAGAAATGGTCAACAAAAGCGTTCAAGGCGTGGTCGACCTCCAAAAGATAGTAAGGAAGTAAAAGCCTGTAATAGTTAATAATTTTCTATTTTACATATTCGTAGTTATGATTTTATATATCCTTTCTCAATTTTGTACTTTTTTTGGTAAACTAATTACATGCAAGCACTTCTAATTTTGTGACTCGTGCAGTTCTATCCGAGTCGCAGCTCGAATTAGAAATAATTTGGGCATCGGGAAACAATAGATGAAATTTTGAGTCTTATTTCATAATGTTTAATGTTTTTTCTTGTTTGCTATATGTAAAGGCAACAAGGAGAATGGTGACTAATTATTTATAAGAGGAAAATAAACTTCTAAGGGGAAAGAAGGATGGCGGTATACTGCCAGTCACTCAATACACAATTTTTCCAGTTTGTTCTATTTCTTTCCGACTATCCCGATTTTACAGCAGTCCATTATGCTCGCTAGCGAAGGACAATGCATTTAACACATTTATGCATGCATCTGCACCCTTTTCGCGTTTATTGAAAACGAAATATATAAAACTTGCGCAACGATAAAAATTACGACAATAAAGAATCTGTATTTTTATTAAAGTCTACATTCGACTTGATAACGAATGATTATCTTAAGTATGTCAATTCGAAGCTTTTTAACTCGCTAATCCATAAATCAACTTAAATCTGAATTAGTTCTTTATTAATCCATTGGTTTTTAACAGAATTGAAAATTTATTTTTCCATACTAGTAGTATGTATGTGTAGTTATATTTTCCTATTTTAGTAATGTCAGACAATCTAACGCGTATCTACTCTTTTTATGCCCTTTTGCTATTCCATTTTTTCACACTACTTTTACCAGCCGAGACTATCTTAGGTGCCGTTATATATTGTTGCTAGGAGCAACAGTCACATTCCTCTTAAGCTTTAGTTTATTTCATACACCCTTTAATTCATGCATGACATTTTCGTAAATAAATAGCTTTATGCAAGAAGAAAATTTCTAATAAACGCGCCATGCTCAGCGATTCCAAATTGTTACAAACAATTAGCAGTTTTTCCCTAAAATGCTTGTGCATGGCTGCGACACAGTTCAGACTATTTTATTGCTATAACAAATTTAGGATAAATTTATCACTCAATCTCTTCCTTATTCTCTAATTATCAATCTATTATGTGTTAAAAAATTCAATTTAATACACATTTAGTAAATCGAGGTCATAAGCAATCTTTCTCCAGTTGGTTTTGTTAGTTTGCTGCATTTGAAATTTTCCCTCCTTTTTGTCCCTTTTCCACATGCTTGGAAATTGGCCCATTCAAGGAATAACTACAAACTAGCTAAAGACATTCGCCAAAGCAAACCTTTTCATTCATCCCTATATCTTTTCCTTTTCAACATATTCTCGCCATTAATGTACAATCGACAACAGCAAAAGCAGTCCACAAAGGAGACAACAAACAACAAAAACGTAGATCTAACTATAAGATCACTAAGAGCATAAAAGTTGGAAAGGTATAAGAAAATCGAGGAATAAACAATACAATATTCAAAATGGGCCCAAACAATGTACAAAATAAAAATAGTTCTTCGTCACAGCCATTTACAGATAGTGGTGAATTACAAAAATCAATTACTTTCCACGATTTTTGCGAACTTACTCAACGACAACTTGCAGAATTTACTCTCAACAGATCTCAATGCCAACGTGAAAATTTTGACCTGATTTGGCAAAACAGTCCTACGAGCCTAGTCATGCAAGAAAATGAAGAACAAGGGAACTATGCTATAAGAAGAACAATGAGCAATCGTTTGGTCGGTGAAAATGACAATCCCAACTCTTTTGACAATAACAAAGCAGCACTTGCATTACAAACTTGCACCATTTTGGAAGAGGAGAATAAACGGAAAAAATTAAGCACCCTTCGTAGACGGCCACTCAATTCCACGTTTTCTGCATGGCTTCAACTTTTTTTAGCCAAACGTCGACAACGACACAATCGTTATTTTGCTTCTATTAATCATTCTCAACAAGAATCTCTTCATCAAAATTGTGTCAATTCCTTTTCTGGACAGAATTGTGGGCCACTGCGCTCTTCAGTTTCGCTCTGTTTGTTTTTATTTTCTATTCTAGACAGGTCCAGATTTCCGAACGGGGAATTTCCTAAGTTTTTCCTTTTAATTATGTGCTAAAGGTTAAGATCATCTCTCAATCGGTATTATTTTTCGGCTATCTGCGCACTTCTGAATTAGTCAGAAAAATGTTTAGGAAAAATTTATGAATAGGACGAATTCTCGAGAGATAGTTTCCAATCTTCCTTACATCTTCAATTTTCTACTCCCGCACATAATTACTAGATATTTAAATTTAACATTCATTTATTATTAATAGCGGTGGTGCACGAAGGTACAACCCTTGGCTCTGATGGTGAGAGCGTCGTAGAAGTTTCTCCCTGTACTAGTGATCAGTTCGCATCCAACGGCATCAGTTGTACAGATTCATTGTCAGCCTTTGAGAAAACTGAATATGTACCGAAGGTTAAGATGCGACATAAATTGAACAGGCGATGGACTGAGGTCTACATCTTTTGTCTAAATATAATAAATTATTATTTCAGCAAGATATTCAAAAGCGGTTATCACTTCCTCCTGATATAAAATTACCACTTGAAGTAATAGACAAGTTAAATAGAACGCCAGCACTGCAGAACCCATTGACACGTAAGAACAAACGTGCTTCTCTCAGCGAAATAGGCTTCGGAAAGTTAGAAACATACAAGAAAATATTTGACTTGGGCGAAGGAACATATGCAACTGTATATCTAGGAAAAAGTCTTTTGACTGGTAAAAATGTGGCACTAAAAGAGATTCGGCTTGAGCATGAAGAAGGAGCGCCATGCACTGCGTAAAATTATAAAACAATTTATAGTTTAATTTTTGAATGTTTATAGGATCCGCGAGGTCAGTTTGCTCAGGAATTTGAAACATGCAAATGTAGGTGAAAAAATATGACGGAAAATTTTTTGTATTATTTAGATCGTAACATTACATGACATAGGTCTGTTTGAATTATTTTTTATTAAACGTGCATATTTTCTATAGTTTATACTGATCGTATATTGACATTGGTATTTGAATTTGTAGAGCGTGATCTGCGAGAGTATATGGAAGAGTTGGAGAGCAAGGTTATTTAATTTTTATAATTCATTTACAACCATCTAGATAAGTATATACAATGTAAAGCTGTTTTTGGTACAATTACTTCGTGGTCTCACGTATTGTCATAGCCGACGCATTCTACACAGAGATCTAAAACCTCAAAATCTTTTAATCAACAGGATCGGAGAATTAAAATTAGCTGATTTCGGATTGGCTCGAGCTCAGTCTGTACCCAGTAAGACTTATTCAAATGAAGTGGTTACACTATGGTACAGGCCACCCGACGTTCTTCTTGGTATCTGTTGTATATAATTATCACATTTTTAAGCAATTATTGTAGGTTCGACTGATTACTCCACACATATTGACATGTGGGGCGTCGGGTGCATTCTTTATGAGATGCTACTTCATAAGCCAATGTTTCCTGGGAGCACTACGGATGAACAACTGGGACTAATATTTCAGAGGCTTGGTACGCCATCAATCGATACTCACCCTGAATTACACGCACTTCCAAACTTTTCTACGATAATGAAAGCCCAACGATTAAGAAACACACATCAGCCAAAAGCTCTTCTACAACCACCTCGTATTAACCAAGAACGAGCAGATCTTCTATCCAAACTACTGAAGGTATTTTTGAAAGGATAAACGTTTAAGCGTAGCAATTATAGTTTTATAAATTTTTAGTATGATGGAAAGCTTCGCATATCGGCAAAAGATGCAATGAGACACCAATTTTTGGAATGTTTTCCACCACAAATATCCGAATTGTCAGATAATGTAAGAAAATCGATGAATTTGTATAGAATACTAATTAAGAATTTCATTATTATAGGAGTCAGTCCTAAACTTGTCAGGAGTGTTGTTTATTCAAGACCGCCGAAGTGACAGTGGATGTACTGTAACACACAAATAAGAAAAGGAATTTAAAGAACGGGTAATCAAAGGAATAATAAAAGATTCACGTTTTAAAATAAATACAATGCAATAAATATATGTATGTACATGAAAATTACTTGCCTCTTAAAAAATAGTATTAAAATTTCATTCATCTTTAGGTTTCATTTTTCTTGAATTTTGTTTTTAAAATTTTTAATTTTAACATTTAAAAAACTACTTTCATTTCCTTTTTTCCTTTCTCAAAATATTAAAAATGGTCGGACTTAAAAAGTGTCCTCTATATCACAACATTCTCGATCGTTATCTTCTGAAAGTCTACCTAAACAAAATTGTTCAAATTCTTTAGGCTTTGAAGATCTTTTTTTGTTCATTTTTTCGAGTAATTGACAGAATAACAGCGACTTGACACTTTGATTTTCGATTTATCGATTTATTTATCGACACATCGATTTTCATTAGTTTCAGGAGTTTGCATTTTTTTGTTGTTATGTTTATGATTTTTTTGCTCATAATCTTCTAAACTTTCTAATTTTTTCAGCTACCATTTTAAAACCTTTTGAAAAATGTCTTTCAGGCTTTCATACCTGCCAGTTATATCCAAAGGCACGGGTTCTTATTCAATAGGTGTAGACAGTAGGGCACTAGGCATAGGCTTCCTTAGACCTTGATTAGACCTTTGAATTGACCCTTCTCTGACCCAAATGACACTGACGAACTGTCCATGACCAAATGGCGCTGACCGAACTGACCATGACCCAAATGAAAACCAAAAAGTTAGTTCGAAAATTTGAGATTTTCCTCGAAAAATTCGAACTAAAATGTCCCCTCCCCAATTCGTCCCACATTCAAAATGTCACTCCCCAATTCGTCCCACATTTTTTTGTTCCAGAATTTGCTCCATTTCTGGAACAAACCCCAAAAACGTTTTGTTCCAGAATTTGCTCCATTTCTGGAACAAACTCCAAATGCCCCCAATTTGTCCCAGACAAGCTGTCACACCCCAATTCGTCCCACAG